CTGTAGTGAACGACACCGGCGCTGGTCCACCAGACACTCACAAGTAACTTTTTCTCAATTCAATTTTCGTTAATGGCAGGATTTGATTTTTCGATCAGCCATTGCGCTTCCGATTATTGCACAGTATCCACTTTTCATCTCAAGTAATGATTCGATTTAAAATCCCTTTATTATTGTGTCGGTTGAGCAAAGTATCACAGCAGTCGACGCGTGTTTGCAAGTTAGATTCACTCAATTCATGAGGTATCCATCGTTCAAGTTTTTTTTACTTTCCCGATTTGCTTCAAGTGGATTAGTACAGTTTTACCCCTTACCCCGAAGCCTGCAGCCATCTCTGAAGTGCTTTGTGATGGATCTGCTTCCACAATAGCGTTTAATTCTTCATTTTCCAATTTGGTGTCCGGCCGTCCACGGGGTTGGTTCTGAAGGTCTTTCTGAGATTTTATGACGCACAATAAAATATTTCCATTGTAAAGTTTACACAAATCCATTCATATTGCAGAAATATTAGTCACATAAGGGCATGTATCTCGGATTGAGAGAAAGTATATGCTATAAACTTGTATAACCTTTATTTTGGCTCCCTTAAACTTGTCCCAAACTTACTTATCGTAAGGTGTCCGCGGCTATAGATATTCCAAGGTCAAAAGTCAAAAAATCGATTTTGTGAAACTGGTGTAGAGGTGAGAGGCGTAGGTAATGAGAGCCGTAGGTAGGGTCATGGTCATGGAAGATTTGAAGGCCGGTTTATCTATTTATATTTATATCTCTATTATTATAACAAGAAAGTGTCCAAATATCATGTGTTTTGGCAAGTTGGCACTCATTTCTGCACATTAATTATAAGCTCCATAAAGATAATAGATCAGATACTGTAATAGCAGTATTTTCTAGTTTTGCTTATCAATATTTCTGCTCAATAAGCATAAAATCTATAAAGATACGTAACGATATACAAATTATAAATGATTTCCCAAATTAAAATTGTATCCTATTTTCAAAGGCTTTTTTTTAATTCAATTTCCCAAGCAATAAAAAACATACATATGTACTGCTTGGACGTAGTATTTTTATTACTGTGGTTAGGTACACGTAAAGTTATGATTTATACGGAAGTTATAGTTAACGGAAGTTATAATTTATGAAAGCTAATTTGGCGGCTTCTATATCCCGCAAGCTTCTCGGGTTGTTCATAAATTAGAGTTTAAACTACATAAATTAGAGAACTGCTATGAAAAATCGAAAGCGACAAAATCCATAAATAGTTTTATGGTATACAAAAATTCACGAACATACAGATACAAGACAGTTCACGTAAGTTGTATGTACATATTATGCAGGTTAATCGTCACTCATGTGAAATATCTACTTACATTACATTACTACCTTGCATAATTGTCTATCCGTGCTTCTTATCTTTGGTAAAATTATTCGAATAACTCAAAGAAATTATCGTCTTGTTATCTTTAACAAATTATTTCAAACACATGCGCCTTAAACTAAGGTGCGCTAGACGTTCCTAAGTCTTATCAAACTACTGGATTACGTTTTATGTTTTACGAAAGATTCTAAGCGGAATGACAGTTGATCTTTTTTATGTGTAACATAAATTTTGGCATCCAGATCGTGAAATAGATTAGATCAGGCCTATAAATATTCAGCATGATATGTGTAGATAATACGCAGATTATGTATATAGATAAGTACAAACATACATAACGTATGTTTATGCGTTTCGTCTGGTGAGGTAGCCGGGCCACACTTTATTAAAAGGGCGACGCGTCTGCAACCCAACGGGTGTTGCAAATGTGAATGGGTGGCGGTTATCACATCGTCATAAGGAAAAACGTCACCTCGTTTGCCACCTTCTTACATAAAACGATATATGTGTACAACGTTAGTAATGTATTATATTCTCTTTATTGCCGATGATAACCGGGCACCAGAAAAAGTTGGTAGAGGATCTTTCCAACAACCGCAGTATTGGTAACAGGTTATTTATAAAGAATCGGGTTAGGTGATGGATTCCGATAACATTAATGGATGTGATGATGAATGGTTCATGAGGCTCACTGAGCTAACGCGTTACAACATCTACGCCATGTCAATCGTCACTTGTCGTCGCCCGTCGGGTAGGACAGCGGCCAAGTAAGTACGCTACCTACGTTATAAAAGAACGTGTTTGTGTACTTTGTTTATGTAAACGCGTTAGTTTTTTTTTTTTTTTTTTTTTCATTTAAGACACACCAACAGTATACATATTTACACAACTTACAAAAAAAGGAAAAATTTAAAAAAAGAAACTGGACCTAATATGTACACCTATAACAGGTGTGTACATCATTTACAATATTGTGACAAAGTTTAGTAAACAAAAAAAAAACTAATTCATAAACAATTAAATACAAAGAATAGACTAACAATAAAGAATCAAAAATAAATTAAAGAAAAATCACTTTGAAGAATACTATACTATAATATATACTAATGAAATGACTCCAGTACTTTCTTTTTGTAAACATAAGGGGAATCGTTAAAAATATCGATATATTCAGCACGGTTAAAAAGTATATTAAATTCTTTGCACATTCTTACAAAAGGTGAATTGAGGCCAAGATTAGTTTTTACGGTCGGTGTATAAAAGATTTTTGTAATCGGTTTGCGTGGAAATTTGTGAGGTACAGCTAGTGAAATATTTTGAAGAGCCTTGGGGCAATTTATTGAGTTATTTAAAAGTTTTTATACTGACTTGGTATTATAAAGTTAAATTAAAGTTTTTATTGCTTTCCATAGTAACATCCTTTTTCCAAAACGCGCCAAAAAAAGTATAATTCGAAAAAGTTTGTTAATAAATATAATTCATGGCTGCGACTGCGACTTTTACTACAAATACATGACCAGAACTGCAAATACTTTATTTAGAAATACTTACATGATAATAATCACAGCTTTGTGGTTGCAAGCTGCAAAGATTACCAAGTACTGGTTTAAACATCCGATTTTAGTGACACGTCAAAACATACGCAGTGGAATAAGCCACCACAATATGCGGAATTAAGTATGAAAACAATAGTGACTGACATCATCACGGCCGCTTCAAATGATGAAGCTTATTTTCCGGACTTGAAATATTTAAAATAGCATTAATATAAAATAATCATTATACATTTAATAAGCGAATTTTAATTTATTTATGTGAAACGGCAGATAATAATTCAAAAACTTCAAAATAAAAAATATTGTTTGACTCGTGCGGGTTTTCGAATTTTGTGGGGAAATAACTTATTGGAAAAATACCAATAATATTAAAATTTATTCCACTATGTTTTATTTAAACATCCTTAGTAATATAATAAAGGCGAAAGTTTGTATGTATGGATGGATGTTTGTTACTCTTTCACGCAAATACTACTGAATGGATTTGAATGAAACTTTACAATAATATAGCTTATACATCGGAATAAGACATAGGCTATAATTTATATATATATTTTGTGTATATCTGTCTTTCTGTCTGAATGTTACGCCTTCAGCCTATTCTACGCAGACGTAGTCGCGGGCAGCAGCTAGTATTTTATATTGATGGCAAAGGTATGATTTGGAACAAGAACTAAGCTATGCTTTGGCAAAAATAAACACCTTTGAAAGATGTTATACATGTAAGTAACTAGCTTACATTTGCTTCCACGTTATTGGCTCGACATTTTATCTAAGATATTACTAACAATATACAGAAAAACTGCGGATTTTGTGCGTTTGTTTGTAGTGGTGGGTAACTCACTGTAACACTTTACGTAACTGAAAACTTATTCCTTATTTGAAAGGTACTTTAGGTAATATGACTTAGATAAGTCTAGTACTTAGTAGTCTAGTACTTTTATAGATATACGGCGTGTCTTTACCATCGCGACAGTAAATGAACACACATATAGAGGATAACTTTTTAAAATTGTATTAAACATTTACATTCTTTAAACATCAATATTTACAGTTATTAAATTTTCCAAAACAAAGAATTTTAGAACAGCCTAACGTATAAAACTGTAACGTAAAGTTCATTTGTAAAGTTCACAAAGCATATGAATGGGTTGAATAAATTTAAAAGAGACAAAACATACTGTTAGAAGGAGAGCCTTGTAATGCGACGCTGTGGCAACGAATGATAAAGTCTCTGAATGTATGAATCAGTCAGTTGTAGTTGTATAGGATGTTACAAATTTTGTTTCTTTTTTACTTAATTAGTTTTTTTGAAAAATTTTTTTTTAATTATGGATTTTGTTTAACGTTAATATTTTTTTATGATTATTGGCAAGTAGGGTTAGGCGTGTGTTCATTTATTGTCGCGATGGTAACGACACGCTGTATATAATATGATTTATGTATATATAACTTCCTATATTTTATCTCGCGTCTATCATTAATCGCTCTTAGTCACCCAAGGCGTGCATCATAGTTCTGCCGCAATAGTTAAGTTTCTAAAATAAATGACTGGGGAATTTTGAAATTTAGGCAGAAAAAAATCAAAGAAATTGATACCATCTACGGATAACTCACAGTAAAATTAAAAAATCATTAATTATAATATGGAGGAGATTTTTTAGATTTAAAATTAAAGGTTTCTATAACTTTAAATCTAAAAGGGAGGAAATGTAAAAACTTATTTGCACCTGAGTGTAGTCTGGCGGTTAATTGATTATTAAAATAATATTTGTTATAGCATTGATTTAATCCTTGAATGTTTTTGCCTATTGTGCGATTGCAAGATCTAACTTTAAACCAATTTACTCAATTGCTCACGTTTTTGCGTTTCAATCTATAATTGAAGTCTCATCTTATCATAGATTATAGATATTTATTACAATAATGATTTCTTTCTTTGCAGATAAAATGATTCGAGCGAAGCCGTCATCGAAACGGACTTTGTCACCGGCCACGTGCAATCCAGTGGCCATTTAGGAAATTAGCTATTTCGTAAAAACCATTCTCAATTTGAAATCATTATGGAATCTGACGCAACGACACGCAGACGGAGTAATGGTGTAAGTACTTTGTGGGTTAGTAGGATGGAACTGTAAGATATACTAACTCCACATTGAATATATATATATATTGTAAAATTACAATTTGGAATTTACAGCTAGGAACATAGACGTTATAGCAATCGCGCGGCGGACGGCAGACTCTTCTCAAGTCACGTACGCAAAAATCACTGACGTCCTGCGAAAATCCGTGCGCGGTCGACGATGCACGATGGCGCCCGAGCGTATTCAAAAATGACGGCTCGCCGTGTGACGGCGATTAGCTGTGATGTCAGTTGTAGACAGGCCGCCACACCAGCCCCCCTCCAGACCTTACGGTCGATAAAAATCAGTAAACTTTACCGTTCGGCCGGATCTTGTTTTAAGAGGAAGTTTTTGATAATCTGTTGTTACGATTGCCTCTTGCATTATATGGGCTGGTATAACGCGATCAATGGAAACGGATATTTGCTTGCCATTTATCTCCAATTTAATGAATTTGTCGCCTCTCTCAATTATTTTATATGGCCCGGTGTAAGTCTTTCCTTAAGAAAACATGTGTCGCGGTTGACGTCCTTGTGCACAAAAACTTTCGGTGTTCCATGTCGGGTAACAGGTGATGGTTGGATGGTGCGCATATGACTTTGAAGTCTTTGAACGAAGTCCGAGTAGTCCGGCACAGCATCTTGGGTTGAAGATTGAAAGAAATCTCCAGACAAACGCAAAGGTTCTCCGTAGACTAACTCGGCCGTCGAAGCAGACAGGTCCTCTTTGCACGCGGTTCGAATTCCTAATAGAACCAAAGGAAGCACCTCTATCCAGTTGTCATTAGCGTGACACATGATTGCGGCCTTTAATTGCCTGTGAAACCTTTCCACGAGGCCGTATGCAACTGGATGGTAGGCCGTAGTATGTACTAGGCGCGTACCTATCATTTGCGACAGTCGTCGAAAAATGTCCGAAACAAATTGCCGTCCTTGGTCGGTCGTTAGTTTGTCCGGACAACCAAATCTAGAAATCCATCCAGAAATAAAGGCTCTGCTCACGGTTTCTGCTTTTATGACCGTGATGGGTATGACTTCTGGCCATCTGGTGAAACGATCCACGGCTGTTAAGCAGTATTGATATCCGTGAGAAGACGGGAGTGGGCCAATTAAATCGACATGTACTTGTGAGAAACGTTGAGTAGGAAGTATAAAGTCTTGCACATGTGACTTTATGTGTCTGCTAACTTTAGCACGCTGACAATGGAGGCACGACTTTGTCCATTCTCGGCAGTTTCTACGTACGTCGGGCCAAACGTAACGTTGAATTAGAAGCTTTGTAGTCGCTTTGGCCCCTGGATGGCTTAATCCATGAATTATGTCGAAGATCTGTCGACGGAACTCAGGAGTTATATATGGACGGGGAGTGGATACGTCACAATAAATAGCCTGTGTACAGCCGGGTATAGTAATCTTTTTAAGGTCTAAAGATGTACCTTTTTGCAGACATGCTTGCAGTTCACCGTCAGTACTTTGTGAGGCTGCCAGTGCGCTGTAATCAAGAGCACTGATTGATTCACAGGGTCATGATAATGTGTCCGCTACTAAGTTGTCGTTTCCAGTAATATGTCGCACGTCTGTGGAGAACTGACTTAAAAAGTCTAAGTATCGGAATTGACGCGGTGAGCATTTGTCAAGCGATTTTTTAAAGGCGAAAGTGATAGGTTTGTGGTCTGTATAAATTAAGAAAGGCCTTAGCTCTAACATGTATCTAAAATACCTAACACCTTCGTAGATAGCTAATAACTCCCGATCATAGGGACTATATTTGCGTTGCGCTGTACTAAGCTTTTTAGAAAAGTAGCCAAGAGGTTGCCATGCGCCGTTAACACCCACGTAATATTAGCTTTGCTTTTTGTTTTAGGCCCAGAAAGTAAGCAACTAAGCGAGCTTTGTATCTGAGCAGCATGCGGTATGAAACGGCGATAAAAGTTGAGCATATCAAGAAAACGACGAAGCTCTTTTATCGTGGTTGGCTGCGGAAAGTCTTGTATAGCTCTTACTTTTTCTGGGAGTGGCTTTGTACCTTCTGCCGAGATTGTGTAGCCCAAGAACGTCACCTCAGGTTTTCCGAAGACGCATTTGGCTGAGTTGACGAGTACGCCGTGCTTCTGGAGACACTCGAAGATTAAGCGTAAATGATGCTCATGTTCCTCAGCGTTCTTCGAAGCGATTAGAATGTCGTCCAGATATGGAAAGTAGAAAGGAAAATCTGATAAAATTTCATCCATAAATCTTTGTAGTGTTTGTGCAGCGTTGCACAATCCAAAGCTCATATAAACGAATTCAAATAATCCGAAGGGTGTCGCTATGGCTGTCTTTGGTATATCCTCAGGAGCAACAGGAATCTGGTTGTATGCGCGGACTAAATCAATGGTGGAGAATATATTTGTACAATTGTGTAAAATGTGGGAAAAGTCACCAATATTTCTAACCGGGTACTTGTCCGGGATGGTTCGGGCGTTCAAGGCGCTGTAATCACCACATGGTCTCCAACCGTTGTTTTTCTTCGGCACCATGTGCAACGGGGATGACCAAGAGCTACTTGAACGACGCGCAATACCTGAACGAACCATGTCTTCGAACTCCAGTTGTGCTATTTTAAGCCGGTCAGGATCAAGTCGACGAGGTCTACAGGTCACAGGTGGGCCAGGGGTCGTATGGATATAGTGAAGCGTGTTGTGCTTCACCTCGCGCTCCATAGGGACCCCAATAGGTCTAGTGATGCCTGGAAATTGCTGCAGCAACCGGTGAAAACGAGTAGAGCCTGCAACAGCTTTTATACAAAACATAGCACAAGTAGCAGGAGAAGCATTAATAGTAAGCTGAGTAATACTATCTATGAGGCGGTGATTCTTAGCATCCACTAGCAAACCATAAAAAGATAAAAAGTCAATGCCTATTATAGGTTTGGTAACGTCAGCAACCACAAAACGCCAGTTGAAACTTCGACGTAAATTAAAATTGAGCGATAAACTAGTCCATCCATATGTTGCTATACTACTACCGTTGGCTGCAAAAAGTTCATAGTCATTCTTCTGGCGCTTTTCACTACGCTTTAAAGGGTACACACACAAATCGGAACCTGTGTCCACTAAAAATTGCACCTTACTCGTTTGGTCTGTTATAAATAAGCGGCATGTCGTAGGAAAACAGTCACTTGCCGCTACGAGCGACTGTCCTATTCGTTTTTTAAGTAATTGCACGGCTGGATACATTTCTTCGCATTTCCTCGAAATCTGTGGTGGTACCAACACACACCACTAGCACGAGGTTTTTGTCGGGAACGGGATCGGTGTCGCTGACAGGATCTAGATCTAGCTCTGGAGTGATAACGTTGACTAGACATTGAGATTGCATGTAATCTTTGCGTGAGCATGTCGATCATCTTATGTAACTCTTCTAATGGTGTTGAAACACGAAACAAAGCGGGGTCGCTCGCCGTATGTACACCGGTGGAATGTTCGTTGCTGCGAGACATTGTTCAAAATGGCCGTTGAAAGTTATCGTCAAGGAATTAAGTTAAAATAAACAAACGTTACAGATTTTATAGTTCTCGGGGTCACCACTTGTGGGTTAGTAGGATGGAACTGTAAGATATACTAACTCCACATTGAATATATATATATATATTGTAAAATTACAATTTGGAATTTACAGCTAGGAACATAGACGTTATAGCAATCGCGCGGCGGACGGCAGACTTCTCAAGTCACGTACGCAAAAATCACTGACGTCCAGCGAAAATCCGAGCGCGGTCGACGATGCACGATGGCGCCCGAGCGTATTCAAAAATGACGGCTCGCCGTGTGACGGCGATTAGCTGTGATGTCAGTTGTAGACAGGCCGCCACAACTTCATTTACCCACTAACAATGAGTTAAATCTTTACATGTATAATTCATCTGTGTGTGTGTTTCTCACTGAATTCAGGCAGAATTTAGCACTATAAACATTTTAATCTCATATAGCCGTGGTGACATGACTCGTGCGTATCGTTGCAAAACTATATAAACTAGAAACTGTTGAAATCACCGTCTTACTTTCAACTCATCTGAATGCTAGTCCCAACTTTCGTCTGACCTAATCTCCTACTTGGAATATTACGTTCGTTTCTTATAAGAAACGTAGATTTTTATTACACTTTTTTATTGCGTGTTGGTCACGATTCAAAAGTTAAACCTCGTTAGCACAAGTCAGAATTTAAATTTCATGAAAAAAAATATATTTTTTCCAACAAGTCTAGTAAGGTTCTAGGAATTTAATAAAATGATGTTAATGTTTACTTACTGATCATTAAATTGAACAATAATAGTTGAGTAAATTTGTATCTAACTAAATATCGAAAAACAACCTATAAGTTTCACCTATCATCAAGTTTGTAAGTCCCGAGACGTGACAAGTAGCAAGTTTGTCACTGTCTTTCTATCATAAATATAAAGACTGGGGTTTTAGCACTCAAGTCATCCAAGACTGCAGGAGAGGATAATTCTGTATGGGTAAAAAGTACTTGTTTGCATCGTTTGGCTTCTATCAGAAGCATTCTTGCCAAGAGCAAGTACACCGTTATACAAACCTTATTGAGTAAAAGTCTTAACTAACCCTATATACAAGGATGCGCTTCCCGAACTTTGGCCCTACGGTTGCCTTACAAGTTCTGATTTAATGAATTTGAACACACTTTTAGGTCCAACTATTCCGTTTTGCTGAATCGCTCCTTTTGTTATCAATTGCTGCAATGGATGCTCTCTACAAGAGTTATTCCTTTGAGACAGGTGTTCCCCCAGGATCACGTATCTCACTCTTGCTCTACACGCTCTACATTTTATCGTACAAATTTTATGTGGTGTTATTCAAAATTTTATTATATACTGGCTGTGCCCGCAACTTCGGCCGCGTGGAATTTAAAATAAAAAAAAATCTAAAATAAAAGTAGCCGAAGTTACTCCTTATTACATCAGCTATCTGACAGTGAAAGTCCCGTCCAAATCGGTCCAGCTGTTTCAGAGATTAGCCGGAACAAACAGACAGACAAAAATTTTAAAAAATGTTATTTTGTGTATGTACCGTGTATATATCCATTTGTTATTGTTTTGTTTGTAATATATAGCATTTAGTTTTATTTTATTTTAATATTACAAACAGACACTTCAATTTTATTTACCTGTATAGATGTACTTGCTGAATAGAGTGTGAGAATTGAATTGAAAGTAAATTCTATTATGTCCCATTGCAAAGCAAAGCCCCTTCTGTAAAGTGGGTTTAAGGGCACACTCCATCATGCCAGCTAAGTCTAGATTTTTTATTTGGTTGTCAGGTGATTTGCCTGTAGTTAAATTAATATTGCCGCCCATCTGCAGTAAAAATGTATGTTTGCATATACGGTAACGGTGTAAGCTTAGGGACTTGCTTAGCTTACTCAACGGGTGAAATTCAAATGCTTCTTATTTCCAAATCACTACCTTTTTTGGCGGTTCGTCGCCCCCGAACAGATGTGTTCATTCTTACAAAAGCAGATGCCTCTTATTCCTAAAACGTTCCAGATTTTCTTGCAATATTTAAAAGAAAAAGTTTTTAAAACGCATTTATGATTTCATTATAATTCCTGGATATGAACTCTAGTTACTACAGTATGAAACAAAACGAGCATCAAAATCCTAAGGTACCATGCCCTCCCTGGTCTTACAAAAAAAATGTATCTAACGTTTCAAATAAACATTGGATGAATTTGCCTCGCCAATTTTTATCAGCATTCGGGATCGCCCTTATCTGGCCCAAACCTGTGGGTTCTAGCCCACCGGTTCCGCGTCAGACGAAGCTTTAATGGTCTCGGGACTGAAAGCTAAAACATCAGCTAATACAAGATGCAAGAAGCCCTAATCTGTTAAAATCATATATTTTCATGAAGATAGAAGTCATATTTTATGACGCACCAATGTTGAATACAACTAGTTCTATATTGTTGCAATATATGTATGGTATATTACAATCTAATTTATGTTTACATTTGTTCAGAACAAAACAATTTCGCAAGGGTAGCATATCGTACGCGTGGAATGATTATTCAGGCAAGTTCAACATTTCTTCTTAATCTTGATCATGAATCAGCACTTTCATTTGCGACCAGAAGACAAAGACGTTATTGTTTACACACATTGTGTTCGGAAAACAATGTTTACAACTTCACGGTTTTTTAAGAATGGTTAGCTTTGTCTTGCAACTTTTGCTTTTGAAAATCGATACGTACCTATTCTGAAAAGCATCCCATCGTCACGTCACAGTTCCTTGTAAAGGTTATTATGAAAAATATTTTTTTTTTTCATAATAACCGCTAGACTTCCATACTTTTTAAACCATAACGCTTTAATGCGTTATTGTTTAAGAAGTCTGAGTCTGAATGAGCTGTATTTGTGATTTTTAAACGAGTAAAATACACGTGTTTAGACAACGAAGTAACCACGTCCCCAATATCATGTTTATCAACAACCTTCCAACAAGTATACAATCGTTCGTAACTCCGACTCGTTGAATAGTGCGTCTATTCGCAAGCAATCAAACACACCGCGTTGATTTTCGGCTAAAGTACTTTACAGATTTTTTGAATATATTAAATTCCATTCAATATATTTAGGCATTATTGTTTGCGGCTTTATTTCTTGGTAAGTGTCTGCATTTACATAGATTTTATATGTTTATATAAGACGCAAAATCCTTTATTTTTCACATTGTAGATATTTGGTTAATGTTTTATTGGAGTTGAAAGTGGTCTATTCTGCAAATAGAAAACTTGCGCGGTCAGTACCGATGAAATAGATTCAAACGGGCTAATTAGTTGCTTTTAAAAAACTTTACTAAGTAACACAAACATGCTACTGCATTTAATGTTATTTTTATTTTCGCATCTTTCTCGTTTATTGTTTTTTATAAATTCTTTAATAAGAATTTCTGCCATTCTTTACAATATACCTATTCTTATAACTTATTTCTTCTCTATTACTTATCACGTGCTCTGCGGTGAAGAAAAAAATTGTGAGGAAACCTGCATGTTTTCGAAATAATAACAAAAAAATATTTCGAAGATGTGTGAAGTCCGCCAATCCCCAGTGGTGCCGCGTGATGGAACTGGTGGACTATGCCTCAATATCCTCTGTACAGAACAGGCCTTTGCCCAGCAGTGGGACATTTAAATAGGGAGGTTTTTCTAAGTGTATCCATTTTTTTTATTAAATTCTAGACATAAATAATGTTGTATAAAAAATGATAAATATGTAAAATCACTCGTAATTAGTTAATTAAATTCATTTGATCTTATCTCAAAAAGTGCGTGATTTATAGGCAACTCATTTATTTTACGCGCGATCATAAAAAAATCGATACACTTAAAAATATATTATACCTGTATATCCAATCATACTCAAAATAAATGATGACTCCGTGGCGCAGTTGCCAAGGTATTGGCTTCGGCGTTGGGGATCGTGGGTTCGATTCCCACACGGAACAACTATTTGTGTGACCCACAGATAGTTGTTTCGCATCTGGGTGTTTGTCCACGTGAAATTTATGTTTGTAAAACGTCCTTAAAACACAGGACAATGTTATCATAAAGTGGGGGAGATCCACTGTAAAAAAAGAAACAAAAAAAAACAAATGAAGTTTCGTACACCACCGGATAAAATGGACACTCCATACTGTTTCACCTACAAAAATCTTAATAATTAATTATCTAGATAAGGTACTGAACTGGTAGTTTTTTTTGTTCTAGACTCCAGATGGAAACATCGTCGAAATGGGTGATGTGCAGAAAAAGGGAGGCACAAATGGCGAGGTGAGGCTTTTAATGCTTTAAGCAACCGCTGAAGTTGTAAATATACAAACATCGACACTTAATAAAAGTATCCCAATAGATGTATTATGGTTAAAAGAGAACTAAACTCTTTAATTTCTGGCGTCAGATTGATGAAAGATGAAGATTTCTGATTGATAAAAGAAATTAATTGATCTATATCATCTACAAAGTCAGTCTAGTATTAAGTTGCGTCACCAATGATGGTACGCCTCAGTGATATTAGATACAAATACAAGGTAGATATGACACTAGGGCGCCGAAATTCAGGCACTCAAATTACGCCAATTGGTGTAATTAGATTGCAATTCTATAGAAGAAAGAAAGAAGAAGAAATACATATTTATTCGGCGCATTACATTATAGAAAAAAAAATAAAGAACAAGAAATAACACTATGATTGTAAGAATAAATGCACAAAAAGGTCTCCGCTCAGTATATAGCCGTGGCAGACAATACCACGGCACCGGTTTTCTGCGGATACCTTGTAAGATTGGCGTTCAGCTCCATGCATACAGCCAACAACATAACATTAAAATAAAATAAAACAACGAGACTACTATCTCTTTCTGAATCATACGTTCTATATCATCTGTCACATTCACTTATATGTGTCATATCATGTGAAGCGGAACGATTTTTAAACGCCGCACAGTATGGACATCCGTCATCTATATTATTAAAAATCATTGGGGTACGCCTCTCCTAACTCACCCGCCAGACGGTACCTAAAGTTAAAAGTACTACTACTGGATGCCGGTTCTATAGGGTGGCATTTCTAAAGGTGCCCAAATTCTCACAGGCGGTTCAGACTCTTTTCAAAAAAATTGCCATTCCATTCCCTAAAAAACAGAATTTGTTGATAATGCATTATTAATTCATAAATGCATCGTATACTTTTGAAACGAACTTGTGTGCGTGATAGTTATGAATGATCGCGCGTAAAATAAACGCACTTTTTGAGATAACTTCAAATGAATGTATTTAATTAATTACGAGTGATTTTTTAATATTTATCATTTTTTTGTATAAAATTATGGCAAATGTAAATAACTTTAACTCCGGCGTAATTCAATTAAAATAAATTTTAAACGATAGCGAAAAATCTCTAATGAATTAATCAACAAGCACAATTCGGCGGTCGCTTATAGTTTTCGAGAAAAAATAAAAATGGCGGATTTCTATAGTAAAAATCACTCTATTTCATTATTTATTTTTTTGAAAACTATAAGCGACCGCCGAATTCTGCTTGTTGATAAATTCATTAGTGCTTTTTCTCTATCGTTTAAAATTTAGTTTAATTGAATTTCGCCGGAGTTAAAGTTATTTACATTTACCAAAATTATTTATGTCTAGAATTTAATAAAAAAATGAATACACTTAGAAAAGCCTTCCTGTATAGAGATTCATTGCTCAAAGAAATATTTTAAAATCAACAATAACGTTGGCACATAAAAACTCTAAATAACAATAGAAAATATTCAATACCTATGCGGTTATTGTCATTTTGACGCTAGATAATGTAATCTAAAAGTAACTAACGTAAAGTAATTACAATCTTATTTTCTTTGTTCTAGGTAATTGCTATAATTATGTAAATTTGTTTAGATATTCTATATATAAAAATATACATATTTGACATTCATAAAATCATTCTCTTCATCATTTCATTATAAAAGTTAGGCAAAAATAAACAACCAGAAGTGTTCATTGGCGTATTCATTGAAAACCGCCAAAAAAGAAAAGAAGAAGAAGAAGAACTAACGTAAAGTAAATGTAATTTTTACAGTGCAGTATATTATATTTCAGTATATTATACTGTGATAAGTACTCTGTGTTACAGTGCGATATAGCGTTTGGTTATTGAAATACTATCGGATACCTTTCACCGTTACCGAGTGACCGCCAAAACCCGCAGACCTTTTGACACAAGGCTACCTTCGCTATCACATAGGGCCTGATATCGAAAAACGTTTTTGTCTTATGTACAACTTCATGACAATTTAAATTGTGATAGTTGCACGCAACTGTTGAGATATAGCTGGACCGTTGTTGCCGATAAGAAAGTTTAACAAGGTGGTTTTGTTTTACGATTAATAGAGCACAAATGTACCCGATTATTGAACCTTGCTAATGCTGGTGGGCTGGTGGTTTCGAACAAGCAAGCCCTGATGGAACTGATCACTTCTTCCCATGGACAATTGCAACATCTGAGTATTACAAATGCTTTGTTAGCCTTGTACATGAATGTTGTAATCTGTCTCTTAGAAATTTAAATTGTTTATAGTGCTAATCTTTGCACTTAAGATTCAACATTAATATATATAGAAAAATCTCTCTCTTGTAAAAATTACTGTTTAAACATTTTCCCCATGAAACTGTCACAGATAATCCATGAAAGATTAGAGTACGAACCAACTGGCTGGCTGGAGGTTACGCTAACCAGGGTCGGCAGTTCCACCGGAGACTTCATGAAGAACAACGGCTCCGCAATGAAGACAATTACCATGTTTGTGCTTAACGGCCTCGTCGTTGGATTTTTCTTTGGATGCTTATATTACTGGTTAAATTACAGTAAGTGAATTTATTTTGACTGTCCATCATTAAGTAATATTATTAAGTGTTTTCAATACAATCGGAAATTTTTTTTTATGTGACAAGGTGGATTTCGCCTAATGTCGAGTGATATCCTTTGAAGATGCGTTACCTCCTATAAATGTAAAGTATAACTTCTACTTCGCCTTCTATGAGTTCGTGGTACTTCCCCGGCCGAACCTGACCATTCGTACAACATTTAATTTTATTCGAATTATGCACTCTAGTTAGTAACTAGTCTATGCTTTACAGTATCTTTCTTAGTGCACTTTGAAACTTGTTCTATATTATTTTTCAGACAAAATTTCCTATTACAAAGGGGACATGTATCATTCATTAGAACTGGGACTCGATTACGGTCATAATATTTGCATGACATCAGTCGCGTATCGCCCTACTCACCCTTATCTGATGTGTAGGTACACGATAAAATCAGATCAATTATCGATTACGAAACCGTGTAAGCGGATTCGATTAGAAATGAACGAATCGTAGTTATAATATTTGTACCAAGTACTGGCCACAGCGAAGAGGCTTACCTTTTTTCTGGTGACGACCCTAATTTGAACGACAAATTGTGCTCCCAAATTTGAAATATAAAACGCAGATAAAATTCTTAATAACGTTTAAATTATATAAATTTCAATTAACAGCCACATTGACAACACGCACTCTACAAACTGACCTTACCGCGGTAGAGTCTGCAACGGCTTCTTCTGCTAAATGAACGGGTCGATTTGCTAAATGACGGGCTACGATACTAATAATAGTTTTAACTTTTTTATACAAATTGTGATAGCATCCAGTGAATTTTCTATTAGGTAAAATGAATCTTCCGAAGTAGGCGGCGCCTTTATATTGGAAAAACAGGTATTGATGCTTAAGCATTTCGTACGATGAATGAATCCGATAACAATATCTGAAACACAACACATAACGAGATCTGAAACACAAGAAGCAAGATTTGCAGTTAATAGGAATTAATATTACTTACTAAGTGACCCGAAGCTTGTTTCTCACCATCGCTTTCACCGTCATTGTCATGTGCCAATCCACACGTATTAATGAGTTCCGAAGACCTGTTTTATTTAATAGGTTATTTGGCATCTGGGCAGTTCTAGGAATCTGCACACAATGATATTATATAGGTACAAATACTAGGTAGATACGAAACTAGCGCACCGAAACTGAGGCGCTCAAGTTACGCCAATTGGTGTAATTCTATAAGACTGCTATCACTTTCGGTATCATACATTCTATATCATCCGTCACATTCAGTTATACAGCGTGTCGTTACCATCGCGACAATAAATGAACACACGTCTAACGCTACTTGCCAATAATCTTAAAAAAATAGTAACGTTTAACAAAATCCATAATCAAAAAACCATATTTTTCAAACAAACTAATTAAGTAAAAAAGAAACAAAATTTGTAACATCCTATGCAACTCGCGCCTCAGCGTCGTATTACAAGCCTCTCCTTCTAACATGTTTATGTATGTTTTGTCTCTTTTAAATTCATTCAACCCATTCATATGCTTTGTGACCTTTACAAATGAACTTTACGTTACGCTTCTATATGTAAAGGGTGTTCTAAAATTCTTTGTTTTGGAAAATTTAATAACTGTGTAAATATTGATGTTTAAAGAATTTAAATATTTAATACAACTGTAAAAAATTATCCCCTATATGTGTGTTCATTTATTGTCGCGATGGTAACGACACGCTGTATATATCATATAACGTAAAGCGGATTAATTTTTAAGCGCCGCGAAGTATGGACATGCGTCGTCCTTATTATTAAACATCATTGTCTGTAACCTAAACCGTGCGGTTCTGCGACAGCATAACCTCGCACGGTGGTAATGATTTAAACACTGGAAATTTGAACAGGCAAAGAACCACTCGAGCTGTGCTACGGATTCGGCAGCTTGATTGCTTTCTTGAGCATCATTTACTTCTTCGTGATTTACTTCCTCGTGATGAAGAAGTACTTCGGCGATTGGTTCGAGAGGACCGTTTGGACGAAGGTCGACGCCTCAGCTGGGTACCTTTGGAAGTTTACGTAAGGAAATAAGCCGTTTATACAGCGTGTCGTTACCATCGCGACAATAAATGAACACACATATAGGGGATAACTTTTTACAGTTGTATTAAATATTTAAATTCTTTAAACATCAATATTTACAGAGTTATAAAAATTTCCAAAACAAAGAATTTTAGAACACCCTTACCTATAAAAGCGTAACGTAAAGTTCATTTGTAAAGGTCACAAAGCATATGAATGGGTTGAATGAATTTAAAAGAGACAAAACATACTGTTAGAAGGAGAGGCTTGTAATGCGACGCTGTGGCGCGAGTTGTATAGGATGTTACAAATTTTGTTTCTTTTTTACTTAATTAGTTTGTTTGAAAAATATTTTTTTTTAATTATGGATTTTGTTTAACGTTAATATTTTTTTATGATTATTGGCAAGTAGCGTTAGACGTGTGTTCATTTATTGTCGCGATGGTAACGACACGCTGTATACCAGTATACAGATTTAATATTGCATCACAATTTTCTGAAACGATGTTATTTAACGCGGCTGGAGGGTTTGCGGATGTTATTTAGGAAAAATTGTCACGTAAGGAAATAGCATTGTGTCTCCTCCGTTCGACTTTCAGCGATTCAGTCTTTTTCTTCCTCTTTCTATCACACACTAATTAATTTAACAACGTGCTGCGGTGCTAGGTTTGTTTAATTAAATATTTTATAGTCTTCCTTTTATATTTATGTAATATTCATTCAATGATTTCTTATTCTTCTACTTAGTTTATATGAATCTTTTTCATTTGAGTCCTTGACCATTATTCAAAAATGATACAAAATAAAAAAGAAAATACTATCAAATAAATATTCAACTACTCCCATGAATACTTTTTTATATGTAGCGAGATAAGTTTTTAACAGTTTGTTTGAACTCTACGCTATGACTACGCGTTTATTTACTTAGGTGGTTCCGATGGTGTTTCTCGTTGGCGGTTCTGGTTGCGATTGCCGTGTTCCTTTACGTGGACACCAGGGACTCCCCAGAAAGGCTGATCTCTTTGCTTGGCCTCATCGTACTATTGCTGCTAGGTGAGTTGTTACTCTAGCCGTGGGGAAGCTTTCCACGTGTCTCGCGCGGGGTCAAATGACGCGATGACTCCGTGGCGTAGTTGCCAAGGTATTGGCTTCGGCGTCGACGGTCGTGTTTTCACAGATAATTGTTTCGAATCTGGGTGTTTGTCCGCGTGAAATTTATGTTTGCAAAACGTCCAACACAGGATAATGTATCCTAAAGTAAGGGCAATGTTTATTTTTAAAAATAAAAAAAAATAAAAATGACCCAGGTACACACTTGGACAGTTATTGTTATGCTTTAGTAATAACCTTGACTGCTAAAGCTGTTTATTATTTGCAATAACTTTGTTTTATTGAAGTTATACTTTTTTGGCGCGTTAGGAAAAAATGATGAGAGTAAATTTTTACGATGCGCGCGCACACCGTCATGAAAAACCGACACCCTGAAGTTAGCTAGACATCTACGTATGTTTGCGTTAGAACTGACAACTGCCTTCACGATAATTATTTTGTGATATTTAAATAAACTTTATTTATTTAGATAATGCGTTATAACAAAACTTTCAATGTATTAAATACCTTTTTTCTATATATCTATATGTCGTTTTACCTACAAACGTAGAATACGGCGAAAGATAAAACTTTTGAAAAGTTTTTTATCTTGTTACGCCAAAGAAATATAACTTCTAATGCGTGTACATAAGTACACACACTTTTTTCTATTGTTAGTGCCTTTTTTCTACAAACGTTTCTGCGGTGGTAGGGCCACACAGCAGCCTCGGTTGTTGCACGAATGGGCAGGCTCGTCCGGATAAGTAAGTACCACGACCTCACAGAAGACCAGCGTAAAGTGGAAGTATGACAAATACTTTCGCGTTTCGTCTGGTGAGTGAGGTAGCCGGAGCCCAATTTTCAAAAGGTTGATGTCCATGGGCGGCGGTATTCACTTAACATCAGGTGAACCGTCTGCTCGTTTGGCAACTTTTCACATAATCTTGTTACGCCAAAGTATAATTTCTAACGCGTGTACATAAGTAAACACACACTTTTTATGTCTTGTATATAATTTGAGCCGTCATTCGTTATTAACTCATATAAACATTTCACAATATTTACCTTAATTGCTCACACATTCTGCGAGTTTGAGTAGATTTGGACCAAAACCTTATTTTTATTGTCATCATTTCATTCGGTTCCAATCTTTTCGTTTTTTGAACACTTAAAATTCCTTCCTAGGTTATAACTGGAACGTTCAATAACATTTTGTCGCATTTTCAAAAATACTATTCAACTTTTATTTCGTGTGTAATCAACAGAGCACAGAGTAATACATTTACTACGATAGAAGGGTTGTCTCCTGTTGACGACCGATCGTAAAAATCCTAGCAAGTTTCATGCCCAACATTTGCATGTTGGGCCGAAAGAGAAAAAAAGAAGAATAATCCATAGAGTATGTAACATTTGGATTGGCACAAAAAGGCTGGTTACCCTAATTTGACCGTTGAGTTAGTCTTTAGAGGTCACACAGGGCTCTTTCAGCTTCGTGTACGCAGGTTCTATTAGTATATAAATATTGAAATGTTCAAAACAAGTCATGTGGCGCCACCTTATCTGGATATATGTAATCTGTCATTTATTAAATTTTTTAGTCTGTCAAAACTTCTTGCTGCGTTCTATTAGGTTCAGTATGTGCCAGTTTTATAGCCCCCGATTTGTCCAGGGTTCGTATTCTCGGCCAGTCCCGGACGAATAAAGTGGCGGACGGTCATTATGGGGCTCCTACTGCAGTTCGTCTTCGGGCTGATCTTCATCAGATGGGACACGGGTAGGATGGCGCTCCAGTGCTTCTCCGACAAGGTACAAGGTTTTGAGTGGAATTTTTCATGTAACAGAGTGGCAAACGGGCTGGCGGTTCACCTGATGTTAACCGCCGCCCATGGACATTTCCAACGCCCCTAGGGTTGCAAATGCGTTGCCACCTTTAAATAAAGTGGGCCCCGGCTACCTCACTCACAAGACGAAACGCAGAAGTGTAATACTTCTTCATTACGCCGGTCTTCTGTGAGGTCGTGGTACTTACCCGGATGGACCTGCCCATTCGTGCAAAAGTGTTGCGTGGCCCTACCACCATAAGAGAGAAAGTAAAAGTAGAGTAAGGTAACAGCCTATGAGGCCTTTGCCCCGCAGCGAGACGTAGTCCACCACGCGGGTTGGCGGACTTCACATAGAAATATATATTTTTTTGTTATTATTTCGAAAATATGAAGGTTTTCTCACGATGTTTTCCTTCACTGCTGAGCACATGGTAAGTCAGCACTTAAAATTAACAATTTTATTGCTGCCGGCACCGGGGATTGAACTCAGGTTCAACTCGAATATATTGAATTAAAAGCGAGTGCCCAGACAATGAGCTATCACGTTTTTTTTAATTATAATAATTATTTTATTCCTTAATTATGAAAATCATATGTTCGCAGGTGGCAACATTTCTTTCGTACGGTATTGAGGGTGCCGCATTTGTCTTTGGGGAGTTCTTGGTCCGGACCGAGGGCGTCTTCGCCTTCAGTGTAAGTTTATTTAACTGTTTATTAATTTATATCCATAATTTATTGCATTCTCGTATCAACTAGAGTTGATAGTTTTTATATAGAATAAGTTTAAAAGTTAAACTTGTTTAATAAGTTTTTATAAAATTAAATATTATTAATTGATTTATATTTACTAGTAGTCGCCCAGTGGTCGAAATTCGACTATAATTAATTAATTATACATGACAATAATTAATTAAATATACGTGTGGTAGCTGGGACCCACGCTCTTAAAAATTTGTAACGCTCCTGCAACCACCCGATGATCATCCCCAAGCGACCGTAACCGCTTAACATTAGGTTAACCGCTTAGTTTGACACCATCTAACATAAAAAAAATTATGACACGAAAATGTACAGTTATTGAGACTCACTTAAGCGTTAAGATTAAGATAACGTAGAAAATACGTCTTTGTCTCTCGCCTCATTCTTATTTAAATGTGACAATGCTAAGGCCACATGGACTGAATGACAATTTACCACGGGAGATTGCTTAAACATGTCGGTTAGTAGAATTTTTCGCAGGTACAAACACCTATAAAATAATCTCTGCACTTGAGGTGAAACATTAAAATTTATAGAAAGACGGTGGGGCAGTCAGCCATTTAGCTTCTGGGCACGAATCTGTAAGACGTGGGTTCGATTCCTTTGTGTACAAAACATTTGATATATTAATTTATGAAGGGCCAAACAGCTTTCTTTGTTGTTCCACAAATGGCCAGGCTCCACCAGAACTACCACGATCTCACAGAAGACTGGCGTGAACAATAAGCGCTATACTTCTAATACCTAATTATTAAATACTTTCTAATAAAAATATGTTCTTTGTAAATAAGTCGACAACTTATGTAGCCAATGCAGAAAGTTGGGGCAAATATCCCTTTATGGCCAACCGCTCCCCTGGGAGAAAAAGGTCAAATACTTAGGAGTCACTTTCGACTCGCGTATGTCATTTACTACTCACATTAATAACGTTCGTAATAGAGCCGCGTTCGTCTCCGGCCGGCTACACAATTTAACTAACGCTAAAAGTAAAATGCCCTTAAGGCACAAATTATTATTATAAAAGACCTGCGTACGACCTATTATGTCCTACGCATGCATGATCTTCGCCCACACGCACCCTACTCGCTTGTACAAGCTGCAAATAGTACAAAATAAGTTCATCCGCCGTGCAACCGGTGCACAGTGGTACCAACGCAACGTCGATCTGCACAGCGATTGCAGACTCCCGACTATTCGCGAATATTTCAAAGATCTGACAAAACGGTTCTTCGATAGAGCCGAACATCATCCAAACCCTCTGGTGGTAAGCGCAGCAAATTACCAACCCGACACAAACGCGAACGTCAACAAGCGTCGCCCGCGAAACGTCCTCATCGACCCGGTCGAGGAAGGGGACTTAGATACGCCGGACCCACCGCCGGGGGTCCCGCCGGATAACACTACACCCACAGCTAGTGTACCAACAAACACAATAGTTCGCCCTCGCCTCCGAGCACGGCGAGACCAACACAACGCGTACACAAGGTACACCCGCGTTCCAGGGCGGTTCTCACCGCCCCCAGCCTCCGATTAGCTAAAAACACAGTCGACGGCCATCGGGGTCTCGGTCCGCACCGCAACTTCGATGGCCCTTAGATGACATGTCGTAGTTAAACGCACGCATGAGCACATGCGCGGCCCTACCCACAGCGGAGGGCCCAAACCCGTGGGTTCTGGCTAGCCCACCGGTTCTGCGTCAGATGAAGCTTTAATACTCTCGGGACTGAAAGCAAAAACATCACTTAATACAAGATACTTATGTAGCAAAAAGCAACAGAACGGAATCTAAAAATATCATTTGTAAAAATGTCACACACTATCTGTGTTAATTTGATGTAAAAAAAAACCGCCAAGTGCGAGCCGGACTCGCGCATGAAGGGTTCCATACCGTTATCAAATAAAAACGGCAATAAAATCATGTCTGTTGTATCGGAGCGCCGCTTAAATGTTTTTCTATTGGTTTTTTAGTATTTGTTGTTATGGCGGCAACAGAAATAGATCATCTGTGAAGATTTCAGCTGTCTAACTGTCACGGTTCATGAGATATAGCCTGGTGACAGATGGACGGACAGACAGTCATCGGAGTCTTAGTAATACATATTTTAGGTTTCATCCTAAGTTCATATGGTGGCACTTGAAAAAAAAATTTAAGTATCTAGTTGCATATGATAAAAACGAAAAGATTGATTATATTAGAGAGTACTTACATTTATATTAAGGGCAGCTGGTATCATTTGAAAACAAAGTAGACGATTGCCATTACCACTTTATCTTCTCTTCTAGACGCTCCCCGTGATCTTCTTCTTCAGCATGCTCGTTGAGGTGCTGTTCTTCTGGGGCGCGCTGCAGTGGTTCTGCTTGAAGCTTGGCCATCTTCTGCGTGTCGCCACCTCGACCACTGTCTGCGAGAGCGTCATAGCTGTCGCCAACGTGTTCTTGGGGCAGGTGTGGTGGAAATTTCGTGCAATCGCAAGCAGTTTCATCATCATCGTCTTCTGTCAGCCTGTTAGAATCCACTGCTGAACAAAAATCGTGTTTATTACTCGACTCCCAATCTAACTCGGGTCTCTCTTAATGAGAAAAATAAACCGTGATTAAAATTTAATTTCAATAATCATCAGAAAACTGGATGGATATGATCTACATATATCTAGCAAACCTTCCTACACTTGATAAGGTTTGCGATATAAAAATAATTTTAAATTCACAATTCAACATAGATATAAAACAAACGTATGTATAACTGTAAACTTTTTGTGTGTAGTCAGAATCAGCGCTGATAATCAAGCCATACCTCTCGCTGCTGACACCATCAGAGATACACGTCGTCATGTCTTCTGGCTTCGCAACGGTATCGGGCAAGTTTTTACCTATTACATTTGTATCGATTTAAAATGTAATTCTTTTGAAATGTATCACACTTACGGTTTTCAATGAAAAGGCTGATTTGTTGAAAAAGAGAAGATCTATTTAAAATTAAAGTAAATTGACAGCCTATATGTTTCCCAATGCTGGGAAAAGGCATCCTCTGTAAAAAGATTAACGTAGTCGCACGGGACCCCACCGCGTATGGGCAATCTTCACATTCTTCTGTTTTTTTTTTATTATTATCGTGAAATGTCCAGTTTTACTCATGTTGCTACAATTGCAATTAAAAATTTATTGGTGCCGGCACTGGGATTTTATATAAGGTTGCTCGAGTGTATTTAATTGGAAGCGGGCATGCGGACTCTAAGCTAACACACGACCAATATTAGTTATTAGTTATTCCTCCTTTTTCCCTTAACATTCTTACTTAGACTTCTAAGACATTCAAATAATAAATTGTCTCCACGGATATGTACGTAACGTTTTAACGATACACACACCAATTGTCGAATACGTTCTTCTAATTATCCAAGCTGTAACTACACAAGTTCTCTATTTCATCAGCTCCAGTCTTCAACTCTAAGAAATTGTTTCCACGGACATTTATCAGGCGCGGATCTATAGTAAAATTTTGGGCTCGGGCTGAGGTTGCAGAACCACGGAAGCTTAACAACAAACATAATTATTACAAATAATAAAAAGAAAAAAAATTAAAACTATTTCTTTTTACTCCTCAAAAAATGTTTGAATTTTTTTTAGAAGTTTTACAGTCGGGATAAAATAAAATTTATTTCAGACATAATAAAACTTCTTAATATTTATATTTTGCTTCGAAATAAATATATATATATATATATATATATATATATATATATATATATATATATATATATATATATATATATATATATGTATAACCTTTCCCCTAGATTGGCGTTTGAAATGTAATTTTCACGAGAAGAATGCATTAAAAGTTACCGCCAAATGTTTCTAAACCACCTAATTTAGCCCAGTAATAGCCAGGAGCCAAAACGTTTTATGGCGAAATTTTATTAAATAAATAAGAATGTTGAAAAAAAAAAAAAAAAAAAAAAAACAATTTTCCCCGCCCCTCTCGGCCCCGAGTGAACGGCAGTCAATGTGTTAAACGTTACCGCCAAATGGTTTTAAGGCCCGGGCTTAAACCCACCAGGCACGATCCTGGCGGCGTACATAGCGTTCGGCGCGGAGCCCGCCCACCTGGTCACCGCCAGCGTGATGTCCGCGCCCGCCGCGCTCTGCTACGCGAAGCTCATGCTGCCGGAGACGCGGCGCTCGCTCACCACCGTCGAGAACATCCAGCCGGTGGAGATGTGAGTTCGTCGAGGCGACGGTGACGGCCAACCGCCAAGTCGTCTTCTGCCCTATACCATCTAGGGGCGGCGCAACGTGTGAACCGTGTTGTGGGCAATTGTGGCTAGGTTTTTTACGACCAGCCTGACATCAACCATCCTTTTTTCTCCGTGGGAAAAATCCATTATTTATTTATAGTTTTTTTTATGTGAAAAGTTGCCAAGCGAGCAGACGGTTCACCTGATGTTAAGTGAATACCGCCGCCCATGGACATCTACAACGTCTGAGGGTTCCAGATGCGTTGATAACCTTTTGAAAATTGGGCTCCGGCCATCTCACTCACCAGACGAAACGCGAAAATATTATACTCCCACTTTACGCCGGTCTTCTGTGAGGTCGTGGTGCTTACCCGGACGAGCCTGCCAAGGCCTGACAAGGCCGCTGCGTTCGTTACATATTCGGTAATCGATGTCGGTGACGCCCGATGTTGGACATTTCACCGACGGGTGCCAACATCGCAAACTGACATCGCTGTTAGAAAAACGACCATCCCTAATCACAATGATAATTCCGACCAGCGAGGACCAGTCAGCGTTGTCGGCTGCGACCCGCGGCGCCACCAACGGCGTGTCCCTCATCCTGAACATCATCGCCAACCTGGTGGCCTTCGTGGCGTTCATCGCGTTCCTCAACGGCGTCCTGGGCTACTGCGGCGGTCTACTCGGCGATCCGGACATCAACCTGGAGTGGATCTTCGGCAAGGTCTTCATACCGCTCTGCTGGCTGATGGGTAATCGCGTTATTACGTTAACCGGAAGTTTATGTTCCCAATATCTGTCCTTGTTTCATGTTGACTCTTCTGAAATGTTGACGGGTGGAAATCGTGAAAAAAAACTGATGGTGTGATAGATGGATTGCGAAAATAAAATATAAAACATCTGTCAATCTTTTTAATCTTCTTGAGTAGAACTTGGGTTGAAAAATGTGGAAGTATCAAAAGAAAGGACAGAATCGCTAAATGTTCAAACTACAATGTACTACAAATAGTATACTTTTCGATTTTTAGTTAGATACTGTTTTAGTCTTTAGTCTGTCTGTTTTAGTTTTATTCTTTCATTTAGATTTTTTTTATCTTTTGTTTTATGTTATCGTTATTTTCTAACAAGAGCGACATCCTTTAATACTGTTATCTATGTAATTATCGTTAATTTTTTGTTCCGATTTGTGAACTGCAAGCAATGAAAGGTTTTTTCATACTCCAGGTGTTCCGTGGGAGGAGTGCGAACACGTTGGCACCCTGGTGGGCCTTAAGACGGTCGTCAACGAGTTCGTCGCCTACCAGCGCATGGGTGAAATGAAGAAGGCCGGCTTGCTCTCGGTGAGTGGATCGATACATAAGTAATTTACTTATGTAAAAAAGCATTTGGTTGGAACTACCCTGGGATCCGTGCTAGTTCAATGTTACGGTGCTCGTTTTTAATTCGATATAGCTACTTGAGCTACCCGAGTTGAAATTCCGCGTGCATAGAATGTCCGGGTGCTGGCTTTCAATTAAACATACTCGAGCAACCTGAGTTCAAATTCCGGTGCAACGAGATAGTTAGTGGTAATTTACAGTGCTGTGTTCAGCGCTGAAGGAAAATGTCGTGAGGAAACCAGCACATTTTAGAAGGTATGCGAACTGCGCCAATCGACGGTGCGGTCGCGTGGACTATGTATGGACCTTTGACCAACAGTGGGACAATATAAGTGGCACGATAATGTATAATAGTTCAATAATTCGCTTTCGCCCGTTTCTGCTTTACATAAATGTCACTACGGAACGGTAGATTTAAAAAAAAAATACTATCGATATCTTATTTCTATGAACAAATGATTTGATTTTATTTAGACTGTAATTTTTATCTCTACACCGCGATAGCCTCGAGCGGAGCTGATAGCGACTTACGCTCTGTGCGGTTTCACCAACCCAGCGTCCGCGGGAATCATGATTGGAGCGATCTCCGCAATGGCGCCCAGCCAGAGGGAGACGTTGTCCAGTGTAAGTAGACACGGCCGTGAAACGATATTCTTTGACGTGAAAAGATCAAGACAATCGGTCGAAAGATCGTAGAGTAATTTTTAGCTAAAATGTCTCAATCGATAGTTGTATTATTAATACATGAATGTAGATATATCTTTCACATGTGGCTTACAAATGTTTTGATATTATTTTTGTTTGCGAATAGGTAATGTAAAATTGTATCATTTAGCAGCGACGGCCTTGAAATGTATGTTTATCAAAATATTATAACAGAATTTATGTATTTTTATTTTTATCTAATAAAAGATAGCAAAATATCATCGTTCATTTGGCTAGAATCTACATATTCGCAATAACAAATTATAACCAAGAATACTATTGCTTTTGCTTTTGCTTTTGCTTGTATTTGCGCAAAAGTTTTACAGAGAAATGTATAAACATCAATGTAGATAAAAGACGTTAAGATTTTCGTCGGTGTAGCAATCAGCCGTTTAGCTTTGTAATTAAAGCATCAGGCCGCGAATGCCAAAGACGTGGGTTCGATTCCCACAGCGGCGACAATCTTTTCGTACTTTTTCTACATATTTTAATTTTCTACATATTTTAACACCAATGTTTCTCTAAATTTACGCAGGTCGCCGTCAGAGCGTTTTTCACTGGATGCGGTATTTGCTTTATGACTGCATGTATAGCAGGTAATGTAACCATAATTACCACCACCTACCTAATATACAGACCTAATTACTGTGCCGGTTTAAGCACATGCAAGAGTAGCAATTGCTACGGGCAAACCCACTCATATCTGTCTGTGCGTAATTTTTTGAGTGAAACTTATTAAGTAAGAATGTTGAATTGTTTTTGACCTCTTTATACTTAAGAACTCATTTCAGATCAAGGGCTGTATGAAAGAATTAGCAAAGGGCCCCGCGTTTGCTTAATCCGGGATTGTAATTGCTGATTCTGATAACAAAACTTGGTCTAAAACATTTATTTCTGTTTTAACCAAATAATTATAATATATTTAGTGAGAAAATACATATAAAAATAAAATATCTCTTAAAAGAATCTCTTACAAAATCTCTTAAAAAATCTCATACAATCTTTAAAGCCCTGGAGTCATGGGACTTTTCCAATACTAGGATCATGCTAATACACTTATATTTTTATATTTATACATTTCTTTTTTTCAGGTCTTCTAATGCCCGAAGGTTCGTTCGATTGAAGTGAAAAGAAATGCCATGAACTTAAGTCTTATTTACCACGCGTTTTCGTTAGTGAAGTTATGATGTGCCAGATATAATATTATTTATTGATTAAGCGATTGAATAAATATTTTTGTACAACAAAATGGTTTTACTTTCAATATATTTTAATACTTGTACGCATTGACGTATATGGACACTTTGCTGTAGTTGCGTTGCTCAGTTTGAAAGATAGAGCGATTGAAAGATAAAGCGACAGCGCTGAACGGATAATTAGTAATAGTACCTGGAGGACCGAGCTTTCCTCGGTTTTTTCTGGTAAATCGTGTATTTTGGTATTATTAGTATATTAAAAGTAAAGAAAACAATGATCTGGTATAGAAAAAAAAGTAAAAAAGTAAGTGTGTAAGGATCGTGATACGAACCGCGGCTGTTTTGGGGCCGCCTGATTACCGATCGAGCTATTATAAATTTTTTTTTGGGGCGAAATTTACCGTCATAGCTAGATCGATTTTTCGCCCCCGAATTTACGCACACACTAAATTTATATATATACAAGAATTGCTCGTTTCAAGGATAAGACCAGTGTTAGCCAAGCTGTCGAAATTCGACCATAATTATTTTATTTCTTCATGGTAGTGTCTTATGTCTTTTTTATTGATTTAATATATTTTTATGGATAATTATGATCTGCACTCCTCTATATAAACTACTAGCGACCCGCCCTGGCTTCGCACGGGTGCAATGTGTTATACATAGATATACATTCCTCTTGAATCACTCGAAACTAGTAAAAAAACTGCATAGAGATCCGTTGCGTAGTTTTAAAGATCTAAGCATACATAGAGACAGACAGACAGCAGGACGACTTTGTTTTATACTATGCAATGTGGGGGAAATTTCGGTTTTTGCTTCACGTATTAAATAAATAAATATTTTTAGGACACATTTTTACACAACGTTCTCTATCTATTATGGGTACTAGATAACTGATAAATATGGGTACTTAAACATACTTTCATATTAATAAAGATGAGGAAATTGTCGGCTACGGGTTGTCGAGGTCGTGCTATTTCGTTGGTTGGTGGAATACTTACTTATAGACATTAGGCGTGGCCTGTGTGGTGATTTCTAACTTTACATAATTCCCAAAATGTAAACTGGTAACTCATGGACATACCGATGTAATTAATAACTTTGTGGAAAGGGATGTTGTACTTATGTTTTTATTTGAAAGCAAAAAGATGAAAAGCACTGTATTAGCAATAACTATGAGTAAACTAAAACCTATTCTGTCTTTAGTTTTAATAACTAACTCTATTGACATGAATACCCACTGGCAGTCATTTTCTTTTTCGAACCGTCAAAAATGTCACTGCACCATGCACTCTATCAGGGATCGTTTCAATTTAACAAAAACATACGGAAAAACTTTTGGCATAGTGCATTAGTTATGATACCTTATCATTTTCAAATTTACGCGAGTGTGTCGTTCTTTCTATTCTGCAAAATCCTTGGTAAATACGTGTCGGGACGGACTCCAATGTTGGAGAAGGGCCGTCAAGCATTGATGAGCGCAGAAAGGCCTGCTAGCGACGAGGAGGCGGCGTGTAAATGGATCCCCAAGAAGAAACACGAGGTGCTGAAGGCAAAGTACAAATGCCTGAAGAAGCTGTTCCAGATCTACGACGCGAGCGTGATAGGAATTCTGCCGGAGCCCTACGCAGCGCCCGAGATAGTCGAGAGGGAGAGGAAACACTCAAGGAGGCGACGCTCGCATAGAACGAAGACGGACGCGTGCTCAGGCACAAACGAAATAGCGTGCGACGTCGAGAAACGGTCTATAGCGACTGCTGTCATCCGTGACTTGAAGCTGCAATACACGCCCACTTCCATCATCGATTCGGACACGAGGCCGGAAACGAGACGCGACAAGTTCACCCAGGACTCCAGGGGCTGCCTTTCCGCCGGCGCGAGCGAAAAAGAGTGCGAGTACACCCAGACCTCGGAGCTGCTGCGGATGCCGTATTTGACGGGGAAAGAGACGAAGCCGAAGCCGACCCGCTTCCAGATGTTTCTGCAGCGTCTGCTCGGCATCAAGCGCGAGAGGACTAATCATCCGCCGCCAACGCCGCACGTATACGCGGCTAGCGACAACAACATCAACGATCGGTACGGCAAGAGGCGCAAACGGGGTCTGCGCTTTCGGAGACTCCGCGGCCCTAAGATCCATTCGGAGACGGCCCTGAGGGATGGACGCAACCCAGTGATACTGAACTACGTGCAGTCCGTTCAGAAAAACTGCTTGATGGACACAACGCCACGTCAATGCCCTTTTTTAGGGTGCAGGATGATTTTCTACGGTATGTATATTGTATCCTCCTTTTTCCATAAAAAAATGTGTTTCATTAAGTGCTTAAAACTTGTGTTGATGTGCTTCATGAGTTACACGTCATTTAGGTTACAAAATTTGAAGCGTTCTCGAAAGTAGATGACTGTTTTCCGTATTTTCCTGTAGTATTAATGTAGTCTAATAAAGCGTAAAGCTAAGAGCATTCCTGATTTTTAACCGCTATATCCATTCGATTTTACGTCAAGAAAATCTCAAAAATCTTTTTGTTTTATTTCATGATACGAGAGAGCGTTTTTAAGTTCGCGGACTCGTAAAAATGAATTTCACCAATTTTCCAATTGTATGAATTTGTATCTGTGTATCAATTCCAATGGCAGGAATCATAAACTACAACGACCACCTGAACCTGTGCCACTTCACCGACCGCAAGTACTTCTGCCACTACTGCCACGAGGGCTTCGTAAGGGACTGCGACAAGCTGGTCCACGAGAACGAGCACATCGGCATCACGAAGCTGAACGCGATCAACAAACTGGCCTCCACTCCGTCTTCCGACCGGCGGTCGTACAAAGTGGCCAGCCTGACGCAGACCGAGCCCCAAGCGGCACTGGACGTCGACGAGGAGAAGCTCAAGAAGATAGTCTCCTTCTTCGACAAAATCGACGACCCCGAGGAGATATTGGCCGAGCTGAAGAGGAGTCGACATTCCCGCTCCAACATGAACCTTACACGCCACTCGTCCAGGACTGAAGCCGCGACACCCGAGCCGAGGAGGTCGGACCGCAACACCCACGGAGCGTACAGCAGTGTACAACTGCGCAAAACCGACAGGAGGTCCCATTCTTCCGGCTATTCTGACGCACTCGCCCATCGTTCGTCGGCGTCTTCGCTGAAATGCCAAATGTGCGGGGACAGTTTCGATCGCAAGTAAGACCAGTTTGTTTCCAACTAGTTGAAGACCAGGTCTGTTTTAACCTTTTACGGTGGTAGGGCCACGCGGTAGCCTCTGTTGCACGAATGGGCTGGCTTGTCCGGGTAAGTACCACGACCTCACAGAAGACCGGCGTAAAGTGGAAGTATAATACTTTCGCGTTTCGTCTGGTGAGTGAGGTAGCCGGAGCCCAATTTCCGAAAGGTTGTCAACGCATCAGCAAATCCTCGGATGTAGCAGATGTTCATGGGCGGCGGTATTCACTTAACATCAGGTGAACCGTCTGCTCGTTTGGCAACTTTTCACATAAAAAAAAATTACTAACGCAGTTGGGTAGACATAATTTTTGTTCAGGCACTAATTTTTCCACACAAGAAATCCAAATAAGCTAAAAGTTAGTGAAATGTGGTAAGGCCACGCAACAACTTCGGCTGTTGCACGAATTGGCAGGTCTGTCGGGGTAAATACCACGTGAAGTAGAAGGGCCCACTTTTTTAAAAGGTGGCAACGCATCTGCAACCCTACAGGTGTTGCAAATGTCCATGGGCGGTTTTCATCTTTACATAAAACATGCCTGTACTTTGTAGGTTATATACCTATGATACAGTACAGTGCGTCAAATACAAGCATTACTACTGTAATTACTATCATACATCAATTGCTCCAAGGGAATATTTAGCTAACCACTAATTGTTGCTAACTCTCATCTCATATTATCCAGGCAGCGTTTGAACCTACACGTTGACACGGAGCATCGAGGGCACAAGCAGAAGTATCTAAGCGCGATGGGAAGCCAACGCGAGCGAGACACGTCAGAACGCCTCGAACGCTGCAGCGTCTCGACTGTTCGCCGGGTCGATACATCGTCAACCCTCACCCAGTCTCCATCGGAGGGTTCCAACAAGAGCTGCGACCCTTCCACCAACATCGTGTACTACACTTCATTGGAGTCGGTCAGGAAGCCGTCCGTCAAGGACTTCATGGCAAAACATGCACGCAGCAGTTTCGGCTACAAATGGGAGCCCGGCACCAAAGCCAGTCTTGCCTGAGCCAAGACTAGTGTGAAGTGATCATTTGTTTCGTCTTTAAAACTAATGGAAAAACCTTGTATTATTTATATTTGGACTGTGAAGTCGTTAAGTTACGTTTCTTTGAAAGCAGTTCACTTGGAGTAGTGGACAATTTTTTTATGTGTTCGGCCGGACAACATAGCTATTATGATGATAGCCTCAAAAAATTTAAATAGTGTAATTCAAGTTAGAACTATTACTGTAGTTTTAATTTAATCAATAATGTAACAAATTAAAGATTATAGTAGCTATAATCTTTAGTTGTATTTGTACCTAATAAGCTTCGGCCGTATTAATGAAAATTTATAAATTCTAATTTATAGGTATCGTTGACGATGACGGCGACTTACTCCGTAGGTTTAAATGTAATGTGATGTGTCTGCCGTCTCTGGTAAATATAGAATAATTATAAATTACACAACTATTCCATCCTAGTACTCCTGCGATATTTTCGAATACTGTGTTAAGGTTTTGAGGATTATTTAATAATAATCCCATAAGATTTATTTGAATTTCTAATCATTTCATCTATAGAAGGCGATAATTCAAATATTATTTCAGATGTGTTACCTGTTGCTCATTTTTACTCATAGCTCATTAGTCATAGTTACATTCTTGCAAAAATAATATTGACCGAATGAAGTTTCTCGCACCCGCATGATGTTTGATAAAGTCTAGTGGGGGATGGGTCTGCACACTTACCTCGCGATTAATGCGGAATACTTTACGTCAGATTTCTGCAGTCAGGGGTCCAACGAACCACTGGCCGTCAGCGGTCAGTTGGGGTCCAAGAAAAGTGCCAACCACATATGAAACGGCACTAACATAGCGGCTGGTCCCACTGTTTATTAACTACAGTGTAGGTCACACTGTAGTTAATAAACAGCCGCAACATCGCACCCGTGCTTTTATTTCAATTTTGCCCATGGGTTTACCAGTTTTTTGGGGGGAAACCAAAATTATTTAATTTCATAGGACCAAGTCTAAGACGTCTCAGATTACCAGGACAGCTTATGCTATTATAGTATTCTAAGAATGTTGAGAACAATACAAACAAGTACGTAGGTAGAATCCTATATGCTATCTTTGTTCAGATTTACTAGGTAAGTAATTATAGGTAACTAATAATTTTCTTTTCGCAAACTAACTACATATTAAAGAAACAAACAGTCAACAGACACAAGTAAAGCATGTGTTATCAAGCATGGATTGAATCCAATCTGGCGTAAGACAGGTTTACTATCCGCTATAAAATTTAATAATTCTAAGATAATTAGCTCAGTTTGTTATAGTCTGCATAAAAGAGCCTGTCTGAGTGGAATATCGGATATTATATTCATATTTACAGTAGGAAACAACGTCGCTCCTTATATTTTACGCAAATTAGAAGACCATAACACAGGCTGTGTTTAATCCCAAAAAAATAAACAGCGCTTGCAACTTCACTGGTGTTGTGAATGGCCATTGACAATGGTGAAGTCGTAAATACCCCTGATCCGGAACAACAATCTGTGAGTACAAGTACTTGTCCCATATGGGAATCGAACCAAGTCAGAACAAGTGATTGAATGACCAATAAGTGGCTGGCTATATTGGTTGAATGAGTTTGAAAATTTGTTTGTAATTAAATATTTAAATAAATAAATATAAATATTTAGATCACATTTGTACACAACATTTTCTAGTCCCAAACTAAGCAAAGCTTGTACTATGGGTACTAGAAAACTGATAAACATACTTAAACATACTTTTCTTTTGTCAATAAATACATATTATACATATAGAAACACCCAGACACTAGAAAAACACCAAGTTCATCACACAATATTTTTCCAGTAGTGGGGATCGAGCCCACACCCTCTGGCGCAGGAGGCAGGTACACTACCCACTACGCCATTCGGGTCGTCAAAATTATATCTACATATGATGTATAGAGAACAGGTTTTAAGAAAATAAGTATATTATACTCGGAGACATTCACTCGTATGGCCTAGGTAAAGAAAGAAAAAAAAGAAAATACAAACCACACATGTTTATTGCAGTTTTTATAAACCCTATACAACATCCACTTGATCTGTGAGATCGCTCAAGAGACCAAACTCGTCAATACTGATATCCTCTAAGGACAACACAATAGTTTCTTACAAAACAACAGACGAATCGTAAAAACAGGTACGCCTTTTACCGAACCGTATCCATTGCACTATTCTGGATTTAAGGCCCATTTACACGATGCCATTTTCTTGTACATACAAGTGCAATAATTGAATGCAATAAATTGCGCGCAATAATTGTTTAGACCATTTGTTGTTTAGACCATGCAACTCATTTATTGCTTCAATTTAATCGCATACAACAGGCAAGAAAATGGCATCGTGTAAATGGGCCTTTAAATGGTATCCATACGCATCTATAAAATACTTTTGTTGCTTAGCAGTAAAAATTAACTAACAGCGAGTTTAAAACGATAAATAACAACAAACCTTAGCCAATATAACATCTCTCGAAAAGTATTGCTATTAGAAATATTTCACCACTAACCATTGCAATGGTAGGAAATAAAATCAATTTTAAAACATGTGATATACAAAAAAATTATTGGGTAAAGAAAAAAACATTTCATACTCTTTAGTTAAACGAATGATAAAATATTTAGACATATAATCTTAATAATTACCAAAAACCTATGTAGTTATTCCAAAAATGTTTAACATTGCATAAAACAAAAATGTTTGTTTTTTGTATATTGCAGAATCCTTACAGCATTAATAAAGAGATGTGCGACATGATATAATCAATATTTGCTCACTCTTATGTTGCTGATGTGAAAAAAAAAAAAGAACAACAGTCTACCATAAAATGATGACATTATCAAAACGTATACATAGACCTACTATATTGCAAGAAATAAAATGAAACATCTAGAAATTCAGTCGCCACAGCAACTACTCGAATAATATGAGAACTTCGATTCGTTGAAAATAACTTCCCTCCTTCGAGATTTGCTAAGCAGCGATCTCACAACATCAAAATATCCAACAGTATACCGCACGAGTTCCACTCGAGTTACCTTAGCACCGTGCCGTGATATAACAACCCCCCCACGAGAATGCATTACAGAAAACGCAAAACTTAAACGCGCCCGCGTGAAGTTAAAACGGCTAAAATGTAATAAATATTGCGAACAAACATTAAATGTAATGCATTGATGATATGAAAAATAGGTTTATTATTATAGATTAAAAACTTTGAATTTAAAATTGTCAAAAACTTTGAATTTAAAATTGTTCAAGCGAAACTAATTTTTTGGATAAGTAAATGTTATTATTCCACAGGGCATTATTTAAATGATAAAATTTTACAAAAGCAGTTTTCCTAGATTATATTAACTTTTTTTTTTTGCATTTTTTTAATGTATAATGAAATATTTGTTCACCAGAAATGGTAGAACATAAAGGATCCACAGCGTTTAAGACCTATATTGTACTATGTCGTAACAAATAAACGTATCTTTCTTTCTTTCGACTTCCCAGTAGTCGATAATCAGGTCTCAATGGGACACCAGAGGCGAATTGACTCGTTGAAACTTGAGATGCGCGTTTAAGTTTTACGCGCGCTATACAATTCCAAAGTAACCTATCACAATAGTTCGTCGGGCTTCAATGACTAGTATTGACAGTGTGCGGTTCCGATGGAGCTGTATTACACTAGTTTCACAAATGGCGCTTTATTAAACGTGTCAACTTAAAAATAATATAAAATTCTTTATTTTTTGGTAGAGTACTACTACATCATCGATTCTTTGAAATATTGCAACATGCACTCAAGAGGTATGGTCAATAAACCGTACATATCCAAAGTTGATGAGAAAAGCAAATTTTTTTCGTATATGAGTAGTTATGTAGACGAAGATATTTTGCATCACATGCGACCATTTTGGATAGGACACTAATGTAATATAGCTCTTAGTAACTAAATCATCAATAAACAGTAGCAAAATCCATTGAATCGCTCAACCATGTTGGCTATGCTATTATATTTTATTACCTGTGCGATTTCGTAAAAAATCATCATTAGATAACATGTATCGGTGCAAATCATTAACTATTGACGTTTATCACACTTGTTACTACTACAGGCATGCACTTAAAAACTAAAATCGAATAAGCAATGAAACATGCATTTTTCCATATCGTCGTCGAAACGTATACAATTGATACAATATATGAATATAATGTGAACAAACTTGTTACATACCATTACTAATGTGGATTAAAATAATTACAGGTTACAATTTTTAAGGCATATAGATGAATAAAATCGGTGTTTATATAACGCACACATCCCGTTAAATAACTTACGGCAATATGGATCTCTGAAAATAATAGAAACGCACTTGAAATGCGATCTTAGAAAATCTCGACAATTTCGTTTCCAACGATATACCATTTGCCAACCAACATTATAATATTCTCTCCTCTCTCTCTCTCTCTCCACGTTACCGTAAAACTTTTCCAAAATAAACACTTTCTTTCTCTTAACATCAATTTCTTTTACAGTCCGAAAATATAAGTGTGCAACACTACTAGGACATAATAATTATTATGTGCTAGCGTAGGGCTAATGGAAGGAAAACGAAGAGAATAGTTGTAACTTGTCTATTGTCTATTTCATTTCTTTCGATTTCGACCCCACTGACTCTATAAAACTTCATTAGTCTCAGAGCATTAATGGTTACCACTTTAAGACTTAATATTTGTGTAAAATAGACAAAATATATTCAAATCAAATGTGAACTCATAAAAAATGTAATGGTGAGTACACTTTGCATTAACATTTTCCATTACTCGTCATTTAAATTTCAAATGCGCCATGTTTAATAAAAAGAATTCCTTCCATCTCCCTAGGCCCGTGATTATACATTTTAGTTAATAGCCAATTCTTATTTTAGCCATAATTCTTAAAGTAAAGATACATATTCCGCCAAATTACACTGCATACAACCCTACCAAGTCACAAATATATGTGGGGTTGCAAGCGGTAGGAGCAAAAAAAAAACGCAATGTCCCAATTAGAAATACCAATTTTGTTATTTATATTAAATGTTTCACATGATGAAACCTAGAGTTTCAAATTACTGTGAGGAGATTTGAACAATCAACATTTACATTTTAAATTTATATTACGTATATTAAGATAAAAATGGCTAAAAAACATGTTAAATACCAAGCAACTTTATAAATAATACAAAATTGAAACAAACCAAGAATATTAATTTGAACCGTTTTCGCAACCCCATCATATGTGTCCCTTAACCTACCTTACTTTATGATTGCAAAGTATTAACAAATGATGTTTCAAAACAAAAATTGAATAAGCCTAACTTGTAGTGTATATGTCCATATAAAACTATATTAAACGCATAGTTACAATAAAAGAGAACTAATAACCATAGTGACTGATAACAATCCTAAAACTGTAAATGCTTTGATGATGGCAAAACAATTAATTGATTAAAAAAAAAAAAAATACTATGTGGCTTATTTACATTAGGTATAATATGATATATTTAGTGTGTGTAGTGTGTATATTACAAAAGCCTCGATAAACACTTTGTAAGAAATATTTGAGTATTACATTGTTCAAATACGATCTACATTCCTTGTTCATTGCAGAAGTCTATCTTCAGCTGAAAAAGAATTTTTAGAGCATTTTTATGGAATAATGTTTCATCACATATGAAAGTCAGATGAAGACCTACTTGTAAATTTTGTGAATTTGGCACAAATAAAAGATAATGCAGCTAAACATTGTTCCTGGCTTAAGATATACAAAATGTTTATCGAAGACTGAAAGTTTTCAATGATCTACTACATAGAGAAGCATGATAACAATTTAAAGATTCTATGACTTTCTAGTGCAAAGTTAAAAAAGCTATGATAAGATAACAGAAATTTGACAAAAAGATTTCTTTCCGAATTTCTTCGATAATATATGTATAAAATATTCAATATTTTTAAATACAATATGTAGAAATGAAAATTTTTGGGTCTTATAGTTTAATATATGCATTCAATGATGTAAAAAATTGTTGCCAATATAAATTTACCACTACAAACTATAATTAAAAAAAGATATTAAGACTCATTTTGGAGGTATTTGTTTTTGAGCTACCCTTAATTTGCTTTCCGTAGAACTCGATTTTAAATGATCATACAGAACTAGACAATTTCCAAATTCTTCACCCCATGCAATTTCCATCTGAAAAATAGTAAAATTTTTTATTTTTTTAACAATTTAAACAAAAATAATAAGATTTGAATTTATTGTACTCAAAACTTAGAACTTCTTGAGATAATCTCTTATATCGCCACTTAAATGTAATTTAAAAAACCAAAACAATATTTGGAAAACCATTCGATCTATAGTCTCCAACACTAAAATAAGATTAATATTCAATTAAATCACAGTTCAAACCTAGGACATTGAAGAGCAGGGCAAACGTGGGCTGCCCATCTGAGTAAGAACTCGATCCAGCCATTGCAGAGGTCCATTCAAATGGAGCTCAATCCAGCACGGAGTGGAAGTCACTGTTTGTCTCCTGTAAGTAATAAGGTATAATTAATAAAACAAAAGAAGCCGTGATAGCTCAGTGTCCGGGCGCTCGCCTTTAATTTAATATTGCAACAAAAAAATAGAGCAACCTGAGTTCGATCCCCGGTGCCAGCACCAATGAAATTGTCAATTTTAAGTGCTGAATTATCACGTGCTCAGCGGTGAAGGAAAACATCGTGAGGAAACCTGCATATTTTCGAAATAACAAAAAAAAATATTTCGAAGATATGTGAAGTCTGCCAATCCGCAGTGGGGCTGCATGGTGGACTATGCCCTGATACCCTCTGTACAGAGGAGGCCTTTGCCCAGCAGTGGGATATGTATAGGCTGATACTTTACTTTACTTTTTAATAAAACAATGTCTATGCAATTTTTAAAGTTTTTTATAGTGCTAATCTCTGCACTTAAGATTTCAAATTAAAACATGTAAAGTACGAAAAGATTGTCGCCGCTGTTGGAATCGAACCCACGTCTTCAGCGCCCAGCGCGGCGGCAGACGTGGGTGCGGAATCATTAGTTATGATTGTGATTGCGTCGTATTACGTCACCATGTGTCTGTTGGTGTACAATACACTATAAAACACAAGTACTCTTAGTATATTTTTCAAGTATTTAGAAACCTGATATACCTGATATTTTTTACGATTTCAATTTAGGTTTTCACGACAATAATTCAATGCAAGATCATTTAACACTTCTCAAAGAGGCCAGTGTTATAATGTCATTGTTTTCATTGACTGACCAATAATATTTTTAGTATATGTGAGAAAGTGCCAAACAAGCTGGCGGTTCACCTGATATTTAGTGATAAACGCGGCCCATGAACATTTACAACACCCGTAGAGTTGCAAATGCGTTGCCACCTTCAAATAAAGTGGGCCCCGGCTAGCTCACTCACCAAACGAAACGCAGAAGTGTAACACTTCTACTTTACGCCGGTCCTCTGTGAGATCGTGGTACTTACCCGGACGGAGCTGCCCTTTCGTGGTCTTACCACAGTTTAAATGTAAAAGTCTATTGTTTTAATACCTGTACTCCGCGCCCCATCCCTTAACGAAGCTCATCCGTATCGTGCACATACGCGTCAGCTGGAAAACTGCCTCGAAACCTTGCGACACAGATTGCGATAGCAGCGCGGCGAACTCCTGGTTGTTGAAGATCTTCAAATTGCATCCTATAATGAGAGGACACTGGTGACAGGGCTAGAACCGTATAAACTTTACCACGCATGGCAAGCAATAACGGAATTTGAACACTTCCTAAATTACAGTATTTATCGACTAATGCCCGGTTTCTGAAACACTGATCAGATCATGTCTTCTTTTTTTACTTAAATTTGAAGCTCTTTAACATAAAAATTTATTGCAGCGCCGAAATAGTATTTTAATTTAATTTTTCACAGAAAGCAATTTTAATAGATAAATTATATGACACCCAAGTAATTTTCTTAGTATAGGCTTTTCTTTATATTACTGTGGTCCCTACCAATATCTTCTGCTGTTGCACAATGGGCACACTTGTCCTGGGAAGTACCACGGTACACGAAAAACCGACACAAACTGGCATTATTAAACTTTCGCTGTTTGTCTGGTGTGTTAACCAGGCCCGCATCAATAAGCTATTGGGTGATATTAAAATCTGTTTTGAGAGGACATTCATTTAACACCAGGTGAACCGCCTCCTTGCTTGACAGCTTTTCACATAAAAAGTAGAGTACTAAAAAGACCAATAAAATGTTAAGATTTTCGCCGCTGCGGGAATCGAACTGGCCGCAAATCCGGATTGATGATTTTTTTTAATGTTTCATATTAAGTGCAGAAGATTAGCAATATAAAAAACTAAATATCACACACAAGATGTTATTTTAACTAAGTTTAATTTTAGTGTCAACAGTTATCATCAAATTTTACTTACCAGGTGGTATTTTGCAGACTGTGGCGGGATGCCATCCATAGCGCTGGTTGCAATTAGGGCTTTGTACGAAAATCGACGAGTCACTAAGACACTCAGCAAATACCTCGCCTGTAATTTATTGTACATATGTTAATCATGGACTGCTAAATATTTAATTTTGCATAGCTAGAGTTAATTATAAATTATTCAATTTCTTTAAAGAAACAAGGATGAATGATAAATGAAAATTTACCTCCGATATAATACAGTCTGACTCCTTTTCCGATGTGACGGCGGGTTTGTTCCACTACTTCGTTTCTGTTCACATTTGACAACAAACCCAAGCAGAACCTGCAATTTATTAAAAAATATTTAACAATTGATCACTTCATAATCTGCGATTATGATAAAAATATGACTGAATTGACAAATAGATATGAAAACATTACAAAGATAATCAAGACATTGATGATCTGATGATAGATATGATACTGTATATACTTGTATGCAAAGCATGCAAGGACTGTTAGAAGACACTGGTAATGTGACGTTGTGGCAACAAATGAAAAAAAAAATGGCTCAGTCAGTTGTAGTTGTATGTAGCTGTATAGGTGTTACAAATTTGGTTTCTTTTTTATTTAATTAGTTTGTTTGAAAATTATTATTTTTTAATTATGAATTTTTTTAACATTTATATTTTTTTATGATTATTGGCAAGTAGAAGTGTGTTCATTTATTGTCGCGGTTGTAACGCCACGCTGTATAAAATGTATAGGCCAGTTGTGGGGAGTGATGTCACCTCTCGCTGTTGCTGGGGTCGGTGAAGCCGTCCACGGTGATGGAGGGCTGCGAGGCGTGGAAGGTCTCGCCGACGCGCGTGTTCAGCTCGTAGTAGCTGATGCTGCACCAGAAAGCCGGCTCGTGGTACAGAACGGGCGCCGCCTCCGTCACCATGCCGGGCGGAGACGGGGTCAGCCGCGTCAGGTCTGCGCGGTCATTTTGTAATCATCAATTGCACTCAGTAGCCGCAAAAACTATAATGTAAAGGCTATGATTGAATAACAATTTTTTGTAAATATTGTGTCTATAATATTATATTATAACACCATAATGTCTAAAGTTCTACATAGCGTAATCCGCGTTAACATCTGTCTTATATGAGTAAAAAAAAGTTTAAAATTAATGCAACTTTTTTCGTATGCTTGTGATAAGTTTCGACAGTGAGGTCTGTTAAAATAAACCAAAATAGGATTCTTATCTCCCTCTTATTGAAATAAAGATATCTCAACAAATGTGTGGAAAATGTAGACAGATGGTTGACAGAATAAAAAAAAGTAAAAAAGTGGAGTACAAACTCACTCATGTTGTCATTGTGGTCCATCGGGTCGCCGTCTTCGCTCATGTAGCCTGGAGGAGGTGTCTCCACTGTTGAAGAACTCCTGTGGATAGTAAATACATATAACACTGAATCTATACAAAACACAAATATGCAACGAAATATTGAGGTCTACTTTCCAGAAGTGGCGAATGTTTGGCTGAATATTTATATTTTCGTAGTCGTTCCGAATGCCAAGGTATTTTCCCAAATTATTTGTATATAATTATTATGAAACTGATGTATGGAGAAATTGACATTCTGATAGTAACAAAGTATTTATAAGTATTTATTTACAAGTAATTTGTTGATATAACAATGCAAACACATTTTTTCCACAAAATCAATAACCACATAATTCAGGTTTTATTCAAATAATCACCTTTTTTACAAACTTGTTGTCCAATAGATTTCGTCACGAAGACAGGGCAACACTGTTCACATCATATTGAGAGATTTATGTACTAATAATTATCGCAATATAAATACTTGTCCATGAGCAGTGGTCGTGGACAGTTGTGTGTGGACACTCACACATGCACCGTGGTGTTGCCTGGCACCTGTTGCGCGAGCGTAGCCTCGAGGTAGAGGGCGCTGTGCGCGCCGACGCCCACCACGCCCCCACTCTGCATCACGCTCAGCGACAGGCTGCAATTAACGAATTCAGAGTATTTTATGCCATATAACGTAAGCATAGCATTTCCATATAACGTAAGGACTCGGTGGCGCCATTGCTGCCGTCGGGGGTCGTGGGTTCGATTCCCAAACGGGACGAGCAATTCTGTGACCAACCGATAATTGTTCTGGATCTGGGTGTGTTTCCAAAGGAGGGCTGACGTCAGGCGGGCGGGCGGCCGATCGTAAAAAAACATAAACCGCTAACAACATAATGTGCCGGCCCCATCCAAGTGGGATAAGGACACGAGAGTGATGAGTCTTTCCATATAACCTCTGTCCCAGAAAATAAAAATAGTTTAAAAATTATTTAATTATACTCATTACCACACATCACAAGCTGTGTGTAAATATAGTGTGGCTCACAACTTAAGTCAAAATAAAGTAACAGCCTATACATGCCCCACTGCTGGGCAAAGGCCTCCTCTATACAGAGGGTATCAGGGCGTAGTCCACCACGCGGCCCCACTGCGGATTGGCGGACTTCACATATCTTCGAAAAACATATTTTTTTTTCGTTATTATTTCGAAAATATGCAGGTTTGCTCACGATGTTTTCCTTCACCACGGAGCACGTGATAAGTCAGCACTTAAAGTTAAAAACTTCATTGGTGCCGGCACCGGGGATCGAACTCAGGTTGCTCGAGTATATTGAATTAAAGGCGAGCGCCCGGATACTGAGCTATCACGGCTCTTCAACAACTTATGTAGTTAAAAAAAAATAGTTACGCGTCGGTGTGCTCGTGATGCGGCTGGTGGTAGTCCGTGTAGGGAGGCGGCGCGCGGACCTCGCCCTCCGCGCAGCGGGGCACCAATATTGGCGGTAGGGCTGTCACAAATATTGCGATGATTTATCTCTCTCGCTCAGCCGAATACGTGATGGTGTGCAATGATGTAGTAAGTAGTTTTGCACACAATTAGCAAATGGTCAGAGACAAATAGAAAATACAAATATTTAAAGAAATTACAAACTTCACTAAATATTCATGTTTATTTTTTTACATTATAAAACAGTGCAAGTGGTTAGTTCAATAATATGAAAATTAAAATTAGTAGAAAAAGTACGAAAAGATTGTCACTGTGGGAATCGAACTCATGTCGTCGGCAGAACGTGGGTTCGATTCCCACAGCGGCGACAATGTTTTCGTAATTTTTCTACAAATTTTAATGTTTAATCTTAAGTGCAGAGACTAACACTATATAAAGTTTTAAATACGAAAATTGTCATGTCATCTTACCAGGCGAATCGATTTTATTGTAGTGGTATGGGTTGATGCAGACCTCGTCTTTCTTCAATTGATACGCGTAGGCGCAATGATCTACGGGCTTCAATTCGTGTTGGCTCTGCACAAAAGTGATCAAGCTTAGCCCATTAATAAACGTAATATGGTAAATAACAAAACAGCATTTAATGCCGGTTATGAAAATTCTTTATGTCTAAGAACTAAATGGAATAACAGATTACAATAACAACCACAAAACATATTTTCTTATTGGTTGGGTAGTACATTTATTTACCTAATTATTTTAAAAAAATTTGTAGAATAGAAAATATAAAACATTCAAAAGAACAATTTTAGTGATTAAAAATCACGGCAGAGATTTAAATTAAGAAAAAAATATTTTCTAACACTTTCCTAATGTTCTCTGGGATTGAGACATAACTGCAGTTGAAAGTTAATGTTTATAGTAGGACTGTAACTGTGCATAACCAAATTTGTTATGTCCTTTTCGTATAACAATTAAGAATATGTAATGGAAAATTAAGTGCAAGTTAAATCTGTTTTCAAGATATTATATTAGGTTTTATTATTAATAAAAACATAAAAAAGGTTAGAATGTGCAACTTGTACTTTCCGAAAAATGAGAATTTATATACTTATCTTACAATGATTAGATAATTTTGCTATATCTACAAACAGCTTTTTATTTGGTTTTTGATCTGCCATTGCGGAAAGGTAAATAAGATAAGCATTTTAAGTGTTTAACAAAATGAATAAAAGAGAGAAATCTCATTATAACTATGTTCTAATTCTTTGTGTTAATTCTACTTTGAAACATACATATTTTTTTCTTAAAGAATTTAACAAAGATTAACCTTCTAACCTGGGTTTCATCACAACAAAGGTGATGTGTTTATTCAATTACTAATATAAATGGTCACTGATAACCATTCAATTACAATTTAGTATATAACTAGACTTACCAGTATAACAAATTACTACTACTCAATGTCTCAAAGTATTATTTAGTTTAGATGGTAGTACGTAGGTAGTCACGTAAGTAGTTACGGTGGTAGGGCCATGCAGCAGCCTCGGCTGTCGCACGAATGGGCAGGCCCGTCCGGGTAAGTACCACAACCTCACAGAAGACCAGCGTAAAGTGGAAGTATGACAAATACTTTCGCGTTTCGACTGGTAGCCGAAGCTGTTTGCTGACGACACATCGCTTATTTTTAAGGTTGACCGAAATGTATCGACATTAAATGATCGATAATTATGACGACGTGAATAGTGCACTTTCGCGTATCCTCCACTGGTTTACCATTAATAATATGGTGTTAAATGCTAAAAAAACTAAATGCCTTCTTTTTGCCCTTCCCAACGTAAGAAGGCAAAGTTTTAGCTTAAAATTGAATAGCGTAACCCTTAATCCTGTTGAGTCCGCTGTATTCTTGGGAATCACAGTAGATTCAAAGCTCCAATGGAGTCCCCATCTATCATCTCTTGCGAATAGGTTAAGCTCCGCTGTTTTTGCAATTAGGAAGGTTAGGCAGCTATCAGACATCGACACTGCCAGACTTGTTTACTACAGTTATTTTCACAGCATCTTGTCGTACGGCATTTTATTGTGGGGTAGTGCATCTGATATAAATTCAATATTTATTATTCAAAAAAGAGCTGTCCGAGCGATTTATAACATCGGACCCCGGAATACACTCCGAGATCTTTTTAAAGAGATTAATATACTCACTGTTGCGTCTCAATATATTTATTGTAATATTTTGTATGTTAAACAGAATATTAATAATTATCAAAAGAATAGTGACAGACATAAACTAAATACTAGAAATAAGGACAAACTAACTACGCCATTATTTCGCCTACAAAAAGTAAACAGATCGTTCATGGGGCAAAGTGTGCGCATGTATAATAAAATCCCACAGTCGATGTTAAGTCTGCCACTTGATGAATTTAAACGAAAAATTAAAAGTACACTTATGGCTAAAGCCTATTATACTATTGCCGAATATCTTGACGACGCCAATGTGTGGGGTTAATACTGTTGATACTCACGTAGGCTAAAACAAGACTATTGTACCTGTACTATTATATTGTAAACTGATTTTTTAAAAAAGAGCAACTGTTGAGTTTCTTGCCGTTTCTTCTCAACAGAAACTGCTTTCCGAACCGGTGGTAACTTACGAACGTGTTAATTTCTTGTAAAATTTTGACGTTTCATAAGAACGCGCAAGCGTCTATGTGAATAAAGATATTTTAGTATTATTATTATTATTATAGTAAAGTTAGATAATATTGAATACAATAATAAAATTAACCAATTGTTAGATCAATATCTATATATAATTCATAAACCACAGATTTTTATCAATATTGAAATTATAATGCAAAAAACAAAACATCTTTTAAATAGTATCTAAATGATAGAAATGGAAATATATAATATATTATATATTTAATAATGGAATAATAAATTTATTGAAAAATAAAGGTAGTGAATAAAGAACTTCTTTATTGGAGAAAGCACAGGAAAACATTTGAGTAAAAATAAAAAAAAACAAATTTAAAACTTACTTGTAGCTGCGGCCAACGCCACAGCCTGCAGTAGATAACATGCGGCAAGCCTTTTCTGTACTGACCATTTATGTTATCATTTGGTTTTACTCTGAAAAGTAGGTAGGAATTTACTTATAAATAAACTTTATTACATATAACAGTAAGACAGTGGAAATAAAATATATTATAACTATATAAACTAAGATGGAATTTAACATCTAATGATGTTTGTTCAAAATTTATTAAATCTATAGAATAAATATATTTACTTAATTTATAAAATCTCAAAAAACCTAATTTCTTATAGAATATAAATTATTAACATGTCATTTAACAATGTTTCATTACAATATTGCTTATAAATAATAATGTTTTTTAGTATTTTCACTAATTATAAGAATCTAAGTAATAAACAATTACTGAACATTTCTCTTTTAATTAAATTTTTAAAGTTTAACTGAAAGAGAAATTTTTGGTAATAGTCATAAATGTGATGTAATAATTTTTTATATTTCTATGGAAAAAAAATATAAGAACCTAAATTAGCTTGGTTTGTCAAGCTAAATTAGGTTAACTTTTCTCAAGCTTGAAAAATAATGCATATATATATAATGTAAATTACCTTTATTTATTTAATAAATTATGGAATTCATACAACTTTAATCCACAGCTCTAGAAATAAGGGCCTACCATTATATATATCTTTTAAGTACATCTCTATACCCAGTAAATACCTATTTAATTAATTTGCTAAGGTTTACTAGCTACAGTAATAGAAGAAATAAACTTAGGAAATTCACACCACTTATTCCTTATTCATACCAGATATACATTGATAGAAAACTTTTATACTGTACTATATAACAGATGGACAAAAAACTATTTGGTTGAATTTAACAGATAGTCATATTGAACAGAATTCTAAATACAATAGAACACAATCTGAAAAAGGCAGACTTAGTTACAAGAGAGTTCACATCAACAATGATTAGACCTGAAAACTAACAAAATAATTTTGATGATATTATACTAAAATTCCACAATTTAATAAGTATAATAATAAATCATAATAAAAATTTTGAATAAAATTATTCAAACAATCATTCAATCTACTTGTTACTTTTTTTACTTGACATATAATTCTCAAATTTCAATAAATGCGATCAGAATAACGAAATATAGTTATGCTCAGAATTGAATTGGCTGACTGCACAAGAAAATATAGAAGTCACAAGTATAAGAGAAGTGACTACATACCGTACCTCAAAATTTTTCACGTAACAGCAACACCAAAAAGTCAATGAACATTATTATTAAAATACAAAAACAAGAACGTAATAAAACAAAAACAAATTAATAATATATATAAAATAAATTGTATGGTTTCATACATTTCGTGTGAGTGATATTTGTTTGAATCAAACCTTTAAAAATTATTTATTTTCTCAACACATTTTACACAATCAATATACAATTACACAGGACTAATTTTCTCATACAATTATTTAATTTTACTAAATAGATTCTATTAGAATATGAAAAACTGGGGTCCCAAATTTCGCCGCCATATTGACAAAAAGCTTCGATTGTTTTGACGGCGATTTGACCTTCCTTTTGGATTTTGCGTCCTGTCTGTGATTATGTAACCAAAATACGATGGTCATTACGAGCTACGAACTCAATGAGCGTTTTTTACTTTGATATTTTGCAAGGTTATACTAGTCGGAATGCCTAGGTTTATACAATTACCTATTTCAATATTTAACGTGTTTTATCGCAACAAAGTATATTTTTAAATCAATTTAAATTTTACAATAATACACACGATTGGTGATTATCTACTTAAAAAAGTAGATAATTGAGACGTATATCTAATGTATATTGCACGTAAATACACTCAGGAAAGATGGTTATTTTAGCAGACACAAATGAATTCATCTTAAAAATTTGGTTAACATGCATATTAATAAACTTATTTAAAACGCTAAAACCTGTAAAATTTATCCAAAGTAATCGAATTTTCGGAAATTGACAGATTAAATACAAACAAGCATACAAACATGGTTTAAAAAAATAAGTATATTCAGGATGAAGAGATAGTCGCATATTTTAACTAACATTAAAAGCTGAATATAGATTAACGATATTATGGGACCTATTAAAACTGTTATCAAAATAAAGTAATCAGTAAAAAAAACTAACCTGGGTATCGTGACGCATTTAGTATGGCTATTTTGGCTAGATATGGCTTTTTCTAACTCCTCGAGAGCTCCACTTTTCTTTAACTTTTTAACTAAGCTTTTGACGGCCTTTTCTGACCATTTGTCCTCTGCCGCAGACGTTCCTTCAGGACCTTTTTTCCACTCTAAAAGTCGTTTCACAACTGGCGGCGTTAGCGGAAACATTCCGCAGTATTTCACCAATTAAGTCATTCAACACACACACATTATTATTGGATTACAACAATGTATTCACACGTAATATAAAAGTCTTTTGTCTTTTTTGATTTTAATTAACTTATCGGCCATTAATGGTCGAGGTTGTATGATGATGACAGTTGCCAATCGCCAAAGCCAAAAGTTGAGTACACAGTACATATCTATCTCTGTCCTTTCTGTACAGGGTTTATGCGTAGTACTTATTATTTTAATTAATTTTATCCTTACGTTTAGTTGTATAAAACAATTTTATTTTGTCGTTAAAATAATCACTATTATCTCGAATTTATTTTTTAAAGTTTAAGTGAACATTTTGTATTTTTGCTGTACCATAAATATAAAGTTAATAAATCGCAAGAATACATTTATAAATTTACTTTATTAATGAATAATGACAGCTTTTACTTTTAATTAGAAAGCTTTCTTGAATCTAATAGAATATAAGTTCATTTATTAATGTTTTATTACAATAAATTAAATTCCACAGTAAAGGTTCTTAATTATAAACACTTTTTCTTTATTTCTGTCACTAATATCGTACATATGATACAAAATTATGATAAATTAACCTAATTAAAACTAAATAGGTAACTAAAAATTAACATAATCTAACTATAATACAAATATGTTTACCTAAAAACTAAACTACTGATTTAAACAAAAACTAGATAAAAAATGCTGGCCAAATCGCCGTCGAATATAAGTTTATATAGGTTTAGATAAGTAAAAAAATCACATACTTTTTTGTAAAAACCTGATTAATATTGGTCACATTTAATGATTGCTAGAAAAGTAAGATACATGTATCTATTGTTTGTTTTAATGATTTCCGGTATTCTCTATGGTTATTGTTTTTGTTTTGTTTTGAAAATTGAATGACATATTGACATCCTGATTATTGTTTGATTGTTTAATTTTATTTTGATGTGCCAGTTGCCTTTAACAATTTTACTGTGCTGCGAATAAATTTACGGTTAGTTCAATAATGTTGTTCATTTTCTAATTATTTTAACTTTAGTCTTATAAATAGTTTTCAATAAGCTAACTGGCCAGCATCGTTTAAGTGACCTGTCACAAAATAATATTTTCCCGCTTTGACTTTGAGCTTGGCTGGAAAACGCATCCTCATGTATATGAAATTAAGATAAATAAATCGCCTTATTCTAATAAAAGGCATAACAAAGACGATATATAATTTTTTAAATATTTTTTGAGTATCATTAATATCTTTACGCGTTTCCTATCTTTATTCTCGCACTTAAATATTTCCTCCAATTATAAATTTTATGAATCCTAATTTTGCGACTAAATAACATTTTCATTTTTTTCATTACATGTAACAGACTCGTATTCGTATATAATATCATTGGTTACAGACAATTTACTTTCAATCAAATGATAATAATATAGAAACTAGGTTTTAAATATTTTCTGATTATTGTTATTGATATCACTAATAAAATGTATATCCACATAGACATGTTTATTTTTTAAGTTATTACCAAAACTTAGTGACACCTGGTTACTGATTCAAAATTTTTTAGTGTTTATAGTATGTATTTCAATGATATAAAGTAGGAACATATGTTGCTAAATTGTTTTATTACATTATTTATCATATTACACAAATGAAATAGAATTATCGGAATGGTTTCATCAAGTAAAAGATACTGCAATGCATGAAATGCAAATATAATTGGAGATATATTTTACATCTATAACTTATATTGACACTCTACAGGATATCCAGTCCAATCCAGAATGTTGATATGGAGCTTATTTTGCCTCTAAATTGATCTTTGATACATTTCGATAAAAAATAAAAATAGACTTATATGCTATAGAAGTATGCTAACATTATTATAATTGTGGGACTCTGTCATGAATAGAATAAAAACAGTTATATTGGTAGCATTATTGTTTATTGCATTTACAAAAACTCTTTATCATAGCAAACCTTGTTATATAAAATTTTAGGAAAACTAATTGTACTCAAGTAGATCAAAATTTAGTTGTCAAGTATCAAATTTTGCTTGGATTTTAGAATTAAACCATTTTTGTACTTTTTTATGCAAATAATGAAATGAAACTTAAATTATTATTAGATGAATTAGTATTACTTACTTATGTATTAGTAGTACTTCTAATTTTTTATTTTTATTTGAAAAGTTGAAAAGGCAAAGTGAGTGAGCAGGCTTGATGTTAAGTATTACCGCCGCCTATGGATGTCTACAACATATGCACTTTTTATAAGGAAATTGCATATGCATTACCAACCTTAAAATAAGTGAGCCCGGGCTACCTCACTCATTCAGACAAAATGCGAAAACGTAATATGTGCACTTCACCTTGGTCTAAATCTACCACAGTAGATTTTCAAATTTCTTAAGATAATAAAAAACAATCTTAAACCATTTTCAGCTATGTCATTATGGAGCAAGAACTCCCACCTTTAATTCTTTGTATGGAGAATATGAATGGAGAAGAAGTAACACTTAGTATTGAACCAAATGATGATTTTCAAACATTCCTCGATAAAGCCAAGTAACCATGATCCCTCATCCATTGTTCCTTAATCCATCATTTTCATTAAAAATGCCATCAGTAATTAATGTCATATTTTTATCTTTCTCTTGGTATGTCAATTGGCCCCTAATTTCCTTAATGCGACGAATCAAAGGCAAGAGTGCATAGGTCGCGCCAAATTTAATGACGGCTGTGAAAGAAACATTAGGTATTTGTGGGAGTCGGAAAAGGTGATAGATGGGTAGAGCACAAGTGACCTCCATCCTTCGAGTACTCCTCAGTCCCTCCGTGATTGAATGCTTCAGTGTGTTATGTATTTTTAATATGAACACTTATGCAGCGCTTCTGCTCAAGTAGTCTCACTCCTAGTTATTAGATTGGTTATTATTCTCACAAAGATAATCTTTTTGTTACACTTTTGTTTAAAACTATTTATAAAGTGTCATTAGGAAATTTATGAACTAAATTTTGTATTGAAATTTTTTTAACTATTTGGCCAAGAATTATAATAAACCTTGTTAAATCGATCTATTCACATCATAACTTGTAGAACTTATATTTTTAAAATCTAATTTGGTGAATAGATTTTTTTTTAATATTTAGCACATATCACTCGCCCACCCATGTGTTTGGCGCGGCCTGTACCACTTGGCAACGCTACTGCATCTTCTCAAGTGAACTTCCACCTTCTTCCATTAATAAAAACCCACAAGAGATTGTATCTTCAGATACGTGTTAAGTACAAACTTTTTTTCAGATGTACACTAGGCTTTGACGTGGACCTTACTTCTATAACTGGTGACCGTGCCGTTTCGTTGAACGAGAACATATATCATTATCTCTTAAATTCGGAACTCAACTTTCGGGACGACCCCCAATTAAATGCACGCAACATCGACTGCCCATTGGAGCAAGATAATCACAGCGCAGATGGATTTATGTATATGCTGGATGACGGCACTCAAATACGGGCATCGCAGATACATTTCGACAATGAAGACCCGCCCGTTGACTTAACTGCCGAAGAAATCCCGTTCGTAAAATACGCCAATGACAGCGAGGAGGAGAATGATACAGATGACAGAAATGTTGAAAACACAAAAAAGATCAATATCATTGAAAGTCCGGTCACGCGATGGACAAGCACGGACTCAAGTCCCAAATGCAGTTTCGTCAACAGTCTCCCTTTCAAACTCGTCTGCTCGAACACATCCAATTTCGAAGCGCAATTTACTAAATATTTGGAATCAAGCAACGCTAAAGCGTATACTACCTTAAACCCAGTTGCAGGAAGAAATAGGTCACCGAAGAGCCTAGTCAAGGACAACTACAAAAATTACGATGAGCACTATAAACAACGCAACAAAGATGATTTTTCCAGTTTTACTCGTGAAGAGATACTTAACATGTTCAAAGATTCCCCCGTCACATCCTTACCGTACGAGGATAACCAGAATTATAGCGAGAAGCGCCGGCATGTTCGCAAAACGGATCCTTCGCGTTTACATAAAAGTTGGAATAACAAACCGATGCCCTACGCCGACGTGAAGGTGGGCGACAAGAAAAGACAGAATTGTTTCATTTGCGGCAAAATTGACAAGAACTTGGAGAAGTTGTATTTGTTTGATACTGAAGATCAGAAACTACATCGATGTTCCTCGCCGAGGAACTATCCAACGCAACTAAAGACAATATGCGAGCAGTGCTTGTCTGATAATTTCAAACCTAGCCCAATGAAAAGTCCTACACAGTCCTTGGGTGCTGATGAATATTTGGTTATTAAGAATAATCAACAGTTCATATTTAAAAAAGTCATAGATTTCAAAGTGCAAGAGGATTCCGAAACTATCGACAATATTGAAACGCATAATTTGAAAGAACCCCAAGATGGGGAAAAGCTTGAATTCGTAAAGGTCGAAATTGGCTCCGATGGGGAAATTGTAACAAAATGTATCGACAACGACACCAGGTCTTCCGATGATGTGATAATTGTGAAAGATGAGAAAAAGGAGAGCTCCAGTGATATTGAAATTATCGAACCTGATATAGATGATAATATAATAGACAATTTGGAGGAGGCAGATGAAGAAGTGAAAGAATTCTTAGGAATATACCAATGCGACGACAGTAAAGAACTAAAAGAATTAAAATGCAGGTGTGTGCTTTTGAATGATCATTGACTTATTTCTTATTTGGTTTAGATAAAAAAAGAAACCAGGGAATGATTCACGCACTGTCCCGCGTTTTGACCAACTCGTGAAAAGTATTACACGCAATTTAAAATAAAAACGCGATAATATCCATTAAACAGGTTTATTTAACAGCATGTAGTGTTTTCGTAAATATAAGAAGTTAAATATTATTTAAGTGAAAGTTTTGCAATACTTTAAAAGTTTTTCTTAATTATATTACTATTCAATACTTTAAAACTTCTTCCTTGGCTGATAATGATAAATTTCTTGATGAATTTAAATGCAACAAGAATTGCCCTTTATTACCGAAGATGCGTTCAACTCTACATATTATAAAATAATATATGACAGGCCGATTTACAAGCAAGAGATGAAACATATATGAGTGAAGAACTTTAAATTTGCCAGTTTTACATTGCACTATGCAACCCTAAGATATTGCTACCCCTATGGGGTACAAATAAGAGCGGAATTTTATAAAAACACATTAAGAAAAACACGCTTTATTCGAAAACTACAAACGTTGACTGATGATTAGTGACAATTATTTTCATTTCATTAGCAAACTTCGTACGAAATCAACGCATTTGAGGTAAAGTATCAGTCTATACATATCCCACTGCAGGGCAACGGCCGCCTCTGTATAGAGGGTAATACGATGTAGTCCACCACGTGTACCAAATATTTACATAATATTTTTTTTTTGTTACTATTCCAAATATGCAGGTTTCCTTCACCACTAGCATGTGTTAAGTTAGCACTTAAAATTAATAATTATCATCAGTGACGGCACCGGGATCAACTCAGATTTGTTCGATTATAATTAATTAAAAGAAGTGGGACAAAGCTATCACGGCTTTTGGGGGGAGCGGACATGAACCAGTTTCATATAGGGCAATTACAATTGAATCTCTTAACTTCTATAATTTATGGTAATAGTTTAAGTCACGTGGCTACTGGTCAGTGTCGGCTGGTGACCGTAACTTTTTAAGCTTACGCATTGCCTCCGGAAATCACTATTTTACTTGCGAAATGTATTAAGATGAAGACACATTCACAGGTTTTGCGAACGTATATTTGAGACGATTGCAGCGATAATTGAACACGGCGAAGAGCACATGCACTGTTTGGATGATGGAGAAGTATTCCCCTGTCCACTGTGCGATTACGGTATAAATAATATTAAACCACGAACTCATTAAACACAGGTTCCTTATTCTATGAACCCTTCCTACCTCCCCAAAGAACTAAAATATCTTTTAATAGTAGGAATATGTCACTATGTCTAGAATTTGTGGTCCACCACGCGAGTACACTGCGGATTGGCGGACTTCATATATATATTTTTTGTATTATTTCGAAAATATGCAGGTTTCCTCTCGATGTTTTCGTCCACCGCGGAGCACTATAAGTCAGCACTTAAAATTATCAATTTCATTGGTGCTGGCGGCGGGATTTGAAGTCAGGTTGCTCCAGCATATACAGCGTGTCGTTACCATCGCGACAATAAATGAACACACGTCTAACGCTACTTGCCAATAATCATAAAAAAATATTAACGTTAAACAAAATCCATAATTAAAAAAAATTTTCATATAATTAAAAAAAAAATATTTTTCAAACAAACTAATTAAGTAAAAAAGAAACAAAATTTGTAACATCCTCGCGCCACAGCGTCGCATTACAAGCCTCTCCTTCTAACAGTATGTTTTTCTCCTTTTAAATTCATTCAACCCATTCATATGCTTTGTGACCTTTACAAATGAACTTTACGTTACGCTTTTATAGGTAAGGGTGTTATAAAATTCTTTGTTTTGCAAAATTTAATAACTGTGTAAATATTGATGTTTAAAGAATTTAAATGTTTAATACAACTTTAAAAAGTTATCCCCTATATGTGTGTTCATTTATTGTGGCGATAGTAACGACACGCTGTATAAAGCGAGCGCCCGGAAACTGAGACCCTACCATAAATTTTGTGTTTCTATGTATCTAAACATTTTTATCATTTTTGAGACGAAAAAAAAAAGAATACTATCAATTTAACCGACATGCAAGCCGGTCGCAAATTTTTTAGTTAAAAAAAGTTGTTTGATTCTGCGCCATCCATGTTGTTGACGTCACACGGATTGGGTTAGGGATGTCCACGACACTAACACACGAAACCAATAGTTAGCTTCGCGACGAGTCATCAATAAATACAAATCAATGTCTTCTAGGTTATGCCAATTTTAAATGGCTGAAAGGGCACCTCAAAGCTGCTCACGATAAGCCTAAGGCTGTCGACAACGATAAAGATTTTGCTGACGACAAGCACAAAGGTGAGCATGTCTTATTAAATATTATTAATATACAGTTTAATGAAAAAAGTTTATACAATAATTGCGTCACATGGCGTGTTCACTTGTGTATGTTCCTTTGTGTTGTTTGAATATCAAGCTCCTATTAAATTGGAATTCTTGATTAATAAAAAAAATCGTCGGTTCACAACAATTGTTAAGAAGGTGTTCGTGCGTCTGGGACAGTGGTAGCGAGCGAGTGTCGCATTTGTGGGGTCGAAGTGCGCTTGCGATGGCCGCTGTTGCTTTATGGTTCAGCAGCCAATGGCAACGCCTGACCGCGATGACGAGGTCGACGTGACGTCAGGAACAGTGTTGTTGCATTTTTCGAATTAAGTTTTGATGAGCATGTTCCAAAGCAATTCAATAATTTTTCCCTTGATGCTCTCTAGCTTTGTGTTTTATTTACATTACGCCATAAGATCGGGGCAAGCTAAACAGGATTTCTATCCGATTTACGTTGATCTCTTAGCAAAGAAAAGAAGGCACATATCTGTACATTATCCTTGAATTTGTTTGAGCTTTAGAAGGCATTATTTCACGATAACATTTACCAAATCCATAATTACCCTCTTTTAGTGAGTTATCGTTCTTAAAAGTATGGCCCCCATATGCGTAAAAGCCAAAAGAAATATTGAAAAAGCTCTGTGTCAAATCCTTTTATAATTGACAAATTAGGCGCAGCTGGTAGTTCCCCTTCCTCATCGCCAGTAGCCAAGAGGACCAGGAGTGCTGTAAGAAAGGTTGAAAGCGAAAATGATAAAGACAAAAGTCCAGGCAAGTTCTTCCGTCTATTCACTTGTACTATTAGTATCTGGCTTCTTGTGTTCAAAAATAAATCTTTTATATGTGCACATATCTACAGCGGATTTTAGGGAAATTATTTTTAAAAGATGTTCATATACTTGTTTTAGATAGTTTTTCTTGATTGTTTCAATAAACAACTACAGCGCACACAGAATAACGCAGTTCCAACGCAAAATAAATTAGAAGGAATAGTGTGAGATTTTTTTTTGTTAATCGAAACTAAGCTTTCTGAATTACGAGGCTTATTCTCGTTGTTTATGATTCTCTAATGAAATATAAAATATTTAAACATTATAATATAATAAATAAACTGTAATGATTAAGCATTCTATACCTCTTGTAATCAACATCCTACAGATTTTACACCAAACGCAACTCCGTTCACTTTACAACTTTAATTTTATATACCTATTCAATTTTATTTTGACTGTGTTCTTTTTGTAATTTTACAAGAAATAATACCTTTTGAGTACCTACTATTATTTTAAAAATTTTAGAAGGCCCCGAGAAAGTTCCAGAGGGCACAAACAATTTCACTACGAAACTCGAATCCGTAAGTATACAATGTTTATAAATAGAAATAAAAAAAAAGCAAAATTTTATGTTTTTGGTATACCTAATCATTAACGTACAGCTATAAATCATTACCAATTTTATTTAACTTACAATAAAATGCTCCAATCTCAGAACATTTTACGTTACCTGGGATGATTACTGTAAGAAGTAAGGTTTTATTTACAGTGAACGATAACATGTAAGATAGTTTGTCTGTCTGTATATGACCTTAGCTGGTCGAATCAGGAGCAACATGATACTTTAAACGTAACGTTTTATGCTATTTGATAATTACCACCCTTTATGCGGTTCACGACAACAAAGTTTGGTACTTACGTATTAAAGTCACCGCAGCTTGAGATTTGGCGGCTTAGGTAAGGTTAGGTTTGGTTTTAAATAAAGCGCTTTAATAAAATTTGTAGAAAAAGTACGGAAAATAAATACGAAATAATGTCGAAGTAAGAGATTAGCACCATAAAAAGTTAAATTTTCTAAAAGACATTATTTAAAATCAAAACTTAGATAACTGCGTGTCCGTACAACAAGATTGCTCTTTTTTGACACATAAGCGCAACTTACTCTGTTGCGGTGGCGTTAACACGTAAGTCTAAATGCCCAAAGTTTCCTTGAGTCTTCACACCCGGTTTTGTCCAGGACGAGTCCACGTTGACCGTGAAGACGGAAGTGAAACAGGAGTGCCTGGACAGTAGCGACGACGAGGCCATATGGATCGTGCAGACGGTGGGCCACGAGGCCTCGGAGCAGCTGGAGAGCTTGCTGAAGGCAGGGTTACCAACTGTTGACAAAAATACTCCTAAAGCAATTTAAAAACCCACAAAAATCGCTTAAGGTTCTCCAAATTCAAACCAAAATTTCCTAATTGAGGAAAGTTTGGATAGTTTTAGTTTGAAATAACCTTATAGAAACCTTCCATTTTAGACTTTTTCTTCCTATATTTAGGAAGAAAACTCCTAAGTTGGCATCCGTAGCTGAAGGTCGCCGTGGTTATGCATGAGGCCCTGATGAGTCGAACCGAACTGTTGAATGAATCGTCCTTTTTAACTTCCTAAAAGCTCAGAGCTGATGATGGCATGAGTTCTAAATCGTTTAGAATTAGGATATGGATCCTAGTAAATAGTGAACATGTGAAATGATAATAATCTTCATTCTTCTATCCCTATCGCACCTAGGTGTCTCATCGCAACGTGTGAACTATGTTGTTAATGGAATGGGTGGACACCCAGGTGCGAAATAAATATCTGCGGAAAAAATATTGGTCACACAAACCCCCGTAAGAATCGAATTCACGTCTCACGGCGCCGAAGCCAATTAACGTAGGAACTGGGCCACCGAGATTATTATATGCAACATGGATCCTATATCGCGACAAAGAAGAGAAATAATTATGCTGAATTCACCCCAAAGCCATATTTTTGGCGTTTAGCTTTTGATAGATTATGTATGCTGTATTATCTAGACCCTTTTTGTGTTCTTTGTCTTTCTATCGAATTAGTGTTTTAGATGTTTCTTGTCTTTTTTTTTTAAATTCAGGGCAATGACGAAAAGCAGGAAGGCGAAATCAAGAGGAAACACAAATGCAACAATTGCAGGTAACGAATTATTGCGTAAATATTATCACACCTGCGTTGGGCGACAGTGAAGCCTTCAATCTCTGACGCCTGACGGATTGTAGATGCGATTCTAACCCCAAAGATGGCCCAGCTAGGCTCACTTTTCACAATGATTGGCTCGGTTCCCTCAAACCCCAGACGAGCCTGCTCATTTATGCAACAGCAATAGCCGATCCGTGTTACTACTACAAAATCGTAACGTAAATAAGGTTGATATAAAATAAGGTACATAGAAATTAGATGAAACGCAAAAATTTACAAATAACGTCTAAATGTAACTAAACGTTGAACTTTTTCGAAATTAAACAAAAAAAATCTTATAATATAAGTAAATCTAGAAAGCTATCTTTAGGTTAAAACAATATAAAAGCTCGTATGTCTGAGAATCCTAATGGTTAGACAGATATCATTATGCCAACCATGCTTCGAAAAGATTAAATAAGCAGACACTGATTTTGGAATTCTAACCTGGGATATAACCTCGCAAGTCGATAATCGAAACCACTACCGTTGTCATTTGTATAAGAGTTCTAACGTTATTACCTTGATCGTAATATTTTAACTATTACTGAACTTGAATATAACAACTATTATAACGACAAGCAGCACTAGTGGTTATATAACCGTCTGGGAACGCGGCCGAAATCCAAGTGTCCGCTGCTCCATGCGATCATGTGTGCCTTGGCTCAAGTAGATAACGTCATATCCGGTATACAGTGTTGCCAGCGCCAACATTTGAATTAACGCGTTGTCATATTGCATATTTCTTTTCAGCCAAACATTTCCCAACTCTGAGAGTATGAACTCGCACAAGTGTCGCCGACGCGGTAGGAAACGCAAGACTTCGAAAAACGACTCTGTCATATACGTGCCCTCCGAAGAGGACTTTATCAGGGTATGAATTAATGAATGAATATTCTTTGTTACACACACCATGGCAAAATACATAAAAATAACAGTTATAGCTAAATATAAATAAATAAAAATGGGTTATAAGATGGGCGGTCTTATAACTTTTTTTGTTTCGACAGTGGTGTGGGTAATTTGCCTAATTTTATAAAATATATACATACTCTGTTATAAAACTGCTGTGGTGGGGCCACGCAACAGCCGGCTGTTGCACAAATGGGCAGGTCTGTCCCGCTTGAGCACCACGACCTCACAGAAGAACGGCGTCAAGTGGAATTGTTACACTTCTGCGTTTCGTCTGGCGAGTGAGGTAGCCGGGGCCCACTTTATTAAAAGGTGGCAACGCATCTGCAACCCTACTGCCCGTAGGCTTCGGATAATAATAATAATAGTAAATATTTTAGGACACATTTTTACACAACATTCTCTAGTCCCAAACTAAGCAAAGCTTGTACTATGGGTACTAGATCACTGATAAACATACTTAAACATACTTTTCTTTTGTAAATAAATACATATTATACATATATAAACACCCAGACACTAGAAAAACACTATGTTCACCGCACAATATTTTTCCAGTAGTGGGAATCGAACCCACACCCTCTGGCGCAGGAGGCAGGTACATACACTACGCACTACGCCATTCGGATCCATGGGCGGTGACCCTTACTTTAGGATAACATTATCCTGTGTTGTAAGGACCTGTTACTAACACAAATATCACGCGGACATACACCCAGATGCCAAACAACTATCTGTGGGTCACACAATACAAATAGTTGTGTAGTGTGGGAGTCGCACCCACGAACCCCGACGCCGTAGCCAATACCTTTGGCAACTGCGCCACGGAGTAATCAAAAAATATTGTGTTACACTGAATTATGTTGGTTATCCAAAATGAACAAATAAATTACCAAAAAAATAAATAACACGATATCGTGACGCCAATTTCCAGAGAGCGCAAGGAAGACCCAGGCAAAAGCGAGCATCAATCGACAATGACTTACTAGTTGTGGTGAGTCTGGAAATCTTATAATTTTACATTAGGACTGAATGAATGAATGAATGAATACTTTATTGTCCACCACACATAAAAGGATACACAAAATTAACAATAGACAAACAAATTAATAGAATGGACAATTTGGCGGCCTTATCGCATCATAGCGATCTCTTCCAGGATCTCTCTCCTGAAACATATCGTATGTATGCACATGTAAAACCACATCAGTAAAATTGTTCTTTGAAAAAGATATTCGACTATAATCCTTTACTTTATTAGTTTAAATAACTAGGACAAAAACTACACATTAAAAAAAAATTTCCGGTCTCACCTTTCTTTTTCTTTCTGCCAGCAGTGATGATTCATTTAGACCTTACTAATTTCCAGGTAGATCCCGAATAATTTAAAATTTCAATTGCGCTTTTTAAAGTTTTCTATCAACAGTGGATAAGGCGTAGAGACTTGAAATAGGAATACTCCTTTCACCGAGTGGAGGTCAGCTAAGAGCGGATTTTACGAAATGTTACCTCTTGCGTCCTCTACTATTGAATAAAGCTGACAAACAGTCAAGGAGAAAATAGCCAACACAGAGTATGAATCTGTTGCCCTTGACCCTGGACTTGCATATTGCAGAGGCCGCGCAAGAAGAGAGGTCGAGAGCCGACCTCCGACCCGCAAATCGTCACCTGCCACAACTGCAACGAATCGTTCACGTCCAAAGTTCGCCTCAAGTTCCACATGTGAGTTGCTTTTGATTTATTGTGGTAGGGCCACGTTGCTGTCGTGCAACGTTATTTTTGGGTATGTCTATTTGTTTTGTCGTCTGGTTGGGTTTATTATTGAAATTTTTTGTGTGTGCTCAAGTGGATTCGAGAATGGTTTAGCTTCACAATGTTATTAAAAAATCTAAAATTTTCGAATTTAAGACGTGTGTACAGGACGTCTGTCCGGTCCGCTAGTATTGTATATAATAAAAAGTATTGTCATTACTAGCTGTTAAGCGCGGCTTCGCCCGCGCGGCCAAAGGGAATTAACAATGAGTTTTTATTATACATCATTTTTCCTACTTAGTTGACACCTATATTTACACCTATTTTGAACAATTCACACAATATCTTTATAAAGAATAGCCTATGTGTTCTGTTTCTGATGTTTAAGCTATAATATTGTAAAGTTTCATTAAATCGATTCAGTAGTATTTGCGTGAAAGAGTAACAAACGTCCATCGATACATGCAAACTTTCGCGTTTATAATATTATTAGGATTAGTAAGGATTACTCATCCCTTCCAGGCAGTTCCACGACACCACCCACCTGTTGACCCCCGACGGCGAGTACACGTGTCCCGAATGTCCCGGGGCCCGCTTCCCCACCGAGAGCGAGCTCTTCGACCACCTCCACTTCCAGCATCACAAGCAGAAGCGGTGGCAGTGCCCCGTCGAGGACTGCGGGAAGACCTTCTACTTGAGGTAGCCCCTTCGATAGCGCTCAGTCTATATTGTCCCGTGTCATGCCTTTGGCTTCTTTCTCCCCACTAGCTGGGGTCGGTACATCATCGGGGTGGTAACTTACGAACGTGTTAATTTCTTGTAAAATTTTGACGTTTCATAAGAACGCGCAAGCGTCTATGTGAATAAAGATATTTTATTATTATTGGGGGGATATTCATTTGTTTTCTCGTCTGGTTGGGTTTATAAATAATAAATAAAAATAAAGATATAGATATATATTGCATATATAAAATAAATATTATGGATAAAAATTATTATTATTATTATTATTCATCGGTCCTCTCGTTTCACTTTTCTCTATCAGCCGCCATCTTGATGCTGCCATTTCGCATGCATATCATTCACACACTCCATCCAATTCTTTCTCGGTTGTTCTTTATCTTCTCTATCCTTACAACCTCCAACCACATTATACATAAATACTCAACACCCATGCCAACCTACCACTTCTTATTTTTGCAATCGCTGGTGCATCTTTCAAGCTTTTCTTGATGTATATTAAATTAAAGTACTTTACAACGGATTTTATCACGTTTTAATTTTGATTTTTAATTTCCCGTTTCCCATTCTTAATGTACTCATGACTTTGACTTTTACCTTCATTATTAAGTTTGTATTTTATTAGAATTTGAGTCATTTCTTCACCCCGCACGTATCCTAATAGGCAGTTTACATTTTTATATTGTTCCCTTTAATTATTGCATTTTGAGTCTTTCGCAATCGTCATTGTTTGCTTTTATACCTGTTACAAATAGAATATTTTATTTTTATTTTTATATCATCTTTTATATTTAATATAATTATCACATCCAACTCATCGATATACATATAAATACTGTAAATGTCAAAATATAAGAGATACAGCTAATGTTAATAATATATAGTTCGTTTGGTTTTTGTTTATGTGTTTCTTCTCAATTAATATCAAATTTATTTCCTCGCACAGAGCGACGCTGACAAAGCATAGCCGCACGCACACAGACACGAGGCGCTATGTGTGCGTGACGTGTGGCAAGCGGTTCCTCGACAAGCAGACTTTGGACGAGCACGGAGTCACGCATTTGCAAGTCGGTAGAAAATATAGTAATATAATCCTATACAATGATGGTCTACTGGCTGGAAATGAACCAGTAATGATTGTTACAGGTGCATAGAATGGTGACAGTGTTTGCTAACATATTTAAATGTGCCAAACATTTTATTCCTTATAGTTAATGATCTTCAACATAGGGTGTCCAATTAGGATGCAAAATTCACTCTTAAAATTTACCAATAATCAAAGATACAGTATTAATAAGACAAGTTATTCAATTTTCGCTGTTTAGCAACAACGAGTCACCAACAAAGTAAAACGATAAAAATATAAAATGTGAATATGAGGCGAGCAAGTGCATTATTTTAAACACGATAGACTTGGTGGCGCCTCTGCCAAGCTATTGGCTTCGGCGACGGGGGTCGTGGATTCGATTCCCACAGGGGACATGTATTTGTTTGACCCACAGATAATTGTTCCGGATCTGGGTTGTTTCCCAAAGAGCGTTAACGTCAGGCAGGCGGCCGGTCGTAAAAAATCTAGCTAAGACCCAAATTTGATCGCATGTTTAGTGCACCCCACGTAGTCACCAACATAAGGGCAGGAGGGCGATAATAATATGTCATCAGGAGTCTGCCCGTTCCAGATAAAGCCGTTCCAGTGCCACATCTGTCTGAAGCAGCTGACGCGGCGCTCGCGGCTGCGGATGCACTTGCGCGCGCACGAGGAGGAGCTCACGCCGCGGCTGGTGCTCGTCTGCGCGGCGTGCGGGCGCGCGTTTAGGGACGCTGGCGATGCCGAGGTAGGTTTGGCGGCGCTTCCCACAGGGGACATGTGTTTGTTAGGGAGGACCCACAGGACATTGTTGCCGGAGCCTTAGGGTTGTTTCCCAAAGAGGGTTAACGTCAGGCAGGCGGCCGGTCGTAAAAAATCTAGCTAAGACCGCTTAAATCATGATTGACAAATGATTCACATGTTGTGCCGACCCCACGTAGATGGCGCCCTTAGGGAGGCGGGGACATGTGTCATCGCCCTTAGGAGGCCGGGGACATGTGTGCCCGTTCCAGATTAGGGACGCCGGCAACGCCGAGGTAGGTTTGGGCCACATCACGTCTGAGCACGCAGCTGCCGGCACGCGCTCGGGCTGATATATACTTGCGCGCGCACGGATGAGGAGCTCACGAAGTAAGAGTTAGCGCTGGTGCTCGTTTGCGCGGCGTGCAGGCGCGCGTTTAGGGACGCTGGCGATGCCGAGGTAGGTTTGGCGGCGCTTCTGGTGTGCACGCGCCCTTAGGGAGGCCGGGGACATGTGTGCACGCGCCCTTAGGGAGGCCGGGGACATGTGTGCGCGTGCCTTTAGGGACGCCGGCAACGCCGAGGTAGGTTTGGGAGCGCTTCTGGTGTGCACGCGCCCTTAGGGAGGCCGGGGACATGTGTGCACGTGCCCTTAAGGAGGCCGGGGACATGTGTGCGCGTGCCTTTAGGGACGCCGGCAACGCCGAGGTAGGTTTGGGAGCGCTTCTGGTGTGCACGCGCCCTTAGGGAGGCCGGGGACATGTGTGCACGCGCCCTTAGGGAGGCCGGGGACATGTGTGCGCGTGCCTTTAGGGACGCCGGCAACGCCGAGGTAGGTTTGGGAGCGCTTCTGGTGTGCACGCGCCCTTAGGGAGGCCGGGGACATGTGTGCACGTGCCCTTAAGGAGGCCGGGGACATGTGTGCGCGTGCTTTTAGGGACGCCGGCAACGCCGAGGTAGGTTTGGTAGCGCTCCTGGTGTGCACGCGCCCTTAGGGAGGCCGGGGACATGTGTGCGCGTGCCTTTAGGGACGCCGGCAACGCCGAGGTAGGTTTGGGAGTGGTCCTGGTGAGCACGCGCCCTTAGGGCAGCCGGAGATATATATGTCCGCGCCTTTATGGATGCCAGCGTCGCCGAAGTAGAGTTAGCGGTGCTCCTTGTGTGCACGCGCCCTTAGGTAGGCCGGGGACATGTGTGCGCGTGCCTTTAGGGACGCCGGCAACGCCGAGGTAGGTTTGGGAGTGGTCCTGGTGAGCACGCGCCCTTAGTGCAGCCGGAGATATATATGTCCGCGCCTTTATGGATGCCAGCGACGCCGAAGTAGAGTTAGCGGTGCTCCTTGTGTGCACGCGCCCTTAGGTAGGCCGGGGACATGTGTGCGCGTGCCTTTAGGGACGCCGGCAACGCCGAGGTAGGTTTGGTGGCGCTCCTGGCCCTTAGGGAGGCTGGGAACATGTGTGCCCGCGCCTTTAAGGACGCTGGTATCCCCGAGATAGGTTTAACAGCGCTCCTGGTGTGCACGCGCCCTTAAGGGGACGAGAGATTTGTGTGCACTTGCCTTTAGAGATAAGAGAAAACGCTCCTAGTGTCGATAAAACGCCAAGGAAGATTTAGTGGCGCTTCTGGTGTGCACGCGCCCTTAGGAACAGCGCCTCTATTGTATGCGCAAAGGGATGAGAAAATGGTATGTTTTTGTGACACGCGCCTTTAGAAGCACGAGCAACTAGGGAGCTTATATCTTTATAGAAGTAAGCCTCTCCTTTAACGAACATTACTAGCCTTTACTGAGCGCTTTAACTTCTTCATTGAATATCGCTAAGTTTGCGATTTGAAGATGACTCTTTGCCCTTGTTCAATTTTATTGATTACTCAACCATTTGCAGGAGCACGCCAGCAAATCCAAAGAGTGCATGGAGCAATTCAGTCCAGCCGTCAAAGAGGAGAACGAGGTCTCCGTTCAGCTGTCACCTACCAGCGGCTTGGTGACGCACACCATGGCTGTAGTAGGTCCGTACTGCTTTTGTAAGAGGATGATGGCATCAGATGATAATCGATACCATCGTGTTCCATAGTGATATTTGTTAGGCTATGTTTAAAGGCCGGTTTCAATATTCTATCTACAGAGATAGATATCAACCAACTAGTGATAGGTATTTGACATTAGCTCCATAATACTTACGTCAAAATTCTATCTCCAGCAACCAAATCTATCTGTAGATAGAATATTGATACCGGCCGTTAGACAATCGTAGAGTTTTGTTTAATAATGTTAATTAAAAATCATTTAGGTGATGCGCTAAAAAAATTTAAAGCTATTTAACTGTGGTAGGGCCACGCAACGGTCAATTTTCAAAAGGTTGTCAACGCATCTGGAAGCCTCGGGTGTAGCAGATAACCGTGGGTGACGGTATTCACTTATCAGGTGAACCGTCTGCTCGCTTGGCAACTTTTCACATAAAAATAGTGTAAAAAAAACGGTATTTTATGTTGCGTCAATAGCCAGGCCCGTCCGGGTGAGTACCACGAGCTCACAGTAGACCGGCGCGAACTGGAAATGATATACTTCTGCGTTTCGTCTAGTGAGTGAGGTAGCCGAGGCCAACTATTAAAAGGTGGCATCCCTACGGGCGGAAGTTGTCACTCAACACCAGGTGAATCGCCAGCTCGCTTGCCATCTTCTTACATAAAAAAAAAACAGTTTTTGTGAACATGACCTCAGCCGGTTGAATCAGGAGTGACATGATCGTAAACTTGGATGAATTCACCATTTATCTCCTTCTTGATAATGTAAATGGGCGAAGGTTATCAATTAGCACGAGGTGAATGGCCAGCTCGTTTGCCACCTTCTAACATAAAAGCTATTATAACACGCAGCGCGGTCGCCACGTGCGTCCCCGCCGGGCGGCGAAGCCCTACTGGCCCCTCTGGCCGACCACGCGCGGCCCCTCATCCGCGTCGTGGAGATCGAGAAGGCCTTCCGCTGCGAGTACTGCGAGGAGTGAGTCGCCCGTTCGATCCCATTCGCACGGCGGATAGGAAGATTAAAATAAATTAAAAAAATAATTTAAAAGCCACTAGAGTGATTTTACCACGTCACTCGAGTAAACGACTTACTTACCACTTACAACTCGAGTAAGAATCTATCACTGGAGACGAGTTTCGATTAGTTTAGATTAAGAAATTTTTAAATACAATAATGATATAATATTGCTAATTTATTAAGGATTAAATTAGCAATATTATGGTAATTTGAAATAAAATACAAAATGTGATTTACGTTATTTATGTCATTAGTCAACAAAGAAAAATAAAATGACTTCAGATTTTAATCACTTTTGATGATGTACACTAGGCACTATAATAACAAAAATTAAAGTCCGTGGCGCAGTTCTCAAGGTATTGGCTTCGGCGTCGGGGGTCGTGGGTTCGATTCCCACACGGGACAACTACTTGTGTGACCGACAGATTGTTGTTTCGCATTTGGGTATTTTTCCGCGTGAAATTTACGTTTGTAAAACGTCCTTACAACACGTACGATAATATTATCCTAAAATAAAGGCAATATTTTTTTCAAAGGAATAAAATACTTATAATCACATTTTCATTAACAATAACAAAACTTTAAAACGACGCACGTGAATTCAACTAATATAACTATAATGTATGTTTACATTCAATATGTAAGTTTGAACTTTTAAAGTTCCGATGTAAATAAAAACTAGTGACGTAGTGACATTTAGCGTAGCACATAACGAATCTACTCGGCGCGCTGAGTTGACTCGGTAACTCGAGGGCAAACGTGCCCGAGTGAAATTTGTTTTGACTCAAATACGAGCTTAACAAATTCACTAGGGTCACTCGATTACAAAAACGGCTCGTGTCTCAACACAGTGCAGACAAGAAGTTAAAGGGTAAAATGTTTTAAACACAGTGCAGTAACACTAAATTAAGTGTTATGATACAATATTGAATACAGCGCGGAGGCAAAATGAAGTGTACAATATTAAATACAGTGCAGAGACGAAATTAAGGGTACAGTATTAAATACAGTGCAGACACGAATTTAGAAATGAAAACGAAGGATTAAATATTACACTACTTTGAATTATTAAAAGCGATCGACCTAACGCTGAGCTTTCACTGCTTTTGTATGTAATAAGCACTCCAAGCATAATAATTGAGAACTTTGTACCTTTTACAACAAATGAATCACTAATAGTAACGTACAGTATTTATGGAACGACTAACGTTTACATATATACGCTAATTAATAAATCAACAATGGGCGATACTGATTGACTAATTTTCTTATTCTATTTTGCAGCGTTTTCTACCTAGAGGATGCCCTCAACAGCCACCGTGCTATTCACAAGGGTGTTAAGAATCCTTTCACTTGCCACATCTGCAAAGTCAGCTTTGCGACATACTCTAGGTGAGATGCACTGCGACTGCAGGCAGCAAATGCGCGATACTCCACAGACAGCAAATATATCAAACAGCTTTTTAATGATATATTTAATAATGATACGAATTACTTGTTATGATCTATATATCGCTTTCATTTTTTTTTGCGAACCGCGTAAATGACTTGCTTAACAAGAAACGCCTTATATATAAATTTATACATAGACAAACCATAGTAACCATAGTGATATTTCGCTATGGTCCACGACGGTATCGATTTTCCGATGCCTTTATTCTTATACAAAAGCAATACTGAACTACTACTTACGATGCAGATAGTTGTCTTTGTGTTATAGTTAATAGTTAGTTAGTTAATAGTGGTATTTCCGGGCCAATACGACTTATGCCCGGTTCTTTATAACGTAGTAACGTAGTAACGTTTCTTCGTAACTTGCCTCTTTTACCATAAAAAAAAATGATGTCTTTCAGATGCACGACACACAAAACTACGCACGGCTTCTACAAGCGCTCGCTGGCCGAGTGCCAGAAGAGGGCGGGCGGTGCGGGGGTGGGGGACGCCCCGGCGGGGGTGGGGGCGGGGGCAGGTCCCGCCGCCACCGGCATCCTGGGCTACGGGGGCTTCCCCGTCGTCAAGCACTTCCTGTGCGAGGTGATTCCCGCGCTATTTGCTCGTTCATATGAACAAGCAAGAGATGCGTAATATGTGTTGCCAATCAAGTAATAGCCTATCCGGTGTACCGTTCCGTTTTTCTATCCCGAAGTGTAAGTGCAAGACTTGGTTTGTAGGGTTTTTTTTTATTTATTTGAAAAGCCAAGCGAGCAGGTACTCGTAGTACCACCGCGTATTAAGTGATTACCGTCGCCCAAGGGTACAACACTGTATCAGTCGCAGGCGCGTTGCCAACCTTTGAAAAGGTGCCCCGGTTACCTCACAAATCAGACGGAACGCGCCTTTCCTGGACGCCTACTATTACACTACCCTGCCACTGCACCTGCACTAAACTACCTACTATTAACAGGTTTAAGAAATTTATTAAATAATAACTTTATAAAAAGGGTTATTATAATACAAATGAATAACATTAATGACAATAACCCCTGGGAATGAGTTGATCGCTCCCAAGCTATTTCTAAAAGGAAAAAAGTCAGTTGTATAATATTTTAATAATTTTTAAGAAAAAAATGAATTACAAAAAAGAGGATACCTACGGAGTTTCTTTCGCCTGTTTCTTCCCCGCTACAGGAACCTCATTACGAAACGGTGGTAGATTTAAAAAAAAATATATGACTATCTATAGATGAAAGGTAGGTTTCTTATGTCGATGAATAAATAAATGGTTTTGATTTTTTGATTTTGACGAATCTGCATGCAACAGCGGAGCGTGTGGCGCTACCGCATTAAGTGATATTTTTTCCAGGACTGTGGACGCTCGTACCTTCACTGGACGTACCTTCAGGTCCACCGAAGGATGAAGCATGCGAACGAGAACTTCCTGTACAAGTGCAACCAGTGCGGCCTGACCTTCCCCAACAGGTGGGCTAGTACAATCGTTTTGTTTTAAAGAAGAAAAAAATTGTCAAGAGAGCGTTTCGACTAATGATATGTGAATACCGCCAATTGACATCTACAACAGTCGATGGTTTGATGCTTGTTGACAACCTTCAAAAAAGGGGGCCTCGGCTACCAGAAGACGAAACGCTACAGTATACACTTCCACTTTACGTCGGTCTTCTGTGAGGCCGTTGTGCTTAACCGGACGAGCCTGCCCATTCGTGCAACATCAGTAGCTGCTGCATGGACCATGCATGAATAGAAATTAGATTAAATGTATTAGTTAGGACAAATAGGAAAATAACTCGCATCCAGGTAAAAAGTTCACATCCCTTGAGCCGTGATAGCTCAGTGTCCGGGCGCTCGCTTTTAATTACATTTACTCGAACAACCTGAGTTCGATCCCCGGTGCGGGCACTAATGAAATTTTTAATTTTAAGTGCTGAATTATCATGTGCTCGGCGGTGAAAAAAAAGCATCGTGAGGAGACCTGCATATTTTCGAAATAATAATAAAAAAAAATATTTCGTAAATATGTGAAGTCCGCCGATCCGCAGTGGGGCCGCGTGGTGGACTATGCCCTGATACCCTCTTTACAGAGGAGGTCTTTGCCCAATAGTGGGACAATAAGAGGCTCTTACTTTACTTTACTTTTTCTGTCATTATGATTATTGCCACCTCTCGTACATAATTAGCAGTTGTCAAAGATGTTGAATAAAATAATGTGTCTGGCAATAGCTGGAGTGTGGCGTACCACAGGAAGAAGATCCATGGCAAGAGCGGCCCAGAGGACGGTGGGGGAACCACCAAAATCGCTAGAGACGATTACAGGTGAGAAAAGTGTGAAAATATTTTTAAAAAATCACCTCTTTTCCCGTCTTTGTGGCACGTTTTTTGAAAATCTAAAATTTTTGGAACAAGTACCTTAACGCTGCTTGCTAGAAGTGTGAGTTGTTAGGAATCGTTACGTAAAAAAAGCAATATGCCCCCTCCATTTGATTTCTATCTACCCTCTCTCTCTGTATTGAACACACACACACACCCTAGACACATTGGGGCGGGATTTTAAAATTACTGTTTTTAAAATAATTAATTACCATTCCTTCATTTGTTTATTTCACTCAAACTCTGTCAATTCATTTAAATGTGCCTGTTATTTAATAAATAATAAATTATGGTGTACAAACAAAAAATACGTCTGAAAAATAATATATAGAAATTATCACTTGCAGGATACCATGTCGTGATTGCAGTGAGGTGCTGCCGAACAAAACTGCTCTCTACGCTCATAGACAGAAGGAACACAGCGACATGACTCTTTCCATGAGTGATGATCAAAGTCAGTAACACGTTTATTTGAAGATTTCTAGATAGGTCCGAATCTAGTCGGTACATACACCGATTCTATGCTAGTTTAGCCGTTTTATTATTCCGTTAATATCATCTTTCTAATATCTTAATATTTATAAATCATGTGTCACGTTGTTTGTCCGCGATGGACTCCTAAACCACTGAACCGATTTAAAACAAATTTTCACACCGTGTGCAGTTTGATCCAACTTGAAAGATAGGATAGCTTACATCTCAATTTATAGTCGCAATAATATTTTATTGCAAATTAGTTTTTTATTAGATGACAAAGAGCTATAGTTATCTGTGAGTTCCATAAGATTTTAACAGATGGCGGTGTAAGGTAAATTTATCGGCTGGATTGAGTAAGTATCCCGTAGATGGCGCTGGCGATGTTAAAAGTCGAAACGTATGGAGCCGGTAGATTTGGTGCAGACGAAGTTCCGCGGGCCAGCTAGTATTTAATAAATGATTGTTTTGCAGGCTGTACGGGCGCGGAGGTGCGTGCACGTGCGCCGCCTCTGCGTGCCACCTCTTGCTGTAAATGCGGACACAACTTCAGCGAGCCCAGCGCTTTGCAGCGCCATCTCAAGTCAGTGCCATTCTCCGTTCACACAGCTTTATACACAGCTTTATGGATTAACCCAACCATACTCTATTTAGGAATACCTTAGGGGAAATCAAAATCAAAATCATTTATTCATCGACATAAGAAACTTACATTTCATTTATCAATAGTCATATTTTTTTAAAAATCTACCACCGTTTCGTAATGAGGTTCCTCTAGCGGAGAAGAAACAGGCGAAAGAAACTCCGTAGGTATCCTCTTTTTTGTAATTCATTTTTTTTTCTTAGCAAAAAATTCAAATATTATACAACTGATTTTTTCCTTTTAGAAATAGCTTGGGAGCGATCAACTCATTCCCAGGGGTTATTGTCATTAATGTTTTCATTTGTATTATAATAACCCTTTTTATAAAGTTTTTCTTTAATAAATTTCTTAGGATTATCTATCTCTAGGAATTATTATCTATCTATAGGAATCTAATTTCTTGGGATTAATGTGAAGTGAATTTTGAATAACTTCACTGTTATCGTTCACTTGCGAATAGGCATCCTCTGCCATTGATTTCTGTGCGCTTTTTGTCAGTCGTTTTTAGAATTTTATTAAATTACTACCAGTAATTCATTGTAGTTACGTAAGATTTTTTTTAATATTTTATACATGTTGTCAAATGTGCTGTTCTTTTCTTCCGTCAAGTTATGCAAATCTTGAGATTGTTAACTAAATATTTTTACTTACGTAAACTATAAGCCAAGTTAGTGAGGGATGTAGTCCTGTTAGCGAAGTAGTCCAATTAACTATTAAACAGAAATACACAACACATTATCATTTAGATGACTGAGGGAAAATCTAACTTTATTTAAGTATCTATCACTATATCTAGTTATAGCTTACCAAAAAGTCTGATTTGAAATGGCAACATGCTGTGATATGAAACTATTTTAACATATTTATCACGTTGATTTTAAATTTTAATCCTGTTCCGTGACATTGAACGTTAAAAATAATAAACGAGATATATTAGTAAAAATAGTTTCATTAAGTAATATTTAGTATTCGCGTAGATACAAGAACGAAGAAACTATCACGGAACACCATGACGCAGACAAAGTCGGTGGCTTAGTTGCAAAGCTATTGGCTTCGGTGCCGCGTGTCGTTGGTTTGATCCCACACGGGACAATTATATGACCCGCAGACGATCGTTTCTGATTCGGGGGTTTTCCCCAAGGAAGTTTGATGCAGGCGGCCGGTCATAAGAAACCTAGTCAAAGCCGCTTAGAACATGATTCACGCGTAGTGCTATCCAACTTTGTTGTTAATGTGAAAAGTGGCAACGAGCCGGCGGTTCACCTGATGAAAAGTGATAACCGCCGCCCACGGACATTTGGCAACACCCAAATGTCCGTAGGGTCGCAGATGCGTTTCCACTTTCTAAAAAAGTGGCCCTGGCTACCTCGCTTACCAAAGTGTAACTCTTGTACTTCATGCGTCTTCTGTGTGGTCGTGGTAATCGAATTATCTATAAATGATGTTAATTCCGCTGGGTGCCCGATGAAAATGGGTGTCCCACAAGGATCAATCTTGGGCCCATTATTATTTTTAGTGTATATTAACCTTCCCTTTTATGCCAGTGGGTTGTGTGATGTTGTACTGTTTGCTGACGATACATCGCTGATTTTAAGGATGAACGAAATTTATTAATAATAACGACGTGAATAGTGCACTTCCACATATCCTCCTCGGGCTTACTATTAATAATATGCATTCGTGCAACAGTGAATGGGCAGGTCCGTCCAATCAGTGTTCGCTGTTGCAAGAATGGGCAGGTCGCGCCCTTGCGTGGCCCTACCGCAGTAACTTCACAATCACGGAGCGAGTCGTGTCCGAAGGGAGGTGCACGGCCACGAGGGGGAGTCGAGGGGCGGGGGCGGGGGCGGCGGAGGGGGGCCGCACGCGTGCGCCGTGTGCGGGCGCGCCTTCCGCTCGGCGTCCGTGCGCAACGAGCACCTGCGCGTGCACACGGGCGAGCGGCCCTACCCGTGCGACGTGTGCGGCGTCGCGTTCCGCAGGTGAGCGCGACTGTACCGGACGCGGCGGTGTTTGTTGACTTTTAAAAAAAGTGGATGTCGGTTTACAGGTGAATATAAATTTATTTTGTTAAATTACAGTTTCGTATGTACTCGTAGTGTCACAGAATAGAGAAAAAAAATATAATGAACCAGACAGAGAGTATAACAAAATTTTCAATAGTTTTGAACGCGACTGTGACGAACTCGACTGTACCGAACGCGGCGGTATTGAACAAGGTTGCGCTGAACGCGGCTTTAATTGAACGCGAATGAAATGAACGTGGCTGTAATTGAACGCGGCTGTACCGAACGCGTCTGTACTGAACGCGATTCTAACGAACGGGGCTGTAATAAATGCGAATGTACTGACCGCTCCTTTACTGAACGCTACTGTACTGAACTCTACTGTACTTAACGCTACTGTATTGAACGCGACTGTACTGAACGTGACTGTTCTGATCGCAACTGTCACGAACATGACCTGTACTGAAGAATTATACTGCACAGGACTAAACTGAACGCGATTGAACCGAACGCGACTCTATTGAACGGAACTTTACTGAACGCGACTGTACTCAAGTTTTTCAAGGATAAAACGGGACCCTGTCTGTCCGTCTGTCACCAGGCTGTACTTCATGCACCGTGATAGTTAGACAGTTGAAATTTTCACAGATTATGAATTTCTGTTGCCGCTATAACAACAAATACTAACACCCACTCAGCCCCTGCGCTTCTAATGTACAGTACTTAACACCAAATTGTCCACTCTTGTCACACTGAGCCATCGCCAGAACACGTAGTGTATTTCATAACTATAAAACTGCTGTACGACTGTGCAATACATTAACAAATGATAACTATATGAGACTAATAGCGAAAATGTGCCAATGACGAGAGATTTAATATTTATTATTTTTATTAATCAACATATCTCATTTTAAGTTCTTTTTTTTTTTTGAGAACGTTTACCTGACCTTCAGTTATAATCGCTGCCCATTGACATTTGCAACACCCGTATCGATGGCAGATGCATTGCCATGTTTTAGCGGCCCTAATACCCCACTCACCAGACGAAACATAGAAAACACAGAAGTACGACACAATCACTTCACGCCGGTCTTCACGCGAGGTCGAGGCACTTACCCGGACGCACCTGCCGATTGGTGCAACAGCGAAGACTCGCGTGGCCACGAAACATAGAAAACACAGAAGTATGACACATCCGCATCACGCCGGTCTTCTGTGAGGTCGTGGCACTTACCTGCCGATCGATGTAACGGCGAAGACTCGCGCGGCCCACCACAGTAAAGCCTGGTCCGCGTTATAGGTCCACCGCGATGCGCAACCACCGCCTCATCCACTCGGGGGTCCGCGCGTGGCCCTGCCCCCGCTGCCCGAAGAGGTTCCGCATCCGCTCGGACCTCCGCACGCATCTCCGCCTCAAGCACCCCACTCGCCTCGTGGTCATCGAGGTATGCCGCAACTGGACCCTCACCTGAAAATCGCACCGACAGCTCGTAATACACCCACCTATATTCATCACCACTTCTTTGAGTGAATTCTAAGAACGCACTGAATGAATGAATACATTGTCGGGTGAATGTTCGGAACGCACTGTTATCGCGACATTGAATGAATGAATGAATTAATTAATTGTCAATTTCAATTGGAATTCATTTAGTTTCAACACCTATCATAATTATGTTAACAATTGATTGAAAATATAACGAAGGGCATGAAATGGCAAAACAACTTAATACCATATTTTTACAACACTTTTAATGTATACTTTACCGACTTTTCTGCTAGTGATTACCCGATTATCAAAATTGGTTTATTAAAAAATTATAAGTATGTGATTTTTTTAAAAGTTTTTTTTAACATAAAGCATAATAGTAAATTGAAAATAAAAATGTTGTAAATGTATACCAGAAAGCGCTCTCCGGCTTTAAATCGATAGACAAATCGAAGTCACAATAATCTTTTCATATCGCAGTTTACCAAATATAAATATTAAATACCTACGTGTTACATAATTGTATTCATTTAATCACATAATGACAGACAACATGGCAAATTTGTCAAATGTGTCAGCTTTATCTGCTCGATCGAAGATTTGGGTTTTTCCCGTTAAAAATAATGTTTTTTTTTTTTTAATTAAAATGAGTTGATTAACAAAATCGGTCATCTTCACGGAGTAAAAGTAAAAGATTTGAATAAGCTAATTCTGCCTCTATAAAGTATGATGCCTAATAAAGAGTACTAAAAATTTTAACATTTTAGGGGAATAACGCCCGGTTCCAACACTGATCATCGTAGATGTCAACTAATCGGCTGTCAAATGGCTTCTCAAGTTTCATTAAGTTGCCAAAAGGATGGTTAAGTTCTCTGAATTGACCTTAATGATCAGAATGATCAATTCAAAAAGTTTAACCATCCTTTTGGCAACTCAAATGACATTCGAAAAGACATTTGACAGCTGATTAGTTAACATATACGATGATCGGCGCTTCAGAAACCGGGCGTTAATGTATCAATTTATCAGTCTTTATTATAGATTAGTACGAATTCTTTACACAGATCGCAGGTTTGAACCCCACACATGAGGAGGTCATGCAGCACCTCCGCGAAAACAACGTAACGCAGGGCCGGATTTTGGAGATCACGAAAATGTCCTTCGAGAAGGTACTTCCCCGTCCTATTATGTTTATACAGATAGGGTCACTAAAGAAACTATGGAATTTGAATCAGTCTCTATCTACAGCGACATGAAACCTTATTTATTATCATACATGCATACACGTATTTTAAGTATAATGCTAAGTAGACGTAATTAAATATTTTTATACGACGTATGGTTTTTATAAGTTAATTTTTTTTAAATCTTCACACCTTTTTACGTTATACAAGAAATTAAAACTAGAGAAATCAATAGATTAAGTAAACGAAAGGTGTTATTGTCAACTTTCCGATGTTGGCGTTAATGAACCTTTACACAGAGTATTCTGGTATGTTCAGCCAAGTCAATGACAACGCTATTGCGATTTGGCGAAATTTTCTAAACCTTTTTTCCTTTATACCAGTATAAGGCAACCTACGTATTTAGCAAAGAGTAAGTCTTAAATTAAAAAAAAATCGCTTGAGCACGAGCTACCACAAATTTCTCCTAAAATAGTATTATTGGATTAGTAGAAGTCTGTTAAACGTTATATTATCTAACACGGCCTGTTTTTCCTTTATTATTTTAAAACGAGAAGTTTAAAAATTGCTTGATACAAATCAAATTTTTTGTAATTATTCGCTTAGGGTAGCACCAGTATAGTGCCGACAAACGCCCGTGCGCTGTCCCTTCTCAGCGCAGTACCGCTTACTAAGGTAACCTGCGAGCCAGCCCAAATCAACACCGGTAAGCGTTTTACAAAAGTATACTTATTGTAAAATTGATCAATTTTAAAGTTAGCAACACAGGACCTAATGGCGACCCTTGCGGGATACTACAACCGGCCAAATATCTTCACTACATAGTATAAAACAAAGTCGTCCCGGTGTCTGTCTGTCCCTATGTATGCTTAGATCTTTAAAAGTACGCAACGGATCTTGATGCGGTTTTTTAGTGGTTCAAGAAGAAGGTTTATATGTACAATACATTGCACTCGTGCGAAGCCAGGGCGGGTAAATAGTTATATATAAATAATTCTGCTGTACGTTTGTACGTCATTGAACTGATTATATTAAATTTTTTTGTGCGGTTTAGATTCACAATAGAATTATTTTTTTTTAAGTTATCGATTTAAGTCGTGTGTAAAGGACGTCTGCCCGGTGCGCTAGTTATATATATATATATATATATATATATATATATACATCACGCTACCTATTGTGCGTCCACTATGGACAAAATTGCATATAATCTGGCGTCCACCTGCTTTGGACGTCCGATATACGGACGTCGGATCGGAGAATGTTCTCACGGACTTAACCGAATTCGAAAAAAGAAGGAGGCTCAAATCTTCTGTCCTTTATATTTAAGCCTGACTGGTTTTGTTTCTACTTTTTAACATACCTACCTTAATTTTTTATTATATGTTAAGTACAATAATTATTTCATTGCCAAATATCAAAGTCGTTATGCCTCGACATAGAAGAATACATAAAAATGATTGTTATGACTAGAAACGTACTTAGTTAAGTATTATTTCGAATATAAAATAGTAAATAATATAAAGCGAAATAATTAAGTGACATTTATTTATTATGAAGAATGTAAAGGAAAAAACTTATAATTACACATTTAAACTAGGTAACCGCCGCCCATGGAAATATGCAACACCCGTGGGGTCGCAAATGCGTTGCCTTTCTACTACTACCTTTAAATAAAGTGGGCTCCGGCTACTTCACTCACCGGACGAAACGCAGAAGCGTAACACTTCTACTTTACGTCGGTCTTCTGTGAGGTCGAGGTACTAACCGGGACGGACCTATATACATATATATATATATATATATATACACTAGAAAATCGAATACTGTTGCGTGGTCCTACCACAGTTAACGAGATGGACTGACGACCTGCAACATTCGTGCACCAATGAACGCTGTTGCATGGCCCTACCACAGTTAAATTTAAAATCAACAACGCAAAAAAGTGACGACTACTTTACACAACCTGGGAGTTCCAAGGAGCACTGCGCATTTTTGGGATTTTTGTTTAATTTTTAACAGACACGCTAAATTCCTTTCAATTTCTTTAAGTCAAGATAAAGGCCGTGATAGCTCGGTGTCCGGGTGCTCGCCTTTAATTCAATGTACTCGAACAACTTCTAGTTCGATACCTGGAACCATGAAATTGTTAATTTTAAGTGCTGAATTATCACGTGCATATTTTGAAAATAATAACAAAAAAAAAATATTTTCAGGATGTCAAATGAATAATAGCTTGAAACTTTAACGACATTGCAACGTCCGTATACTCGTATAATTATATCTAAATACCTGTAAAACGTGCAAATGATTACATAATTTATATAGACGTTTGAAGCTAAGCGCAAGCTCTTGGCTACATTTATATTATTTTCCCTGCCCTGCGTCAACCGAGTCTGATCATCAGTGTTCGGGATTCGCGCCCAACAAGCTTTACGGCGGGTTTTGCGCTTAACTTCAAACGTCTATATAAATTATGTAATCATTTGCATATTTTACAGGTATTTAGGTATTATACGAGTATACGGACGTTGCAATGTCGTAAAAGTTTCAAACTATTATTCATTTGACATCCTAGACGTCAAATGAGAAATGTTCTAAAAATTTTACGACATTGTAACGTCCGTATATGTGTATCTACATTATATGTCTTAGTTTAAAGCCTGCTAAACAATAAACAGAAAAAATCTAACATTAATAAAATCGCGGATTGAAATATAACATTATAATTTTATATTAAAAAATTACACATTGATATTTTTATATAATTTGACCCATTTAACGTATTAATTAATGCTATCGTAATAAATGACATTTGAACTCATATTTTATTTTTCATAACCATAAACTTCACATTTACTCTAGCATGCCTGTTCTTTAGATATAAAGTAATTACCCACCAACTTATTATATCTTAATACAGAAAGCACAGCAGCAACGTCGCACTGTTCATAGGAGTTTAAATAGATAGGAAAATGTAAATAAAATTATGTATATTATGGGAAGTCAGATAATTGATAGTGTTGGGTGGAGTCCTAATTGATTTCACTATGCTTGTTAATATACGTATATTTGTATATATATTAAGAATTAAAATTTCTGAAAAATAAGTTGTAAGCAGTGTTTGACACTGCCCTAGCGACTAATATTCGCAGTAAAAGTTGAAAATTTTTAAGTGGAACTGGTGGACGTCACAATAATGCCAAATGAAAGGGTGCCCAAAAGGTAGCGTGATGTATATATATATATATATATATATATATATATATTATTAAGTTGATTACTCCGTGGCACAGTCGCCGCCAAGGCTTCGGCGTTTCGGCATGTTTGTAAAACGTCCTTACAACATAGGACAATGTTGTCCTAAAGTTATAGGCAATTTTTCCTCAAATAACCCTCACATACGCCGAGTCCAAAAAACAATACCTGATTTTACCGTCATTTTCCCGTGGTAAAAAGCCACTATCTTTATTCTGCCAGGCTTCCCTTATGGCCTCTTCCGAAAAATCGGTTTCAAAACCCATCCGATTTCCTCCAAACGATTCGACGTGACCCGGGAAACTTTCTCGTATATAATATTGGCGTATAGTCTCCACAGACGCGGGCCTTCCAGCGCGGCGGGGCAGAGGCATCGCTAAAAACCCCCGAAGGCCTAGAATGCCCCAGGGCTCCAACGATGACACCGACCAGGACTCGAACCCGTATACCGCGCCAGTGGAACCAAATGCAGAGGTAACTTACAATATTGTTACGGCAACAAACGCCACTTCCGCAGAACACTGCACAGAACTCTACATGGGAGAGACATCTAATACCATTGCACACTTGAAGGTTCTAGACTTTAGCATCCAAAGCACTTTTAATATAATTTTGACGTGTGATCATCACGGATCAAGGAAACAGGGCAGTTGCCTTAAAGCGGTGACGTCACAGATCAGTAACGACTATGATAGGGCCATGTAACACTCTTCGTGGCTTGAACCGGCAGGTCCGTCCGGGTAAGTACCACGACCTCACAGAAGCGTCAAGTGTCATACTTCCGCGTCTCATCTGGTGAAGAGATAACTGGGGTCCACTGTAGTAAAAGGTCGCAACACTCCGCTACCCCACAGATATCCGTGGGCGGCGGTTATCGCTTAACATCAGGTGAACCGCAAACTCGCTCGCCAAGTTCTCACATAAAAAAAAATCAACGCCCATTGGTCAGAAATCACTAATCGCTTACAGCCCTTGGCCAATAGAGATGTGTTAGCGAATGTTAGTAAGCAACAGATCATGACGTCAGACGTTGTCGGCCAAGCCCTAGCGATATTTAACGTTAGACTACCATGCCCGCACACTTTCCGACTCATTCACCGTCGTGAATTTCAAAATATATTCGATTATTTAAACCTCACGCACTCAGAGAAACTAGCACCGCATCAAGGTAATATTTTTTTTATTTTTTTAATGTAGAACATTTTAAAAATTGGACCCGAGCTACCACACTCGCCAGCCAGAACGTGAAAGCATAATAGCTTCCACCTCACGCTGGTCTTCTGCGAAGCTTGCAGCTTGCAGCAAAAGCTTTTCAGTGGCCCTACCACAGTTAAAATGTGCATAACGTTCTGTATTAAAGTCAAAATTTCGTCATTAAATATAGCCTTATTTTAAGCTCTTATTGAACGTCAAAAAACTACCACCGGCTCAGTAAACTAGACACCCGTCCAGATAAGAACCGGCAAGAAACTCTGTGGTCTTATCTTTTTTTCTTTTTCTTTTAATTATATAGGTACATAAAAGTGCCGAGGGGACTTGCAAGTGCCGAGCAAGAGTCCACTCATCTTTGTTCTCGATGTATTCTTCGACATTATAATTGGCCCTTTCCGATAATGTATAATAATAATAATACAATAATAAAAGCCCATACCATACCATTACCATTCCATATGACGAGAACCTCGTGAAAGCCGAAACAGATAAGAAGACGAAGTATCTGGACCTGGCTCACGAGGTGACCGACATGTGGGGGGTTGATCCCAGTCAGCCTCTCCAAACATCTGAGGCGACTGGGACTCCGGGACGGATCGCTCCAGGCTCAAATGCAGAAGGCGGTGCTCCTCGATACCGCCCGCATCGTCCGCCGGTTTCTCTCCCTTTCGCCCTAACCCTCGGCCGTTTGGTCTCCCCTGTCGAGAGCTTCCGTCTGGTTGGGTCCTATTTATATATGTATTATATAAAATATATATATATATATATATATATATATATATATATATATATATATATATATATATATATAAAGCCCTTTATTCAGACCAACTTAATATCTATTACATCTATACATTCCGTTAATGTAGGTCTTACAAAACGTTTGAAGTTGTTTACACTTAATTGTATGTGGATGCCACCTTTATTGCCATAAACTATGGTGCGGTGTTCCAGGAGTTGGGCGGGCTGAACGTGCAGCTGATGCTGCGGGACGGTCTACTGCTGCAGATGGAAAATACCGGCGGGAGCGAGCCGCCCCAATGGTCAAGCCTCCCTGACCACAGCTCCGAAACAGCGGACAAATAGGAGCGCCGTAACAATAACCGTGGCACTTTCATAATTACGTTAAATTTGACCACCATAATGAGTGATCCAAAAGAAACAAGTTATCGTTTAAAAAAGGCGTTTGACGTAAAAAATCTCACGGTACCGAATACACAGGTTAAAAATTACTTATCCCACCTTGTCGAATAGCTGGGTCTAATACATATGTACCAAAGAAAACAAATCTCACAATACCTTCAACAGTGCGAGCCAGTTAGCTTCTGGATTAATGAAAAAACGGTCCATTTCCCTCTTACCACAAACCTTTCGACTATGAAAGGTCTACAAAAAATTAATTTGTAAATAATTAGTCATTCTTGGATTAATAGGTAGTTTCATTATCACTGATTTTAAATTACTATTTTATTGATCAAAAGTTTCGTCATGTCATGACAATTCGTGTTTTACAAATGTATTAAGTATTATTATAATAGTTTGTTTTTCAGATATAATGCATGAGTAATCATAAATATACAGCGTGTCGTTACAACCGCGACAATAAATGAACACACGTCTAACGCTACTTGCCAATAATCATAAAAAAATATAAACGTTAAAAAAATCCATAGCTAAAAAAATATTTTTCAAACAAGCTAATTAAGTAAAAAAGAAATAAAATTTGTAACATCCTATACAACTCGCGCCACAGCGTCGCATTACAGGCCTCTTCTCCTAACAGTATGTTTTGTCTCTTTTAAATTCATTCAACCCATTCATATGCTTTGTGACCTTTACAAATGAACTTTACGTAACAGTTTTATACGTAAGGATATTCTAAAATTGTTTGTTTTGGAAAATTTAATAACTCGGTAAATATTTATGTTTAAAGAATGTAAATCTTTAATACAATTTTAAAAAGTTATCATGTATATGTGTGTTCGTTTATTATATCGCGGTGGTAACGACACGCTGTATATCATAGATTTTAATCCTTGCTCTAGAAACTAAATTCTGTTAATTAAAGCAATCTACAGTCCAAGATAATGTAAGTTTATATGACACCTGTAGGGTAATCCCCGTAAAAGCATTATAAAATTCCGTAATACGTAAGTCTAATACTATTCTAAATACGAATAAACGTAGGTTTTTCGATTCGACCACAGAAAAGGTTGAAATTCCTAGTCACATCACAACTTAATACGAATGTAAGAGGTTGGTCGAAATGGAAAAGTTAAAACATTTAAAAATTTTGTTTTTTCATAAACAACAAATTTGGTACTGCTTGCGTTTTAGACATGAAACGTGTATTATATACTAATGAATTATTGTAATAGAGTTAAGTGAAAAGTAATATTTTTTCTCCTGTTGAATACTAACGTTTTGTTTATTTTCTCGATTAAAAGTTGCTTCTGTTAGTTTAGTGTTTCATTTTTATAGTCTTAACTGATTCCTTTCCCGAAGCCTAAATGATCTTAGTTTCCTTTTCGCATATAATAGAAGCAATGGAATTATTGCTTTTGCATTATAATTATATTTATAATATATATCTTTATATATATATATATATATATACAATTCTTCTATTCGTGTGTACGTCACTGAACTCCTAAACGGCTGGACCGATTTTAATGAAATTTTTGTGCGTCTTCAGGTATACGAGAATGGTTACAGGGATAATTTTTTTTTTTTATTTATAAGTTGTCGGATTTAAGTCTTGTGTACAGGACAATGTCTGTCGGGTCCGCTAGTATGCAGACAATGGTCTTCCCGGTACAGACATCTTTGCCCAGCAGTGGGACATGTATATGTCTATTTTTAGAATCGGTTCAAAAATGATCTAGTACAGAGATAACAAACATAAATGAATACATGCGAATTAATAACCTCCTCCTTTTTTGGGTCGGCTCAAAGTATTTAAATAAAACAGTGCCTTAGCCTTCATTTTATTAACGACGTCAAGTTGGGAATTTATTTGTAACTTATACAAACACTATTAAACTAAGTTATCCCGCACAGTGGTAGTACTACTGCTTCCTTTCCAACTAGTGAAGACTGGCAGACAACTCCGCGTATTTCACCCGGTTTTGCGAGGCTGAAAAGCTGCATTTCGGGATTATGCACAGCCGTCCATGACTTCTTCCTACATCCAACAACTCTTATGCCCGCCATTTGCCTTTCATTATCAATTGAAGAAGCTCGTATCTGGAGTACCCAAGCAAGTGACCAAGATAGGCAACCTTTCTTCTTTTGATGGTCCAAATGCTCGATCGGTAAATGTCACAGTGCCACAGAGTAGGGATAAATATTGGTAACCTAAAACCAAAATGGAAATAAAGCAGCTGACACCAATATCAAAAAAGAAAACATTAGTTCTAATTTTTACTTACCTCTTCAGACGAATGATACCCACAGTCTATATAATTGAAAGGTTCAAACAAAAAAAAATTAATTATCGCTATACTGCGTTGTAGGTATGTATTACAAGTGCACTGACGCAGCCGTCCGAGTTGTCTCGAAGTGCGGGCGGACTGAAAACCGGCGTCGGGATCAGAACGAATCTTAGTTACTGTATCTCGACTTTCGAGTCCCGTCCGTTTCACGGTCTTATGCTGCTACACAGACCTTCACTTATTATTATTATTATTTTTAGTTTTTTTGTTATGTTTACATTTATTTTAAGTTATTCTAATATTATTTTACATAATGTGTAGTTACATTATTATTTTTAAGTGTTCTATGTATCTATTGTGCTTAGACCGTGAATAAACGTTTCTTCTTCTTCTTCTTCTTCAAATCAGTTAGCGTTTCCTCCCAGCTCGACGATGGACATGGGTCACCCGACGTACACTCACTTTGGGAGTTCTTACTGAGCACAAATTATTTAGAGTCGCTCGACACGAAAACGAAAATGGACTTTCATAAACCCCATAATAACAATTTCATTATAAAAAAATGTAACGAAAAGGGAGTATGTGCTGTGCACCAATTGCCGATTTCAGTACATACAAAAAATTAAAATAGAAAAGCGATGTCTTTATCCACCGCAGATTACGTTAAATTAACTCAAAATTGATTGGTTCATACTTCATACTTGTGCACAGTATATCACTCTAAAAAAAGGGATTATCTGGAAACAGAGCTGGGATAGCTCTTTAAAAAGGTAAAAGGAGAGAAAAGAGAAAATAAGAAGAGAGTAATTCTAAGGAACTGAACATGGTCTTATTCGTATACCGCGATTGAACTGAAAATAATTATGTATGCCGCTACAACTTGAATTCCTAACTGCCTCTTAATCACCGAGCACCTCTTCGCGGGAAGTTCAATAGTATTGAAGAGGTGTGCTCCTGTGAAGCATTCTTGACGCCTCTTTATGGCAACACTTCTTCGCCGCCTACTGAAATGTTGTACTTCACTATCGTTTAGGCACTGTTTAGATTAAGCTGATTTTGCAACCTGCGAATTAGCGCAAAGCAAAATGACCAGCCGACCGGGTGGAATACGAGGACCACATGATGTAAATGGATAACCCCCGCCCATGGGCACATATCCGTAGATTGGTAACCGCCGCCCATGGGCAAATATATCCGTCCCTCTGGGTCATAGATTCATTGTCCACTTGTAAAACACCCACTCAGCAGACGAAGCACGGAAATTATATTTTTACGCTAGAGGTCTAATTACTTCTGTATAAGCCTTCATACAACAGCAAAAGCTGCTGCGCGGAACTACCACTATAAAATTAGAAATATTAAAAAATTGTATACGTATAAATGGTGACTAAGGAATGGACAAAGAAACATTTGTAGTCGTGTGGCGAGTTTTAAAACAAAAGTCATGTACCTTCTTAATCCTAGGAATGTACCGTTTAACTACTCATTGTTGAATAACACTCATAGTCAACAGATATCATTCGTAGTAATTATCTTTAATCGGAGTGTCGATAAATGCTATCTGCCATTGATAAGATGAAAAACAACGCCGGTCAATCGGCGCATAACCGAGATTTGATTGTAACATTAAAAATATTTGTGGAACTTGTTTCGTAAGGCGTCAAGTGTTAACGAGGTATTGTTGTACATATTTTTCGATATTCTTTGAGAATTTTCGGGCGTTCAACGTCGTAATTTCCCGCCACTTCTGATACTAGACAGTGACGTTTTGCAGTTTTTAAATAAAACAATAAACGACAGTAGTAGGTAAGCATTCCAAGCGTTTTGAAATTATTTTCTGTTAATAACATCGAAGACGTTTTGTTATCAAAAGCAATTTATTATATTTAATTTTTTTTTAAAGGCACTTTATTTACTTTGTAAATTTCAATTGTTTAATTTTTTATAGGTTTTCAATGTGTATATTTTTTATAAACAATATAAAAACTTTGTTTAATAATACTTATATTGAGTATATAACATTTTGTGTCCAACTTAGGATTTTTTGCTTAAGATTTATGATTTTCTCAGTAAGTAACTCATTAAAATCATATATTCCATATTCAACAATTGTCTATAATATTTATTTCTTTTTTACGGTACGGCATCCTACGTTCTTATGATCATTCTGAACTTTTTAATACTTTAATCGTTTCGTTTTTTGTATGCTGACATGAGCCTTCACAATCGCATATAAATCTGTTGGTAAATAAAGAAAAAAAAATAACATTTTTCAAAGATATTTGCAGAACATAAAATTTAACATAAAAACTGTATTTTTTATGTTGTATTCATTTCCTAATATAAATATTAACGAGAGATTAAATCATGCAAGGAACAATGAAGTACCAACTGATATTTTTCCTTCTACAAAGATGGATAATTGTGACTTGAGTCTACTTTAAAGCTAAACATTCAAACCAATAAAAACAATAGTTGAATTTACAGAGCTGAGATAGACGACATTTATAAAAATGCGTCTTCTGCCGTGTGTTAAATCGTACGATGAAGGGACGGATCACTCAAAGCATATAGACAGAGAGATCAAAGAATGGATAAAGACTTATAACGAGGTGAGTTAAGTTTTTTAGTACTTAAGCTTTTCTGTAGATAATTTTGACTCACATTTGGCGTGACCCTGTAAAATGTATACATACATAATATGTCAAATTACTATAATCCACGGAACTTTTAGATGTAGAATCATGCGTTTAGCATAACAACAGTACGGTATTATTGGCAGACCACGCCCACCCAGGTGATCCAATAACACCGAAGCAGTTATGACTATTCCACAGTTTTTTATGGTTTGAACCAAAAATCACCAGCCAACCAGTATTATGTTCTCCCTTGCCTTATTTAATTATATCTACGGTTTCCACCTAGAATTTTTGGCTACTAAATCATGACTATGAATCAACTTTGATATATTAAGTGCAAACATGTCTTCAAAAGTGCAAGATATGGTAATGACTCTGACTGAAGAACAGATGAAGTCACCTATTGACAATTCGCTTTTAACAAACCGATCATTTAACTTTAGAATGGTATAATAGACGTCTTTTAAACTTTATTTAATATCTAACCTACTTAGAAAACGCTTGTGGCAGTTTTCCCGAAGACAATAAAATACAAATTTGAGTGTTGTCATTGTTAAAAAACCATCACTAGATAATCAATACATTACATCTTCACAAAAATGTTATCATCCGCGGCGCTGACGGATCTCAAAGGTCGATATCGCCATATCCAGATCGCCGATAATCGAAGCGATCTGATTGTAATTTATTGCCGATCCTTGATAACGATAGACTCGTTCCGCGGAATGGCGGCTTCTTTGGCGCCTAAAAAAATTGATTGCGCTAATCTAAAGGTAAATTCTAGAACTAACCATATAGGTTTCAGATTTAGGCAATCGTGAGATGCTTACGACAAATTACCATAAAAATTAATAATAATGTACTTGTATCTTTTTTTTTATTCATTTTTCATGCTTCATTATATTTTAATAGTTTTTGATGATCAACACTTATTCCTAATAAGTTAGATACTTACATTAAAAAGTTAATAACTTGCATAAAGTCCAATCTCGTTTCTCCCTGGGTAAGTCTAAGGGGCAAGATGGCTATTTAGAATTTTTAACCGACGTCAAAAAAGGAGGAGGTTTCTCAATTCGACCGGATATATTTTAATTTTTTTTATGTTTATTCGCGGATTTTGATGATTCTTTTTTTGTCGGAAAGGTGATATCCCAAAGTTGGTACCATGGTAAGGAAACCCGGATCTGACGATGGCATCCCAGAGAAATCAAGGTCAATCAATGATTGTTATATTCATTAACAACGTTTTTAATTTTCTGATTGAAGTCGGTTTTTTTTTTGTTAAAAATTATACTTGTATAAGAAGCAATAGGTGAAAATCCTTCAAAATCCATCAACCCATGGTTACTGGCAAAGTTCACGTGTGAATGCCGTACCTTCGACTTCATCCAGGTCTAGATCCGTCCATTGAAATCAACATCCAATTGCATATCACCACATCTTAAAAAACGTGTGCCCTAGTATTCCTTCACTAGATGAAAAGCGATTAGGTACACGTTGTCAAGCATATCTAAGCGTCGAACTGGAAACTATTCATTATTTGTCCCTTGAGAAATGTTATATTATTGTTATAGACTAGATAGTAATTAAAACGAAATTTTACATATTTATTATTATTCTCATTTTCGAACAAGATACAAGCGGCCGAAAAAGTTATCTTTGCTGTCTCCGAAACTATTCTTATAACATTAAATCTAACAAAATTACTTATTATTTATCTAATAAACCTAGTCCACGCGGCATGGTGCAAAGAACGCTAGCTGCATGTCCTCGCTGATTAGTAATTATGCTTAATGCCTTCGGGCGATAAGTCTAGACGTAAATCGAACACTATAAAACTAACTAGTAAGTGTAGTAAGTGGTCTAGACTTTTATTGAAGATATGAACATAACATTGCAGGCAATCAAGCTTCTGCTGTTAGGCACAGGAGAAAGTGGAAAGACGACGATCATAAAACAGATGAAGATTCTGCACGTGAGAGGATTTTCCCATAGGTTGGCCACGCTTAATAATACTAATATATTAGATATATATTAATTTTGCTTTACTGAATTATTTATAAGTATTTTTTTAATTTCTCTTATTTTTTGTTAATTTTAGTTTTTTTTTTTTCTCTTTTATTGTGTGCGTCCTTTTTTGGTAAATAAATGGATTTTCTTTCTTCTTTCTTTCTTGTTATATTACTTATTTACTAATATATAATGCAAACTAAACAATGTTGTGTTCGTTTTCGATATATTTTTGATGATTAGGGGGAAAAATATTTTCAAACATACTTACAATATGCATTTATGATCCTATTTTCTACAAATTTTAATACTATTTTCGTTATTTTAACATTGAATACCAAAATGCTATTATAATCAAGGAATTAAAGCCTTACTTGTGAAGATAAGCTACCGATTGTCAATCATGTGGAACGTTATACGGAGATTGCGGAGAATGAATTATTTATTTTGTAATGAGCAATAAAAATTGAGATTGAATTAAAAGCTCTGTATAAAATTCCTACTTCTGACTTATTTACTTACCTATGCTTATTACGGAGGATGGAGGATCAGAATATTCATTAAAGAACCCTCCCCCTTCATACACAAAAGCTCTATTAAGCAATTATTGACAAGCCAAGCCAATTTATAAGCTAGCATTTCTCCCTTCGACTTTTCAGCGAGCGTACCGCCATGATACCGCACATCCGCTTCAACACGCACGAGTCCATATTCGAAATTGTCCACAACATGCCCGTTCTGGGCATCGGCATACAGAACCCGAGAAACGTCCGCGCGCAGCAGTACCTTCTGCGAGTCGGTCCCGAAGGTCTGAAGGAATATACGGAGGTAGGTCTTTTGTTAGTTCATCGTGGGGCCATGGAACAACTTCTGTTCGACGAACGGGCAAGCTCCGGCTGTTCCACGACCTTACAGAAGACCGGCGTGAAGTGGGGGTACACTTCTGCGGTTCGTCTAATGAGTGTGGTAACCGGGGCCCACTGGTACCCGGTTCCTATATTCAACGGACGGCCGTTAGTTACATAGCTTCGTAACTTTCATAGCGACTTGTAGACAAAGGGCGTGCACGCCCGGTGCCTATATTAACAACTCGGGGTGCTTTCCTTACGAGCCGTTGCATTACCTACGGAAAGTGTGTTAGTAGCGTTCCTTTAATATACAAGTCGCTATGAAAGTTACGAAGCTAATAGGGATGGGTCGTATCGCTTTTTCTGAGTACCGTATCTGAATCCGATATCGATTTCAAATATCAGATTTCGAAACTATGTATTTTAATATCTAGATATTTTACGGTTCCCTATCCACGTTGATTAATAGAATTCTAAAAAAAAAAAAAAAAATTATTAAAAATATAAATGATTTATGATGAAAATGATTTATTTTAACATCTTATATACCGCTTAATAATTGACTTTAACATATTTTTAGAACACGCAATCGAGTGGCAATATTTTTATTATTTGTGTAAGAAATAATACATTCAGTATTATAGCTTAGGGCGGAAGAATTTAAAATATACACACAAGGCACATAAGCCTTGGTCTGATTTCCACCAAAGCAGCACAGCACTATTAAATTATATTTTTCTTTTTGTGTACTTTTATTTTTTCCAAAAATATGAATAAAATTCAGCTAATAAAAATATTCACAAAAAATTTACCTCCTAAAAAATTTACATTGTATATTTTTCTTCCTTAATTTAGGCAGAAAATTCTTAAGTAGTAAGTTGGCATCCCTTACTATTACGTGTTAAGTACCAATGCAATCCAGCTCAAGGCTGAACAAAATTTCAAAGACATCGTTAATACCGTAATTCGTATTTAAATGCAACAGAGTTTTTTTCCATGCTGTTAAGATTCAAAATTACTTAACTGCGCGCTTTGTCGCCCGTTACGGTCAAAATTACTTAACTTATTCATAATATCTGTTTAAAAATCTGATATCGTGCATTGCTTGCCGTCCCACTCTAACTAGTAAGTATTTATATCTCACGCGCTTTGTCGCTCAATATCTGATATCGTGCATTGCTTGCTGTCCCACTCTAACTAGTAAGTGTTTATATCTCACGCGCTTTGTCGCTCGATATCTGATATCGTGCATTGCTTGCCGTCCCACTCTAACTAGTAAGTATTTATATCTCACGCGCTTTGTCGCTCAATATCTGATATCGTGCATTGCTTGCTGTCCCACTCTAACTAGTAAGTGTTTATATCTCTCACGCGCTTTGTCGCTCAATATCTGATATCGTGCATTGCTTGCCGTCCCACTCTAACTAGTAAGTGTTTATATCTCACGCGCTTGTCGCTCGATATCTGATATCGTGCATTGCTTGCCGTCCCACTCTAACTAGTAAGTATTTATATCTCACACGCGCTTTGTCGCTCAATATCTGATATCGTGCATTGCTTGCCGTCCCACTCTAACTAGTAAGTGTTTATATCTCACGCGCTTTGTCGCTCGATATCTGATATCGTGCATTGCTTGCCGTCCCACTCTAACTAGTAAGTATTTATATCTCACGCGCTTTGTCGCTCAATATCTGATATCGTGCATTGCTTGCTGTCCCACTCTAACTAGTAAGTATTTATATCTCACGCGCTTTGTCGCTCGATATCTGATATCGTGCATTGCTTGCCGTCCCACTCTAACTAGTAAGTATTTATATCTCACGCGCTTTGTCGCTCGATATCTGATATCGTGCATTGCTTGCCGTCCCGCTCTAACTAGTGAGTATTTGTATCTCACGCGCTTTGTCTCTCGAAATCTGTTTAAAAATCAGATATTGTGGCAAACGCGTATGATATCGCCGTATCGCGATTCGTGTCGGTATAGCGAGCGAGCACGGTACATCAGATTTCGGAAATATCAGATATTGTAAAATACATAGATATTGAACGAGCCAGTAAGCGATATTGGGATATTGTACTAATATCTAGTTTTCATATCTGATACGATTTGTATCGCCCACTTCTAGAAGCTAAGTATGTCACTAACGGCCGTTCGTTGAATAGAGGAACCGGGCATTAAAGATTGTCATCACGCCTGCAAGCCTGCAGATGCCCTGTCAAACCTTTAAGAAGTACGCCCCAGTTAAATTGTTGCACGAATGGGCAGCTCCGTCCGGGTGAGTACGACGACCTCACTGAAGACCGGCGTGAAGTTGAAGTGTTACACTTTTACGTTTCGTCTGGTGAGTGAGGTAGCCGGGGCCCATTTTAGTATGAGGTGGCAACTTATCTGCAACCCTACGGGTGTTGCAAATGTCCATGGGCGTCGGTTATCACTCAACATCAGGTGAAACGCCAGCTCGTTTGCCACCTTCCCACATAAAACAAATAATACTTCCTGAGAGAGTAACACTTCAAACGAGCTTAGCCCTTTAGTGCAGTAAATAATTTAAAACTTCAAAGCTGATAATTATAAAGATTTCAATTAAATGATTTTTAAATATTTGCATTTCAAGGAATATTTCGACAACGTACGCGATCTTTGGCAAGATGGCGGCGTGAGGGAGTGCTTTAAGAGATCAAACGAGTATCAGCTGATCGATAGTGCAGAATAGTAAGTAAATAGTTAATTAATACCATAAGGGATGTAATATATTAAAATCGCACTCTCGGTTGTCACCAATCTATTTTATAAAAAAATTTACGTAACCTTTATGTAAAATTTAGATACATTTTTGAAAACCTGTTTTTTCACAACGATATCTAGTCTGATACTAAGCAAAGCTTGTAATACTATGGGTATACATAGTATAACTATATATTATATATTTTTATATACTCAATATTTTTCCAATAGTGGGGTTCGAACCCACACCTTCTGGCGCAAGAGACAGTTTCACTATCCACTATGCCAATTGGGTCTTCAAATGCATTGGAACTCATGATCTGACATATAAATGTCCAACAAACAGTGCATTAACCGTAAAACTATAAGAAATGGTTTTATGTGTACATAGCAATTTACGTTACCGAATTATACCTGTGTCAGTTGACATGTAATTCGATAAAATGTGAATTAATCGATAAATAAAGACAATATTTTACGTTGAAAAGATATTTTTTGCAGAAAAGTCACCAATACGGCTTCAAAAGCTTTTGTTTCTCTTAAACTTTATTTAGTCTCATCATGTTTTTGTGCAGTACACGGACAGATTCCTTTTTATCCAATATATTTTCAGTTTCTTAGACAGGATAGACCTTATCGGAAAGGAGGACTACGTACCTTCGGATGCTGATATTTTGAGATGTCGCCAGAAGACTTGCGGCATACAGAAAATAGAATTCAAAGTTAAGGTACGATGACATCTGTAAATGGTGTCTTTGAACCACATTGCTTTAGTTCCTCTGTGGCCGCTAGATGGCGATGTTTAAAATTTTTATCTGAATGCTCTAGGAGGAATCTCAATGTAATTAAAATAGGTAAATTTAATTCATTTTGGTGTCAAATTATAGTTTATGTTTTCGGGAAACTGAGATGATATGATATTGTTTAATACATAAACATGTTTAATAAAATTATGGATTGTGACAAAACATTGAGATTAAACCACTGTATTTAATTGTTTCTAGGAAGAGTACTGGTTTTCACAGAAAATATAAGCTTGTATTTATATTATTAAAATAAATATTCATTTAGAAGTGAGGAATAAATTAGAATTATTCTTTAAATGTTAGCATTTAAGAATTGTTTCATATCTATTTTTCCAGTAAGGAAGATGAAAAATATATAGATTGTTAATTTTTAGGTTCCAAAATCTATGCACGGGGGTACACAAGAATTCTGGATGTTTGATGTCGGAGGGCAGAGGGGCGAGAGGAAAAAGTGGATACAGGTAGGAAAACACTAATATTCAAACGGACGTACGAGACGAAATTTAGGACCTAGAACAAATATATTATAATAAATAAATTAATTAACAACACATACTGATTTCTCGGTCTACGCGAACATTGTACATATTAAATGAAACAAGATTAGGGAATTTATCGCGTATTAATTTTGATTTTTAATTCCCGAAGTTTCAAACCCTTTCCTGCGTCCATTTTCTGTCCGACCAGCCGTCCCGTAAACTAGTTTAATTTAATAACATCACAAACGTTATTTTTATTAAATTAGTCAATGTGCTAAGTTCAGTATTAAAGACTTATTAATACTAGAAAAATAGGAAACATGATCCGGTGGCGCCACATTCGCTTTCTTCCTTGCCGCGGTAATTGATTGGTTGAAATCAGTTCCACTTCCATAATCTTTCTGCAACATGGCGAGGTTCTTTATTTTTCTGACTAGGCTAAAGAATAATAATTGTGTAGTGCTTCTAACAGTCATCTTTTCATTATTCAACTTATACCTTGTGAATGTAATTATGTCTCATTTGCTGAATTTTAATAATAATTAGTGTTGAACATAGGCCTCCCCCTTAGGGTTGGCTCTCCCACAGCGAACGAGACTTTTCCATTTGTATCCACCATCATGTCTTGCGGCTGATGGTGATGACGATGAATTATTAGTGAAATTTGCTAAAGTTTATTCAGAGTCCAAGTCAACATTTCTTTATTTAACATAGGCGTATTTTAAGCTCTTATTGAACGTCAAAAACTACCAGCGGTTCACTAAATTAGACCTGGCAGAGGAGAACCGGCAAAAACCTGCGGACATATTTTTTTTTTTTATAAATTATTTAGGTATATACACAAAAGTATTTAAGTATAAAATTAGCAGTAGCCAGGTGACTATTGGTTTCTAAGCTATTCGATAACTATATTTCAACACTTTCCGCTCTTAGGTCTTTGAAGGTATCGACGCGATCTGGTTCGTGGTGGCGTGCAGCGACTTCGACCAGACCCTGAGGGAGGACCACTTGCAGAACCGGCTCAAGGAAGCGCTTATACTGTTCGAGGACGTGTGGCAGAGCCGGTGAATGTTTGATAATCTTCACCTTAGAACATAAGCTTAAACTAAACACATAAGGAACGCCTTAAATCGACGTTAATATAGCTGCAAGGTCAACAACGTTATATGATTTGTAATGAGTAGATAAATTGTTTAGCAATCGTTGCCTGGATTCGAACCACCACTAAGCTAAGATCGATATGCGCGTGACCCGAAATCAAAAATATGTACCCAATAGATATTTTCGTGTTGTATTTTTTTCGAATCGTTGTAAAATGATATTTGAAATTGTTTGTGCGCTGTAATGGAAATGATAGGCAACAAATGCCATATAAAATACGTTGAACTGGCAATCAGTGGTTAAAGCGTCTGCGCGCGAATCCAGAAGACGTGAGTTCGATTCCCGCAACGGCAAAAAGTTAAATTTAATTTTAAAAGTAAATTTTTTCTACAAATTTTAATATTACCTTTTCTGTTTTATATTCAATCTCTCCTGCATATCTATTTCGTTTCCGAATAACGTGGCTGATATTTAGGTCTTGAGCAAACATATTTTGGAAGGCATAGTTCTCAATATTTCTAGATCAAGTCTGAAGAAAAGGCTATCATCATATACATAAAATGTGTAATTTGTATTTAATTCACGCCCGTGCGAAATTTTAGGAGCATAAATAACTAGTATCTATTTTTATTGCTTTAAACCCAGTTAAATACGAAATATAAAAACGTTTTACTCCTAGGTTCCTTCTCGAGGCGGGCCTGATAGTGTTCCTCAACAAGCAGGACCTTCTGGAGGCGAAGATCAAGCAGGGAAGGAGCATCGCCCCCTACTTCCCCAAGTACTACCACTTCGAGGCGGTTGGCGACGAGTATACCAGGACTAAGTTGTTCATCAGGAGTTTGTTTGTGGTAGGTTCTTAAACAGCGAGTGACATAATAATATGGCCTATAGTTGACCTGTCTCCCGCGCCAGAGTGTGTGGTTTCTAATACAACTGGAAAAATATTGTGTCAAGAACATAGTGTTATAAGTTTTCTAGTGTCTGTGTGTTTATAAATCTAAAAGTAAAGTAGAGTAACAGCCTATACATGCCCCACTGCTGGGCAAAGGGCTCCTATACAGAGGGTATCAGGGTGTAGACCACCACGCGGCCCCACTGCGGATTGGCGGACTTCACATATCTTCGAAAAAAAGTTTTTTTTATTATTTCTAAAATATGCAGGTTTCCTCATGATGGTTTCCTTCATCGCGGAGCACGTGATATATTATAATCTATACTGTGTATTTATTTTCAAAAGGCAACTATGTTTAAATAATTTTATCATTTACCAATAAGTACGTCCCAAGCTAAGCAGAGCTTGTACTATGGACACCATATCCAGCTGCCGAGTTTCACCGGCGAATGTATGCGAACAACCATGACCAAGGCATCTGGTATTGGCGTCGGAGGTCATGGGTTCGATTCCCGCGCGGGCGCTATACGTGCGACCCACCGATCGCTCGCCGCATTGCTGTAACGAAGCTAATAGACCACTCGCCCTCCGTCTGGAGCAGAACCTGACCACGAAGAGACGGGAACGGCGCGACGTGATCGCTTCGCCCGAGCGCTTCGTGGTGCTGGAGGCGAGTAGACCGCGCGAGTGCTACTTCCACTTCACCACGGCCACGGACACGCACAACGTGCGAACGGTCTTCCGCGACGTGCACCAGATGATACTCACCCACATGCTCAGCAGCATCGGCGTCTACTGACCGCTGACGCGAGGGCCGTCGCATGCGTCCAGTTAATAAACGTCACTTACTAAACATGTGTGTCATAGACCACATTATACGTTTTGTATTTATTAAAAAGAAAACAATATGATTGTGTACATAGTAGGTTGTAATTTGAGATCTGTCCCCATAGGTCACAATAATAAGCGAGATCGATTCTTAACTTAGGCTCAATGGACGTCAACAGTGACGATGATACTATTTTAATATTATCTTTTGCCTAACGAATTAGCAGGTTCGTAGAGGTGCAATTCAGTTTGCACATGCCACATACGATCTCTCTTTTCTTTCTTTTCTTTCCTTTTTTTATCATAATCTTAGTACGTTGAACCATTCCATTAAAAATAAAGTGTTATTCATATTGTGCACTGGTTCAAAATCGTACTTTTGTATAGTAATAGCAATTTAAGTAGAATCTTCGCAACAAAGACATTCGCCGTAGATCAAACCCGGTAACCGATGGACAAGAAGGTTCTCGTGGCAGGATCTAACTGCCCATCGCAGTGTCAGACGATCCCCCACTATACTGGTGGATAGATGGAGTGACAGCCTGTGAAAATGTGCGGCAAGTTGTTTTATAATACATAATTAAGTTGACCACATAATTATCCTAGTGTAAGTTGTTTTTTATTATTTTATTACAAGTTTTATTATAACATCTCTTTTATTTTGTGATTTTCATTATGTTATTAAGTCTGAGCACAAATAAAAAATCGACGAAGAATATTTATAATCATGTAAGCTCATAGATTTTTTATGCACTATTTTTACGGTAAATTGGAAATTGTCATAAATCTAACATTTCTTATTGATTTATGAAATTATTATTATAATAATACAATTATTATGATAATAATTAAATTAAGTTAAATTAAATTAATTAGTAAAGTCCATGAATTTATTAGGGTATATTTAATTTAAACTAGTATATCATTAGTACATTTAGTACTTACTTTACACTTATTTAAACCATACATAAATATCAGTTAAGTTTTAGTAATATACTATAATAAGTAACTAAGGACTAAGTATTTCTTAATGTTATTAAAATTAATCTTTAAGACTATAGGAATGTAAATGTAGTTATATATTTTTTTACAATGAATGATTATAATAATTTGTATTATTTATGATTCTTTGATTTCTTGTTGCGTCTGTTTGGCGAATACTACACAATGTGAAATAAAACGAATTTAACAATTTTTCATATAACATCAAAATTCCAATTCGACCACTGTACGGATTGAACTTGATTGTTTTGGTAATGTCATTACGTTACATAACTTATTCAATTTACCAACAAAGGTTGAATAGCACCTAACAAATGCATTAAAATGTTGTTAATATTTGTTGACTTTCTTGTTGTTTTCTTGCATAGTTACATGACGCGACCAGATGTTTAGAATTATTTACATTTTCATTTGTCAAATTTTTATACATGCATCAAGAAATGTCATGGAAAAAATTTTCCAACTTTTTCTTAATACCTAAATAAAGTATAAGCTGTAGTTAAAACTATAGTTTAAAAAATTGTGATCTATTGTTTGAGACGTGGACTAATTATATTACTTCAGAAGTACAAATTTTAGTGACGAACAAATCCACATTTTATTTATTCGTGCTGACTTCATCAATCAAATCTCAACTCTAGTTAAATAGCTGAGATTAGTTATACAACTAAAAAAGTAAAAAGTAAAGTTTTTCGCTGGCATAACCGGCCATATTGTCGACCCCAACGACAGACGTTCTGTTCTAAAGAAACATAAATATTCGGCTCCAAAAAGAACCTTGTTACGTTAGTTAAATCAATTATAATCTCATCATCATTATTTACAGTATTAAATAAATATTTTTTCTATTAACATATAATTCGAGGGTAGTTTTCAGTTTGTTGTATCTTGAGATCTGCTGTTCATGTACATTGAGACCGCTTTCACCCCCTCCAAGTTCGCATGCTTTGCCAATTCCCCGGGGATAAGCAGTTTTATTGCCGACTGTATCTCCCTGCTGCTCAATGTGGTCTTCTTCGAGTGCGACACTAGCCTGGCCGCCTCTTCGGCTATCTTCTCCAACATGTCGTTCACAAAATTGTTCATTATCAGCATCGACTTTCTCGATATGCCCAGGTTGTCTTTTGTTACGCTCCGCAGCAGCTTATACAGGTAAATGGAGAAGCTGTGGTAATTTCTCTTCTTCATCTTCTTGCTCTTCGATATAGGTTTCTCCAGCGGCTTCTCCATCGACTTAAGCGCTTTCTTTGGCGGTTTCACGGGTGCCATTTTCGCAATATTGTTGTTCTTATCGTTCGTCTTATTTTTGCGGAAGCAATACTGACATTTGGATGGTGCTTTTGAAATATTTTTTAGTAACAGAATTAGTGGGTGTAGCAGATAGTGATCAATGCAGAAGTCAATAACATGCCAGTGTGTAACGTACGTATGACAAAATGTTTATTTATAATATCAATATTTCTATTTGATTTTTTAAAACTAACTCTGTGTTCTGAATATATAAAAGTCTTTCCAGTGACTTTCTGTGTAGCTACGAGCTTAAAACCCTTAGGATTAGATATTCACGATTATATCACGTAATGTAAGTAACGCCAGGAATGTAAAACAAAATTTAATACCATAAAAACAGTAGTTTTTTCGTTTAATAATATATCAGTAATATTATTTCATTTTATTTAATATTTTGACCCAAATATAATAAATCATTGTTGATTGCTTATGTTTCAAATTATATTATGATGGATAAACTTCTAATATTCAATAACATTACGCAATCATGTCAGGTAAACATACAATATACTTAGGCCAAATTGAAGAATCAGTAGATTTACATATATTGACTTCCTAAAATGATAATCCTATTTTTTTTTTTCGGGGGGAAATCTTCGAAAGATACCCTGTCACCTTACATGACAATGTAAGGTGACAGGGTATCTTTCGATGGGTTATGTGCTGTTCTGACCCACTAAAATCCCCTCGTGGCCACCTTCCGTATCTTTGGAGGGACTCCGGGATCTCCCATGGAACCACACGCACGTGTCCCTCGGTACTACGCGTCAGCACGGCTCGGAGAAGAATAAACCTTCTCCGATTCCCTCTCCCTCTTGCAGCAGCACGAGACCACTTCATGATGCTGAATCCTACACTTACCACAAATGACAGCCCAAAAAACATATTAGGGATGGTAATGATAATCATTACCTTAGGGTTAAAAAAGCTTAGTTAATGAGTTTTCAGTTGGCTTATATACTAATAAAGATTGTTACGGTATTAATTGGTACGGTCAAAGAAATACGGGCTTCAAAGCTATCATCAATATTATATAATCTCCTTTGCTTAAAAATATATTACTTATTATCAGTACTACTTTATAAATCAATTTATAATCGGAAGACAAATGAAACATTAAAGGCAAAAATAGTGTACTTAAATATTTTTTTAAACTTGAGGAGTTAGCCTAATTTTGAACGCCTAAGAGATAAAACAATTATTTTAAGCTGACTCGACCTTATACCGTAATTTCAGTTATTATATATTAGTTATTATTTGTAAATAATGACTTAAATATAATAATTTAAAATCTATGTTAAAGTTGTTCCAACTTTATTATAGGGTACATACATATAAATTCATACGTAAACAGCGACAAATTACCCACAATTCAATGACATTTCAACGAGCATCGCGATTGATTTTATGTATAAAAGCCCGCGCAAACGTTTGATCGCACGTCACTTTACTATCAAGCGCCAAAAATGACAGGACGAGGCAAAGGCGGGAAAGGTCTCGGGAAAGGCGGTGCCAAGCGCCACAGAAAAGTCCTCCGAGACAACATCCAAGGAATAACGAAGCCCGCGATTCGAAGATTGGCGAGACGTGGTGGTGTCAAAAGAATATCCGGCCTCATTTACGAAGAGACTAGAGGAGTTTTGAAAGTGTTTCTCGAGAATGTCATTCGGGACGCGGTCACGTACACGGAACACGCGAAGAGAAAAACTGTGACTGCAATGGACGTTGTTTACGCTTTGAAGCGACAAGGCAGAACGCTGTACGGTTTTGGAGGTTAAAATTAATTATATATAAATAAAATTAAAATTTGCATTTAATAATAAAACAGTCTTATTTATTCTCGGCGTTTGACAAGGCCCTTTTGAGGGCCGCAATACGTCTTTGTTTCTTTTTGGATGTCAAATTCTTCCGTCTTTTTATTCAAGTTATTTATTCACAAGAAATTACGCATAAAGAACTGTTGTGACGAACAGTTCTGTATAAAAGAGTATTATATTGGTAATAATATTAAAAAAAAATATTAACATTTAAGATAATAATATGGCGCTGTAAAAATAGGTTTTTCAAACATATTTATAACAAAATGTATACATTTGATGGCAAAATAAATATATGTTAATCTTGATCTTACATTTTAATGACTCATTGACATATTCTCTCTCTGAACTCTCCCTCTATGAGGTATATCATATACCGTATATGCGATTGTATAGTTTATCTTGAATTTTTATTGAATGATATTCTCGCTTTCATTTCATTTATTAGATACTAAAAGTTCATAAAAAGCAAAGCTCGTGGAACAGACAGATTTCACTAATTTGATAAAAGTAAGATCTAACTATCCTAGTAAGACAGTCGTGTTATTAGCCCGTATTACTACTTGTTACCTTTCTTGTAAAAATATTGTCAATTGGTACATATATTGCATACTGAAATCAATCAATAAATATTGCTGGCAAAAAAGACGTTATTTTATAACACAAATATTAATTGCTAAGGGGTAGACGAAAGGAGCATGACGTTTGGCATTATAATGTAACACATCTGTTCTCGCAACGTCATCAACTAATTTCAATTTGAATGTGAATTGAATTTGAAACGGTTGGGAACTAGAATATTATACAGATGTAGCTAATATGCAAAATGTATAACGACTGTAGAACATGAACTGCAGATTAAATAAATGTTGGTGAACTATCTACAGATTACAGTATAGATTTACGTTTAAGGTTAATATGATAGACGGCCATGATGATAGAGGGAATTATTATTAAAAGTATCTACACAATCAATTAGTTTATTCTCAATGGAGGTGTTCCATTCATATCACATATTATTGTAAATGAAAGATAGGTAGATATTTTTGGTACTTTTTTTAAACGTAGGTTTAGCTAAATAGTTTAGATTCAACTGAATTTTTACGTAAGAGATACGACACTCCACGTTGGGTCCACAGACCTCGGGCCATCAGGGTACGTTGCCGTGGCTCCGATGGCCGTTGATTGTGATAATCTGGAGCCGATAAGTATACGCATTGTCCGCTTAAGCGTCCCTTAGGTGAGGAGGAACTGCTTAGCTTTGTATGTCTTGTCTCGCGAGATCTCGGGTTATTACGGTATACTTTTATCCCCTTCCTGGACGACTGGGTCGATTAGGACCTTTGATTATATAATTGTTATAATCAAAGATGAGGACATTACGCGGTCGAATCTCAACTCAAATGGTAAGCCACCAATCAACCAACTTACGAAAAATATCAGCTTACGCAAGCGTCTTATAAATGATAATTTTGGTAAAACTTTAATTCATTCTTAATAATACTAGTAAGTCAGGTCATAAGTCAACTTTTATGCGGGTATTTTTATTTTATAAAGTAAATGTACCCTTCTAATAAAATGAGCGTGTTAATTGTCAATGTTATAAATGATAAAAGAGTGGGGTGAACTAAAAACTATAAAAACAGATGGCCGTAGACCGTTTGTTTAGTACGGATGTTTATTTCAACAAGACTTAACTGAAGAAAACAACAATATTAAAAAATGGCGCGAACCAAGCAGACCGCTCGCAAATCGACCGGTGGGAAAGCGCCCAGGAAACAACTAGCAACGAAAGCCGCTAGAAAGAGCGCTCCAGCGACTGGCGGCGTTAAAAAACCTCATCGTTACAGACCGGGCACCGTTGCGTTGCGAGAAATTAGACGTTATCAGAAGAGCACAGAGCTGTTAATAAGAAAACTACCGTTTCAACGCCTCGTCAGGGAAATAGCGCAAGATTTCAAAACGGACTTGAGGTTTCAGAGCTCGGCGGTGATGGCGTTGCAGGAGGCGAGTGAGGCGTACTTGGTCGGGCTGTTCGAGGATACAAACCTTTGTGCCATTCACGCCAAGAGAGTGACCATAATGCCCAAAGACATTCAACTCGCTAGAAGGGTGCGCGGCGAGCGCGCGTGATTCGCGCCATTTTTGTAAAATGACGCAGATAAAATATTAAATAGTAAATGAAGAATCTATTTATCTATGACAAAGCTCTTTTGAGAGCTGCAACACTTGTTTCTTGATTTAAACGTTATAAATTTTAACTACGTACGTGAACTCAGCTAATTTATTAAAAACTAAAATTTTAATCTCAATATTTTTTGTTACTTTTCAAAGTCCAGGCATTGGTATGGTATATGTGGGTTGAATACATTTCAGCCATGCACAACCAAGTTGTGGAATCAATTGTCGCCAGCGGTATTTCCGGATTGATGATTTAGGGTCCTTCAAGTAGAGAGCGTATTCCTACCTCAAAGGTCGGCAACGCATTTGTACTCCTTAGATGCGCAAACAGCGAATAGGTTTCAATAAAAAAATGATAAAGTTGTAAAGAAGTCAGAACGTCGTAGCTGCCGCCTATTTTAGCTGGGGTGTTTCCAGGGTGCGCAGTCATAACGCAACTTGGCTTATTTTTGTTCGTTTTTAAAAAAATATTCAAGTTTAATATAAAGAAAAGAATCTATAAAAACTTAAGTTAGGTAATTCGTCTGTTGCTTTAGGTAACCGGAGGATTTTAAGTTTTGCAACACTATCCATTCGGCAAAAAAAAAACTTAATTTAGACCAGTTCGAAAAAAAAAAAAAAATCAAAAACGGTAAATTTACGTAAGCGTTTCTTTATTTCATAAAAATAAGTAATAGATCAATAATTTAATAGACATTCGTTTAGAAACTATATAACATTGCAGCCCCAAAAGGGGCTTTGTCATTCGGGCCATTCGTTCGACCCTCATCAACGAACAACTTATAACGGCACAATAAATAAATAAATACAACATCTAATAACGACTACTGGGACGCGCTCTTCGTGGTCTTCTTAGGCAGCAGCTGCGGCTGGATGGAGGGCATCACGCCGGCCTGCGATATGGTCACGCCGGTGAGCATCTTGTTTAGCTCGTCGTCGTTCCGTATAGCGAAGAGTATGTGGCGCGGGATTACTCTGCTCTTGTTGTTCTCCCTCGCCGCCTCGGCCGCGAGCTCCAGTATTTCGGCGGAGAGATACTCTAGGGCGGCGGCGAGGAACACCGGCGCGCCGCCGCCGATCCTCTGTGCGTAGTTTCCCTTCCGCAGTATCTTGTGGATCCTGCCGACCGGGAACTGTAGGCCGGCGCGCGAAGAGCGGGAACGCACCTTCTTTTTAATCTTCGAAGACATTCCTTTTTCAAATAAATGTTTTCTCGATTTTTGTTTTTTTTTTTTTTGGATGTTACAATTTTTCTTTTTTTTTTGTTCCGCAGCAGATCTCTGTTAGTGAGCGCACGGTCGATCGCTCAAGATATTTCCTTTTTCGATTGCAGAACTAGTGGGTGATGTGGGACGATGTGAGTAATTTTATACAAAACTTCGACGCGTTGCATATTTTTATTGGTTAATTAATGCTTCACCCAGAAAGATATAAGATTATTAACGATATTTTTACTTCTTTATATATAAAATTTTATTAACTCACTTTCGTATGTTTGTGTTCACAAAATTCAAAATCTAGCCCATAAATTGACACAATATGTTCACGAAATGGCTATTGAACATGAGTATTTTATATACATTATATTCCAAAGTTTCAACGGAAAAGAAAAAAAGCCACAGGAAAGCGTGGTTGGGTTCCGCTAGTTAGTTTTAATATGTAAAGATTAGCGATCTGTTTGAAAAAAGTGTATAAATATATAACAGTAACTTTTACTGAATTTTCAAATATTTTTTTTTTTTATTATAACTGTGAGCAAATAATCCATTAAAAATATACAAAAAAGCTAAAGTTCAGACTAGTGGCCGTATGTTGACGGTCCCATTCCCTTATTTCATTTTTGGTTTATGATGTACATATTTTAATACATAAATGTATAAATACAAATGATGTAGGTACTTCTGTATTAATTGATACATCGCATAAACCTATACAATTTACACACAAACGAATTATTTCAGCACATATGAAAGGCGACCGATGAGTCGGCGAGGCGATGAGTTCACAATCTAAAGGTCTATCAAAGACGCAGAATCTCGTTAAAAATAACAACAACTCATTATTGATATAAATAACACCTCTCTTTGATAACTTTCACGTGACTTTCACGAAGCAATATCGTAAACAGTCGGGAGGAGCCATTATCACTAGTTGAAAAAACTCTTTGAAATTTGTTTCATTACTTCTTAATCGCTGAGTGAGAAGATTAAGATCCCAATGTAAACGGAAATTGGAAATTCGCGTAATTTGGTGCACCGTGCAGTAATCAAGTTCCTTGTCAAGAAACGGACGAACACCGAAAGAGATTTTTATAGTAGTAGTAAGTAGGTTCTACGTTTCTTGGCCTATTGATATAACACTGTGTTCATACGTCAACATAATCTTTAAATTGGTGAGTTACATTCAACGGTAATATGACCGCTTACCGTCAGTTGGGTTCGACAGTAAATACAAGACTAAAATTTCAAATCGTATACATCAAATATCTTAAATGCAGTGTATGAGTACCCTACTGATGGAATTACGATTACCTCAGATATACCCACAAAGGAGAAAACGATGTGCAACAAAATGTAGTTACTTGACGTTAATATATATCATAGTACGTGGTCTATTTTACATACAGCATTGCAGCTATTTTGCTAGTAATTAAAGAAATTTTCTAATTATTTGTATGACAATTAATATGATTAACTTCAAAATAAAACTAAAAACTTTGTCATACAATTTGATTGTGAAGGTCAAAATCGATTGTATATACATTTTTTCAGTATCATTCAATGCGGGCATCACCCAACGACCGGTGCGCGTGCAGTTCTGCCTAACATTTGGTTCATTGCTGATAAGTTAAGCAAATTTAGGTAAAGCATTTTTTGTAAAAAAAATATATATCTTAGCCTGTACGAGTACGAACCTCATTGCGCAAAACCTATTAAAGTCACAAAGTGAACGATTCCTTTTGCCGTTAACTAGACACGATACGATTGACTTTTGTTCTTATTCAGAGTTTTATGGCTTAGCTTTTTTCAATTGTTAGTGCCAGTAACATCATTGTGTCAATTAAGTAATTTATTACTTAATTGACACAAAAAATAACTTAACTTGCCTCCATTGGTGTATCGTCGTCGTTTCAGCCTGTTTGAATCCACTGCTGAAAATAGGTCTGCCCCACTGCCACGAAGCACGATCCTGCATCCATCGACTTCTTGCACATTGGCACAGGTCGTCACTCCATCTAGTGACTCTGCGACGGCCAGTATGAGGTTACCACTCAAGAACCTTTTTCTCCATCGGTTATCGGTTCTACATGCTACATGGCTGGCCAATCGCCACTTCAGCTTACTAATTCTGAGCTATATCGGTTGTCCTTGTTCTACTGCGGATGTTTTCGTTGCTGCATAAATCCGTGTTATTTATAACCCAACTTAAATATGAATATAATAAGAATATACTGACACCTTGCAATCTAGATATAATATAGAATCTACCTTTGAGTTAGTACAAAGAACAGGACGTGCAAAACCTAAATGCACCCAAAAGGCCGCCTTGCGGGCCACAAAAGGAGATTTAGATAGTTGGTAGTAGTCAAAAGTGGCGACCTGTGCAGATGTGTGGAAACTTCATGAATGCAGATGGCTCATGATCGTATTTCGTGGCAGCGTGTGAACTAAAACAAGCTTAAATAATGATGATGATGATGATAAAGTGATAGCTTGATTTTTTCACAAGATGTTACCTGCGTTAGTGGTGCCTTCTTTCGTGCGCTTCTCTAATTTTGCATGGCTAATTATTGGCGTCAAAGCGCACGGGCATAAAATGTTGAGGACCCCTGCTCGCAGCTGTCAGCCGCAGCTGCTCGCGACCGTTACGCACGGTGAGCACGTGCCACCAGCTCTCCCGCGCCCCGCACCCCGCACCCCACCATTATTATTAAACAAACGTACAGACTTTACATCGTATGTAAGCACACACATACATAATGCATTTTTACAATAGTATTTTTTTAAATGTTAAGTGAACGGGTTAGATAAAGACGTTAAACTTTGACGATAGCGTTTTGGTGGTTTTTTCAGTCTTGCAAAAAATTATAATGACTAAACGCAAAAACGTAAACTTTTAAATGAACATATTTTAGTATTTTAAAAAAACATATATATATTCCTAATTTATTGAGAGTTCTATGAACAAAATATGTTATGTTAGCAACATGATACTTGATACCCGTATGTTAAAATAGTTATTTATCTAAACTTAATATGAAATCCAATTGGTGAAAAATATAGGAAGATCTCTAGTAAACGAGATATTGTGATGTACCTACTAGTAAAGAGAGTTATTCAAATTATACGACGCGAAACTAAATTACTTAAAAACGCGCATAGCAATTGTCAATAATTATTAAACGAAACAACTAATAATAACGAGTAAAAAGCATTCAAACATCATAAGGTAGGTTGTAAGTTGTAAGTAGCAGGAAGTTACACATTAATGTGTGCTTGGTATTGATTATTTCCATATCTGTTTCTGGTTAATTTAGAAAGTAAACGTTTACGATATTGTATAATATAATATAACACAACTTAACATTCTCAGAAACGCCAATTTGCTTTGCGATAAGATCAAACGAAGTTTTGGATGCATTGTCAACGAAGACCAATGCAGTCATGAAGCGTACATAAATCTTCCAATGAATATATTCTACGGGGAATCTTATTGATTGTTGAATGGATTTTTCTCTTTCTGGGAATCTTACCAACCTGTTGGGCGTGTTTTTTCTGAAGGTATTTCAAAATATTACGATTATCGTAAAGGCAAAACCAAATTATTAAACAAATATCCATATAACATTGAATGTAGGGCCCTAACTTGTGATATCTTCTATAGATAAAAAAAAATTATTTCCTATTTAATCTATTTAAAAAGTTTTAATCAGTGTTTTGTTTAAATTAACCTTAATTATAAAGAAATATTGTTATGTACAAATATTTTTACACATTCTAGGTATTTGGATATTTCAAAACTGCTTGAGAAAATGTTAAGTACTAGCTGAGGCTACCGTCACCCTTCGGCTAGTTGGACCCATTCAGAAATAATTGTGCAAACTTTAGGTGTACTTATATCGCTATGATTTTTGCGCCATTGTAATAGAGACTTTACCGAAAACAAATATATTATAAATTATTTTATCTAGTCTACAACGTCCATCTATTACACCGATGGAGCGCTAAGAAAATTAGAGTCTTTGAAAAATCAATTTTATGTTTATATTTATAAGGTTGAAAATTAAGTAACTGTGATGCACCTTTAAATTGGAATGCGTAGGGTGCGTGCGCGCTCGCGTCTGTTTACGAGGGGTTGCGTTTGCGCCATTTCCGAACCCAGTTCTTTGAATTTGGAATCCCCTAAGCCAGTTGACGGTTGATCGCTGAACGGTGAACACGAGCACACTGAAATTTATTTAAAGGACATTTTAAAGCTGTGTAGTGAAATCTTTCATTTGTTTTATGAGAGCTTTATGTTGAGTGATTATATGCTTCAAGTGTAGTGAGTTAAGTAATATAAAGATTTAATGGGAATAGTTCCCAACACAGTAAGTACATATTCGCATTGCCTGCTATAAGTGAACACGATGAACACCAAAAGACCGCAACGGTCACGCTCAAAGGAGCACCCTTAAGACAGGAAGCGCCTCAACAACCGCATTCATAATAAGTTGGAAGTGAAACGTCGGGGTGAGAATTCGCCAGCAAGATGGACTCGCCGAAAATCATTTACAAATACTACTCCAACCCCGCTTTCTGCGGGCAGAGCGAGGTGGTGTTTGCGCAGAAGTCTTGCGTCACGAAGATTGTTTCGCCCAACCGAAGGATGCCGCCGTTGGGCGCCAATTCGCCGAGAAAAAACGAAATCGACACTCGAATCGTTCGGACCGATATCTCCGACAACCCTTTACGACTGACGACGCCGTCCAGAATGAGAGACGAGCCACCGGAGTTGCCCCCGAAGCCGGCGAAGTACCAGAGGCAGTTCCAGCGGCAGGCATCGTTGATTTGCAAGCCGACGAGGCAGATCGTACGGTGCAGGACACGCAGCGAGGATCTCGAAATGGCGCAATTGAGGCAACGGCAGAGCAACAGATACGAGAGGAACGCAGAGAGCGACGACGGCTTAGAAGATAGCAGAATTAAGCATCGTTACGAAGTGATAAGAGACATTGACGATTGCACAGACTACTCACCGACGAAGAAGAGAATCGTTGAGGCGGACGCGAGCGAAATAGAGGAGTACAATGTGGACGGACCCGACGATAACGAGCTGAAAGAAATACCCACAGAGATCGTGAAGACGGTGAACGGGAAGACGCACAGGTACGCGATAGTCCCCTCCGACGACGAAGAACCGAGAAAGATGAACGTGACATTCTCATCGCCCATCATGTCGCAGAAGAATTTGATCGCCACGCAGAAGCTGCACGAGTTGCTGTCAACGCCGAGGAAACTGAAGAGTTACGCGAGCCAGCCCTCCGTGAGGGTAACGCCGAACAAGCAGACCAGCCCGAACGTGTACGTGGGCACTCCGAAGAAGCTGATATCCAGCACACCCACCCAAGGGGTGACACCATCAAAGTCGTGCGCCAATCTGTCACTGATGAGGGGTGGCACCTCCCCTATATCGCCGAAAGCCCAGCAGAAGCTAAATTACGGTCTGCCCGACGAGTTCGATAGGCAGGACGTTTTCGTGACGAGTTTCAGAGACAAGAGCCGCGACAAAAGCTTCGACATGGACAGGAGGGAAGCCAGCAGGGAGAGCAGAAGAAACTACGACGTCAAAGGAAGAGAAAGCCAGAGGAGGGATAAGAACACTGCGATCATAATTCCAAGGTTAGATATAACAAATTTCTGTTCTCTTTTTTTGTATGTTTCCAAATGATAATCTTTGACGGACACAACTTATTAAATTTATTAGGATATTTTTGCAATGATTTATTAACACTTTACTACTTTCCCACTTAAAAATACTACTTTCCGATGCTTCTCTTAATCGTCTTCTATTTCAAGCAAACATGAGTAATGAATATGTACTTAATTTAGGTTGTCGTATAACGAAAGACTGAATTCACTCATGTTTGTATGGCAATGATTTTGTACTTGGAGTATCTTATAATAATAATAATTTATTTGCCATAACCCAAAAACAAAAAGAAAATTACATAGAAAAATATGAACAAAAAAAAGATATAAAACAAACTATGATACACAAAAAAAACTATATAAATAACATTTTGGCAAAAAGGTAATAAGCTCAGCGATTTCTGAGAATTTCTCAGTGCTGGTTTTCAGCTTATCCCTTAGTAAAGCTTTATACATCATCATTTACAAAATATATTAGAGGAGATTATCTTCGCTGATTGTAGCTAGAACAAAAAGAATATGGTACGCGCTTTAGTTTTACGGAGGTTAGATACTTCTAATAAGCCAACAACTAATAATTTCACAGGCGATTAATAGTTAATGTCTCCCTCATGTGCTTCAGAGTAAATACATTTGTCTAGCTTTGTATATACACTTACATACACTATAGCTTTGTACACAGCACAGAGAGGAGGAAACTATTGTATACCATTATCTACTGTCTAATCCACATCATACGAATGGAATATAGAATAGAAACCATTTATTCAAGATATACAACACCAATTTACAAACGAAATACATACATTAGGTGGAGTTAGATTCGCGTATACAAAGATAAAAAAATTCATACCATAAATTCTAAAGCATTCATTTTACACTTCTAGTTTCTGCCTAATTTCAATATTTCGCTACTCTGGCGATCGGAGTCACATTTACTTTAACTATTCTTAATATTCTTAATATCTACGGCATTTTTTTTGCTATACTTTTGCCAAAGCCAATTTTCATTTTCGTTTTATCTCAAATAAACAAGCAAATGTATCCAAGTTTCAAACAGACTTCAAAAAAGAAGGGGGTTCTCAATTCGACCGTATTTTTTTATGTTAGTTACCTTAGAACTTTCGAGTGAGTGAACCAATTTTGATGATTCTTTTTTTATTTGAAAGCTGGTCATTCCCATGTGGTCCCATATTAATTTCATTGGTATTGTATCTTGGGCTCCAGAGATACGTAGGGAACTTCTGAAAATCAATTATAAAATGAATTCAGAGCGAGATATTTGAGGTCGATTTTGTTTTTCATTCTTAAAAAAATTGACTTGTGTTACATCGTTTCTTCATTACACGAAAAAGAAGACTTTTTTACCAATGGCCTGGACGCAACCATACAAATTTCTCACAACAACAGCTTGCACGCCATATTGTATAAATTACAAAAATATAAAAAAGGAAAAAAGAATGTATTATACTAGGACAATACACATTTTTATACTGTTTTGCAGGGTAGCGCCACAAAGTCCATCCGTGTATTCGGAGGAGACCTACAAATCACTGTCTAGTCTGAAGGCGGTGAACAGTTCTGTCGCGTCGTTGACCATTGCTGCTTTAATGCTTACGCTTTGCGGCGGCCTCACTACTGGCCTCAGCTTCTATATGATGTACAGCGTAAGTATCCAAATAATTACATCTGTCGTTGGGTTGAGCGCGATTCGCGCCGCTTTGGAATTTAAATCATCATAGAGCCATAAGCGTCAATATCCGTCGGATAAGCTTAAACGAAATAAAAAACCTTTAATACTTTTTAGGGTTCCGTATGCAAAGGGTAAAACGGGGCCCTATTACTAAGACTCCGCTGTCTATCTGTCCGTCTGTCACCAGGCTGTATCTCATGAACATGATAGTTAGACAGTTGAAATTACCAGATGATGTATTTCTGTTGCCGCTTTAAGAACAAATACTAAAAAAACAGAATAAAAAACAGACATGATTTTTTCGCCGTTTCTAACCGACTGCAAATAAGGAGGAGGTTCTCAATTCGACTGTATTTTTTTTTATCATGCAGATTGCAATAAGTCTCTTAATCATACACTAATGATAACATTTTTAACACAGATGGGTCGCCGCTATTACCTTGACTTTGGAGTCCTGTCGGGGTTCACATGCTTTCTGCTGGGACTGCTGGGTTTGCGATCACGCAGGAACCACTTGCTCCCAAATAGGAATTACATCTCGGGTTAGAAGATATTTTTTTTGTTTTACTCTTACGCAGCCTTGTGGTGGCCAGTTACCCATTTCAAGTCATAAAATTGCCCGGACCCGCATAACTACCGGTAACCGCAATGTCTATCTCTAGGACGTGTTTTTTATTTACGCTTTTTTTAACACGGGCTATGGTCGTGGCGTACTAAAACTTATTTGTTTATGTAAAAAAAGACGTCTATGCTACGAATAAATTACACTTTAACTAATTAAAATTACCAATTTATTTGAATAAAATTTTAATTCAAATTCATTTAATAAAATATTAACAAGATTCGGTGTCAAAATATCTTTGATATCAGTTTCGATTTTATTGCTAATACACAGATATCTTTCAGGTTATATAGTTCTATCGTCGTTCTCACTGCTCAGCGCTTTCGGCTTGCTGATTCTGCTGTCAGTGCAGCCGAAGCCGGGGACAGCCCTAAACGACATAACATCGGGGGCAGTATGCAGCATCAGCATACTTTCCCTGTGCCTCGCAACGGTCGGATTGTTAGCATCATACTGTTGCGCACGAGATCCACCGGACAACAGGGTAGGCACGACCAGATGGTATTAGGATTACAACTAATTATAAGCAAACGAGTTTTTCAGAGAAAAGAATAAAGTAAGTTGAAAGTTTAAACTATGAAAATAGACTCGATAGAGCTCAATATGTGTATATCTATGTATATCTGCCTTCTCATTTAAAAATCATCGATGTCTATTATATAATCTATAAAGATTTTTAGAGATGTTTACTTTTTTTTTTACGTTTTAACGTGAGTGCTTAAAATGTAATTAGTTTATCTTATGCAAGCAACGTAGTGTATTATGTCCAATAACATTTTGTTAATAAAAACTATGTGTTCTTATGTACGTATGTAAAAAATTATACTTCTTTAGCGTAACAAAAGAAAAATAACAATTTTTTTCCTTATTGTCACTTTTTGACTGTCGGCGTGTGCACGCATCGTAAAAATTATACTCTCATATTTTTCTCTAAAGTCGCGAAAAGAAGTGTAACTTCAAAAATTATGAAAATTTTGTATTTCTCAAAGAGAATGTAAGCCACCATGTTAAAAAATTTAAGTCGTATTTGTACTATAGTCATTACACAAAGAATAAAAGTTATAAAAATAAATACTAAGATAAGATAGGGCGTTTCCAAATCAGTAATATAATTTATAAGTATAATTATAAAAAAATCGACGACTCGTTTTTCCACTTCATGTATTCATAGTTGTCCTTTTATCTTTATAACGAATATAGTTTAATAAAAATAAGAACGACTTATATTGTATTAAATTATAAGTTAAGTTGTCAAACTTAAATTATGACTGTCATTATAATTTATTTCGATATTGAAGATCCTGACTATGTGTGCATGTTTCCGGAATTGACTGAGATAAAGTTTTTATTGTACTTAATGTTTTTATGACTTAAATTTTAAATAAAGTTATACATATATTACAATTCTTTTATTGCTTAATTATTTGGAAATAAGGTTTTGAAGAATTTCTAGCAAATTGTATTAAATAATAATAAATATATAATAATAATAACCATTTAATTACCTTAACATAAACACATAAAAACAATTAGGAGTTTTCGATGCGTTACAACCTTTAAAAACAATTGGCACTTGTTAATTCACGCAACAGACAGAACCCAAAAGTATAATACTTAGGTATAATTCACATTTTTCTTGTATGTGACGTGTTATTTCACTGGAAGAACCTGCCTTATGATTGGTCTAAGCCCTAAAGTAATGTCTTCTTAGACATTTTATGTGCCGCAGGTGATGATGATTATGATGGTGAAAGTTCTTAAATAAAAGAAAATCAACAAAACCTTAAGTAGGTAAAATTAATAGGATAAAAACATTTCATGAAAGGATTTTAAATGGTTTTATAATACTTTTTTGTTTGAAGTAATTTTTTTTCGATGTCTCAGATAATTGCATCTTTTATAATTACCACAAAACGTAGTATACAGCGTGTCGTTACAACTGCGACAATAAATTAACACACGTCTAACTTTACTTGCCAATAATCATAAAAAAGTATAAAACATTAAAAAAATCCATAATTAAAAAAATATATTTTTCAAACAATCTATTTAAATAAAAAAGAAACAAAATTTGTAACATCCTATATACAACTACAACTGACTGATTCATACATTTAGACGCTTTTTCATTCGTTGCCGCAGCGTCGCACTACAAATCTCTCCTTCTAACAATATGTCTTGTATCTTGTATTAACTGATGTTTTTGCTTTCAGTCCCGAGACTATGAAAGCTTAATCGGACGCAGAACCGGTAGGCTAGCCAGAACCCACGGGTTTGGACCCTACGCTATGGGTAGGGTCGCGCATGTGCTCATGCGTGCGTTTAACTACTATATATATAATCGGTGGCTGGGAGCGGTGAGAACCGCCCCGGAACGCGGGTGTACCTTGTGTACGCGTTGTGTGGGTCTCGCCGTGCTCGGAGGCGAGGGCGAACTGGTGTGATTGTTGTTGCACTAACTGTGGGTGTAGTGTTATCCGGCGGGACCCCCGGCGGTGGGTCCATCGTATCTAAGTCCTCTTCGTCGACCGGGTCGATGAGGACGTTTCGCGGGCGACGCTTGTTTACGTTCGCGTTATTGTCCGGTTGTTAGTTTGCTGCGCTTACCACCAGAGGGTTGGGATGATGCTGGGCTCTATCGAAGAACCGTTTTATCAAATCTTTAAAATGTGCGCGAATCGTCGGGAGTCTGCAATCGCTGTGCAGGTCGACGTTGCGCTGATACCATTGCGCACCGGTTGCGCGGCGGATAAACTTACTTTGAACTACTTGCAATTTTTTAATGCGCGTAGGATTTATGTGTGCGAAGATCATGCATGCGTAGGACATGGTTGGCCCTACGCAAGCTTTATATAAGAGTAATTTGTGCCTTAAGGGCATTTTACTTTTCTTATTCGTTAAATTGTGTTGCCGGCCGGAGACGAACGCGGCTTTATTTCGGACTTGATTGATGTGCGTAGTGAAAGTCATACGCGAGTCGAAAGTGACTCCTAAATATTTGACCGTTTTCTCCCAGGGGAGAGTTTGGCTATATAGTGATATTTGCCCTAACTTTCTGTACTGGCGAGGACCTTTGTAACGGTGTGGCGGATGGGGGTTGGGGGTGCTACGCGTGAAGTGAATCGCCACACTTTTTTCTGGATAACAATATTGTTACGTGTTCGGGGTTCGAAGGATTTGGAGAGAAAGACCTGCTGACTCTTTTGAAGACTTTATTTACTAGCGCTAGGTCCAACACAAAGCATTAGGTCCAATCACTAAGCACTAACGATGTCCTAGATTGTAGCCAAGTCGTAGGTTTCACTGGTATCGCTCTTGATCACTAGTTTTCACTCCGAAGTCGCCTCGAAGGTAGCTCAAACTGAACTGTCATCGCTCGCCTCCCTGCGGCTTTTTATATGGGCCGAGACCAGTTCCGGACTAATCCAGAAAGATCATTTCTGGAACGTACCCGACACGCACGAACATGTTCGTGATTCCGGAAAGTTCGCGAATGTACCCGGTTTTCGAGACTATAGTTCCACAGCAGTTCCTCTAACGCCATCTAGTGTTGAATAGGGGGTTTTATGTCGTCTTTGTTCTTTAGTGGTTTTAATAGTTGACGCTAGATGGCGTTCGTTCCTTTGTGTGTTCATAACACTACTCCCCTCTTAGAGATGCTCGTCCCGAGCATCATTGTTACTGCCATGGTAACGTGCCAGACGGTCTATGTGTACCACTTTGAATGTCCCTCTTGGTTGCTTTTGAATCCTATAAGTCACATCATTCAGTCGGGTAACCACTTTGTATGGACCGTCCCACTTGGTCTACAACTTTGGGGATTTCCCTTTCCGACGAGTTGGGTTATGCAGCCACACCAGTGACCCTCTCCGTGTTCGATTTCCGGTCGTATCTGGTTTTCATGTTCTCATTTGACAGTAACACATTTTCCCGAACCAAGGCGTGTATATAGCGCATTTTTTTTTCTTAAATTGCAGACATAGTCTTGTACGGTCTCTGGTCCCTCCGGTGACCCTCCTGTCAATAGGTCTACTGGTAATCGTAGTTCTCTACCGTAATTGACATACGCCGGGGTAGCTTTTATGCTCTCATGTTCGGCGGTTCGGTACGACAGAAGGAAGAGTGGTATATACTTGTCCCAATCCTTTTGTTTGTCGTCTACCAATTTCGCCAGATGCCTCTCAAGGGTCTGGTTAAATCTCTCAACCATTCCATCAGACTGTGGGTGGCACGCGGTGGTCCCGGTCTTATGCATGCCCAAAATTCTACACACTTCCTGGAATACTTGCGATTCGAAGTTCCTGCCCTGATCGGAATGGATTTCTAGAGGCACACCAAAGCGACATATCACTTCTTCGACTAACTTAGAAGCGACTGTTGTAGCTTCTTGGTTTGGTATGGCGAACACTTCGGGCCATTTGGTGAAGTAGTCCATGACGACCATAAAATACTTGTTTCCCGACTCCGTTACAGGAAATGGCCCAGCTACGTCAACTGCAATTCGTTCCCACGGTGCACCGACGTTATACAACCGCAGGTTCCCACGGCTTCTGGTCTGGTCCTTTTACAGCAGCCCAAGTAGTACATTTGCGGCACCAATCCTGTACATCATCTCGACAGTGCAACCAGTAGAAACGTTCTCGCACTTTTGTTAACGTCCTCTTGACACCTAGATGACCTCCTGATACGCCATCATGTATTTCACGGAGAACATCTGATACTCTCGTTCTCGGGACAATTATCTGAAGATGGAACTCTCTGCCGTTAGTCTTCTCCCATTTCCGGTAGAGTATTCCGTTTTGAAGTATCAGACTGTCCCATTGCGCCCAGTACGCCTTTGTGACGGCGCCATTGGGAGCAACCTCACTCCAGATTGGTTTTACGTCACCCCGTTTCTTCCATGTGATGATGTGCCGAAGGTCGTCATCTCTTTCTTGAGCCTCCCTCATAGCATCATTCTCCCAGAGACCCAAAGGACTTGTTCTCGTTAGCTTTAATGTTACTTCATTAGATTCCTGTTTGACGCAATGGTTGCAGTCTTCTGAACACGGCCTTCGTGAGAGTGCGTCGGCATTCCCATGCGTCTTTCCACTGCGGTGTTCCGTCTTGAACTCATACTCCTGGAGCTTTTTTAATCCATCGAGCTACTTGACCTTCTGGGTTCTTGAATTGCAGTAGCCACTTCAAGGCTGCGTGATCAGTTTGCAGTAAAAACTGTCTGCCGATGAGATATTTGTTGAAATGTTGTAGTGTCTTTACAACAGCCAAGAGTTCTCTTCTTGTCACACAGTAGTTTCTCTCTGGCTTGGATAAAGATTTGCTGAAATATGCGATAACAACTTCTCTTTCACCCTGTTTTTGAGATAAGATAACACCCCTCCAATGGCCGTGTTGCTTGCATCCGTGTCGACTATAAACTGACCTTCAGATTGTGGATACCCCAGGATTGGTGTTTCACATAGATGTTTCTTCAATTTCTGAAAAGAATCTTCACAAGTCCCATCC